CCTGCCAGAGACGCTGCCCCAGAATAGGCGACCCACCGTCATCACTGAGATGGACCTATGTAGCAAACAAGATAATTGTCATGATCACAAATTTGCCTGATGCAAAATTGTGTGCATTTATTCTGAAGTCCACATGAAATATAACATGAGTAGGGATCGTACTTACAGAATCCGTGCACCACAGCATGCGGTATCTCAGGGGGAAATCGTCAGCAGCATGGCAAACATATCGAATGCCTGTTAATGTAAATTCAGACAAAGTTAAACATTAGTACCTATGTGCATACTTTACTTAAAGCACAAAGGACAGGTGTTCTATCACTTTGTCCATGAAATGTATAGAGCTGTGATGTATTCCAAAAAATACATGTATTTTGTATGTGTTATTTGTAGATGTTTTATATGATTGGTTGTGTGATGATATTATTGTCATGTAGAATTTGGTCATGAAACTGAATTTAAGATGTTGTAAAACCTACCCATACGTGCTGCGACTCGACGGAATTCCTGCCGCAGGATATCCTGGTGGTCTAAAGGATGGTTCAGCCGTGGTGGAAAATCATACACAATTACCTATAAAAATAGCAAGTAGAGCAGAAGGACAAGAAATACAAGAGTTATTACAGAGTGTAACTACTAATTGAGATACTACAAAATGTGTTAATTAGATCATAGCCCCACCTTGAACCACCTCCCAATGGCAGTGGAGAGAAGTTTTGCAAAATCTGTTGATGACTTCTCAAGACACCCTTGGGTTGTTAGGTTGTTGCTAGGAGCCATGACTATGACCAAGTCAGGATTGCGAGGCACAGCAGCATGCACCATCTCAATCCTCAGTTCGTCGGCACAGGCCCCTGGTGTGGACATGAACCCAAAGGACATCCGTCCTTCAGGCAATGGCACAACCCCATCAACAAATGGACGCAGGTGAGAGTCACCGACAATAAGAACAAACTAGGATGAAAAGAAGAAAAGTATTAATTAAATACTGTATCAGTTCAAATATATGTTGTGAGGGTAAAAAAGAATGTCAGTATCATACCTTCTTGTTGGGAACCTCAGGAGGAATGACCAATTTGTGTTGGCGACCAGTCAACACAGATACAGGCCACTGGTTAACACGATGGCGATAACCAGTCCCAACAGTGCCTATTTAAGACACAACAGTCACGTGTATCATTATAAGGGTTAAACAGTAAACTTGATGTGAATGTGTTTTGTCCTAGATACAGAGGAACAAGGAACTGTTACTGTAAATATAGTGACGTGCAGAGGAAAATGAAATTTTTGAAAGAAAATGTTACACACCTGGAGGCATGTCATCACGGTAGCCTTGCGGACCAACAATCAGGAACTCGCGCTGAGCGTGTCGCCTGGTTGCAGCCTGTGATCGACGCCAACCCTTCTGTTTTGGCATCTGAAAGTATAATAGATGTTATTATATATGTAAAACTTCATATCATCCATCAAACATATGGTTTATGTTATAAAAACACATGAAAACAAAAATATTTGATAAACAGTGAAAATAACACGTTTTTGACCTGTGACCTAATTTGACAATCACATTTGTGATGACCACTGACATACAAAAAAAGGATAATGTCTTTCTCAAATGTCTTTGTTTTTTACTTGATGTGTAGGTGCTGTACAAGACAGAGGAGGCCTAAGCTATGGAAGTGAAACAGCAGTGTTGGGGACAGGAGAAAACTATGGCAGAGGAAAAGTGACCTTCTCAGTAAGGAGGGAGTTCAAGTAAACAGTGGCAACTGTAGACTAAATTACTCCCCAGGCCACCACCACTTTAACCTCCCAACTCACACACATACACCAAAAGACAGTTATTGCACAGCCTCAGCCTCTGTAGTAGATAAAACAACATTCAAAGTATTTGAGAGCTTATAGATGTGGCTTTCAAGAAAGCTCTCTTAGTTTTGTGAACCTTCATCATATCTTTGAAAATGTTGAACAAACACATTGAAATGACATAAAGCAGCTGTATACAACAATAGTAAAGGCTGTGTACTGGAGAATGACAAATTATTTGGTGTGTAAAACAAGTGTTGTCATGATAAAGTGTTCATTCAATACAAATGTAAATATAGAAAATAAGGTGTGGAAAGGTTAAACAGCTGCCCCAGTATAGTGCTAGTACACATAAGGCTGTAAATATGCTTTATTCACTTATCAGAGCCAGAAAAGTACGGGGATTTAATTCACCACGACTCCAGGAATGTTTAAAAAACTACAAAATGATGTTCCGCTCTAGCAATGCGCAGCCGCGCTCCCGTCTTGGAAAACTGATTTGCTGATATGCATACACAGAGCAAACTGTCCTCTGCAACACTGTGGGATGTTCCTTCCCACAACAGTCTGGAGTGTGGCCCATAGAGAGCATGTATTTCCGATCACAACATAACCCGACCAATCAGAGACAGTGTTTTCACTGTTACCCAGACAACAGGAAAAGGCAGCCCCTGAGTGGCTCATGTGTAATAATCACGTCTACCACATGCTACGGGACTTGTCATCTGTGTTCATTCAGAACGCCATTAATTCTGCAGTTCATTTTGTGAAGTCAGCAGAAATCGTGTATATCCCACGTCCTCTGCGTATATAAACGATTTCTGCTGACTTTGCAGATTCAACTGCAGACTTAACGGCTTTCTGAATAAACGGACATTTGTATTAACGGCACAAGTTCCGCAGCATGTGTTAGATGTGATCATTACACATGAGCCACTCAGGGGCTGCATTTCCCTTTTGTGCGAGTAACAGTGGAAACTCGGTGATTGGCCCCGCTATATTCTGATCGGGCATACACGCTGTCTAAATCCAGATTGTTGTGAGAAGAAACATCAAGTGATTCACGCAACAGAATGGCCCGGCCAGGCTAGGCTAACAATAGCCCCCTTGCGATGCGAACACAAAACAGCGAAACAATACAGTACACTTCCACCACTACGTCAAATGCCAAATTATGATCTCCGAGAGTTCAGTGAAGTCACACAATAACGCTGCTATAACAATCTTGGTGTTTACACAGGCCTGCTAACAAAGTAGCCCTCAGATATTGTGTTAGCAGGCCCGTTTAAACATCGAGTTAACACGACTATGTTAGCATCAACAACAGTTTTGTTAACATGCACGTTTAAGCAAAAGTTCTCCCTCAACAACGGCAAAACAGCACAAATAAGCATAAAATCACGACTTACCGTGCTGAAGTTTTCAAACACGAGATGAACAGCTGCTCCGTAAATTGGTGTAAGTAAAAAAAAGTCGAACTCAGTCGAAGTGACCGTGAAAGTGTGTGGTAAATGTGAAAGATGTATTGTAAAATGTGTGTTTTGGAAATGTGTATCAGTGAAGTATGTAAGAAATCCTCAAAAACAGATTTGCTTGTAAAACTCGCTCTCTGTCAAAAGTAGTCTGTTGTCCCCAAGAGTTCAATCAGACTACACGAGCAACGAAAATAGTCGCATATAAAGAGGAGCATGAGGAGCTCGACCAATCAAAAAGCTGGATTTAATGACTTGCGCCTGAGGTTACAGTCAAAGCCAATTCGAACAATACACCTTCCAATAGACTACGCCCACCCCCCCACCCCCATAGTTAGAGTTGCTTTGTACAGCCGTCTTTTAACAAAATGGCGGCGACCGTACTTCATTTAAAATGAAGGCTGTACCTGATATTTTCATTGATTAATGTTTGAGAAAAGCCTACAAGTCTCACAGAAATTGTACCAATAAGTCCTGCAAAATTTAGTGGTAGAATATGTGCATAATATTCAGGTTTGTACGAACGAAATGTAAGTATTGCATGTTCATGTGGTCGAGTGTGAACAAAGCTCAGTGATTCACTCAGATGTTATTCGGTCCCGATCTGAAGCCGTTGTCATGTTTTGGTCCGATTACGATATGATCTCCATACGGGTGTATACAGGGCTGTTCCCGGGTACGATACAGTCTTATAAATTAAGATAAGCTCTGCAACGTTCAGGTATCTTTTTAAATAATCAGCTGTTGAATTATGGCTAAAAATCGATGGTGTTTGTTCGATCTATATGTAGATGTGAAAGTTTTGTACGTGAAAATCACGTATAGAAATAGACTACATCCTGACGTTGAAATTAGGTATAAATTTATACGTTTAACTAACGTCTACATTTATACAATGCTTCTATCTCTCAACGGTATCATAAGTAATTTAAGATCGATTTAAATGTCATTTATGTACATTACAGTTGTTAATTGCAGAACAAGTTAGCAAAAAATGAAGTTGAGGGCGAAGTATAATTCACGTCTAGAAATAGACTATACCCGACGTTGAAATTAAGTATATATTTACACGTGTAAATGATGTTTTCATTTATACTATGGTGCGTATTTCTGCACCGTATCATAACTAATGTAATCTGGGATTAATCGATCAAGAATGCACATGACAGTTCTTTCTTGCATAAAAAACTAATTGAAATATGAAATTGAGGGCGAAGAATAAATCACGTCTACACATAGACCAAATCCCGGCGTTAAAATAAGTATACATTCAGACTAAGCGTGTAATATAGGTGTTTTGCTCAGTTAAGCAGCCGACGCCATGTTAAGTACCGGTTGTGGGCTGGTCACTGCATAGCACCTCTAACTATGGAAGAGAGGGGGTTGGGCGGATCCTACCGAAATTCCTATTTCCAACGCTGTAACAACGTGACATAAACAGACACAAAAAAAGACCAATTCTACCTGTCAGATAGTACTATACTGAGAATCTGGTGGTGCACATGAAATGTTAGTAAATTTACAGATATGAAACATATGTATATATAGAGAGAGAGACAGACAAAGAGAGAATTGCATTGTCACGTGCTCATCAGGTGGGGGAGTGTGTAACATTGTCACGTGTTTATCATCGTAGTGTGGGATTGGCTTGAGTGCGTGCATAAGAATTTACTGTCTTTAAAAGAGAGCTGTAAAGCTGCACCGAGATATAAAAACCAAGAAATGACGGTGAGTATAAGTTCTCCTTGGTTGTTTAAGTGCTATCTAAATGAATGATGTGCTATTGATGTCATGTGTGCAATCAATATGTCTTTATTTTGCAGATGGCTTCACCTGTGAGACTTCCAGCTGGTGCTAGCGACAACGCCGACGTACGAGAATTACGCCTTAGATGCCAGGTTTTATCTGTAAGTAAATGAACAGCACAATCTATTTATGTGAATTCTACTTTATAGTTACACGAGTAAAGTAGTGGATTTACATTATTTATAGTTACACGAGTAAAGTAGTGGATTTACATTATTTCAATTGGACTGTGGTTGATGAAAACTTTGTGTTTGGCAATTAAAAGGTTGGACGGGATCTGATTTGACTGTTATCAATTGTTGTGGTTTATTATCTAGTGGTGTGGAGATTGTTTTATAGGGAGAAGATTTATATATATGTAATAGTGGTAGGTATTCTGCTATTAAGGACATTATGAAGAAGAATGTTTTTGTGTGAACACGGTACAACAACATTTCTTTGTTATTAAGTAGGTAGCAGCTGCATTGGTCACATTAGACATGTGAAGTACTGCAGAGAACAAATTCTGTAGATGGAGAAGAGAAATTAAATGAATTGCATGTTAATTGTGTGTGTGTTGTTGTTCTTGGGAGATTAAAGATAAGAGTTATGGTAAAATGTGTGTGTTGTTGTGGAGAATCTTGAAAACGTAAAAAATACAATTGGACTGTGTAGAATTCAGAAGACATTTTGCTTCTTATCTGAGAAGCTTCTTCATTTCATAATTGATAGTGTGGGCAGCAGAACTGTGTCTTACTGAAGAAAATGCACAGAAAACAACTGGGAAGTGTTAGGTCGTCAACTTTGGGTGTGTCCCCTTTTATTGTAGTTCACCAGGAAGGGTTAACAAAGCCCCTGTGATGTAACCACACCCAGGGTATTCATCCCAGCTGTGAATTTGTATGTTGATGTCTGAAACTGGTCTTTAGGTTCAAATGAGCCTAATTTGTGTTTTCCTTGTTAATATGATCAATTATTTCTGTCTGTTTTTTGGTTCCAGTATGCAATACAGGATCAAACCCTGGATAGGGGTGCCCTGTTTCAGGAGAGCATGGCATGCCATACATACGTGATAAACACCACAACAAGGCTGGCACGGCAAATGAAAGCTGCCACAGTACGCTCTGAATGTTTACAGAGAGAGCTAAACTGTTACAAAGAAGAAGTTTCAGGTTTAAAGCAGGCCAACCTCATGCTGACTAAACAGTTAGAGGCAGCCCAACTAAGTCTGGAGAGCTTGTGTAAGTATTACATGGGTCATATGGGTAATTCTCATTGGTGAAAATTGTTATGCAACTTTCTAATAGGTGAAATTTTCTTTGAAATATTTTTAGATGGACCTGACAACCTGTTCGACACTGTGGATAAGGCTGGTGAGCTTGCCAGCAATCATTCAGAATTGGAAAGTAAGTATGTGGCAATGTTTGTAATTACCAATTAGTCACAAAGGATATAAGTTGGTAATGTGAAGCCAACAATAAGGTTATGTTTTTGTCTTCTTATTGTCATGTTGACATGTTGCAGATCCCATTGTTATGTAGAGTGACAGTGATATTGTAAAACATTAGTAACATCAATTTGAATCATGTGTAGGTCTACCACCAGAAAAGGCAGCTGCAGGCCCTACCACAGCAGCTGGAGAAGGAGTGTCTGTTTCCGTAGAAGTCATGGAGGAGGGGGGGAATATCCACCATGCCTCTGACTTAGGAGTTGTGGAAGATTGAGAGGCATTGTAGTTTTATATATATTTATGTGTGCATTTATGTGTCTTGTGTGTGCTTGTAATTTTGTATTATAGTTAATTAACTTATTAGAAGTGCAGTTTTTGTGTTTTGGTGTTACCTCCTGATTTTTTTGATGCTCTTACCATTTTTGTAAATAAAGGTTTGTAATGAAAACTTTATAAAGGTTTACTTAAATGTGTTTTATGTGCGCACTGCAGCCACATTGTGTGGTCAAACAAAAACTGTTCTGATGGAACAGTTATGTGTCATACATCTGTGTTGCTAAACCATTTTCCATGTAAATTATTAGCACTTCCACTCAACCATTAACTTTGGTGTTGATCATTAAAAGTAATCCTTATGTATTTGCTTTTGAAAGGATGCTTACATCACAGATCAAGAATTGGGATTTCAATAATAACAGTCTTCTGCACTGATGATGTCCACATTGAGATGTACTGTATATATAGATGTATCTAAGGGAAAAAGTAGAAAGCAATTTGAGCATAACTGCTTGTTTACTCCAGTAAACTAGATAATTCTTTTGCAGACATGCTGAATTTGACATACTTTTTGATAAAATGACCTCAAACCTTTCACAAAGTCAATAATACACCAAAGACAAATGTTGTTCCTGTAGTGCACCTCAGTGCTCAAAAAACAGTACTACATTTGTCTGCTGTAAAATGACATACTTTTTGATAAAATGACCTCAAACCTTTCACAAAGTCAATAATACACCAAAGACAAATGTTGTTCCTGTAGTGAACCTCAGTGCTCAAAAAACAGTACTACATTTGTCTGCTGTAAAATGATATTGAATTCACAGTTTTTCCAGATCTTTTCACATACAGCCTTGTCTGCTGTAAAATGACATACTTTTTGATAAAATGACCTCAAACCTTTCACAAAGTCAATAATACACCAAAGACAAATGTTGTTCCTGTAGTGCACCTCAGTGCTCAAAAAACAGTACTACATTTGTCTGCTGTAAAATGATATTGAATTCACAGTTTTTCCAGATCTTTTCACATACAGCCAGAGCCAGATTAACCATGAGGCACACTGAGGCTGAAATTTCAGGGCGTTTGGCTATGGGTAGCCACTCAGCCACAGTAAAAGCTGCAATAACGCTGATGAGCTGCGCCCAATGTGAGAAGAATTATGCTTATGACAAATGTGTGCCTCTCAGTGGCCATAACTACTTTGTCTGCTGGCTCTGCAGTAGATTGACGCTCCCCAGCGTATTTATATTTAATATATTTAACCTGATGTAGCTGCAAGACGAAGCCTCGTTGACTCTCCGTTTCAACTTATCTCCAAAGTGAGGACCTCAACCTATATACCAGTTATTAAATTGTGTTGATAAGCCAAATAAAAACAGAGTTATGATAAATTATGTCCGTGATACTTTGTTTCTGCTTATTTTGATCACGTTCGGCGCTCAATCGCGCTGTATGAGTCACGAAAACATACCATGCAGACATTAGCAACAGGTCTTACAGGCGGAAGGCTTGCCAAAAAAAATTAAAAACACACCACAACATCTCTCCTATTGGTGGAAAAGTTCACCACAACAACCAATCCAAAATTATCTGGTGACTGATTGACAAGGGGCGGGCGCTTACGTTCTTCCTGCAACATGAGAAGGGAGGGAGGGACTCTCAGCAGGGATGCAGTCTGGGACACGTAGTTGCAAACCTAGCGACTTTGTTGTTAGATTCAATGACTTTTCAGACCCCCTAACGACTTTTTTTTAGAAAGAAAGGGACTTTTATCGACTTCTTTTGGATTTTACAGACTCTGACATGAAGCAAGCTTTCCTTAATGAGGAATAAACAACGCTGCTAAAGGTGCAGAGTCACACATGCGCTCCGAGCTGTGCATGGGAGACTGAAGCTGACAGAGCTGCAGCAGTTAGCAGGTTTCACCCTCAGAGACCACCAGGGGTTCATGTTGAGGCATTTTCAGTTTTTTTGTCTTTTTTTGGCATAGACACTGTCAGCACAATCTGCAGTTACACTAACAAAAATGCTGCAAAAAACAAAGAATTATGGCAAAATTACACATGGAGTAACATAGAGGAGGATCTACACAAGTTTTTTACATCATGTTTTACATCATGCATCATTTACAACATGTTTTTTTGTAGTCACTAAAATAAAAGGTGACATTTGTGAGACTATACAGTGTTTTGTAAATAATTTTACAAAGAACGCATGGACCATTGCCTGCATTTTGATGTAAATAGAGTTAAATTACTATGTTCTTTGTTAAATTTGCATATGTTTTGAAATTGACAATTTTTATTTGAAGTTTAAGTTTTAAAAACAGTTCATCACACATATTTGTGGTTTTCACAGTAAAACGTTACTTTTTGGATATGTTTTGTGTGTGAATTTGGGTCCAATGTGTAAATCTAGTATATCAAAATGATAAAAAAAAACTGTAAATTGACACAGGTGAGGTTGTGCTGAAAAAAATGATACCAGGCAAGGCAAGGTACAAAAATTTTAAGAGGAAATATAAAGGTAAAATCTAAAGTAGGCAAAAACGGCCAATAGTGACTCCCAGACTCCATAGACAAGTCCCTTTAGTGCCACTCAGTGGGCAAAACTACTTTGTCTGCTGTAATGTATATTTGAATCATCTTTGACGCCCCCTAAAACGTAAAACGTGGGGTGCAGCGTCATGATTTTTACAACTTTGAATGGCCATGGAGTGTAGATTGGCCTGAGCAAATTTGGTGTCAGTGGGACAAAAGCCTTCGGAGGAGTTAGCAAAATTCCAATGTGTGCAAATCTGCAAAAAATGCAGAATAACCCTTTAACCGTACATTTGACAGATACGCGCACATTGACTTTTTCATAGATCTTATTGAGATTCATGTGGTTGTCAAATTGTGTGTAAATATGACAAAGCGTACAGGCGTGACACTCGACAATGTGTATTTTCACCTTAGGAGACAAGAAAAAATGGACTTTTTTCTCCTGCCATGGGGGGGCACTCTTTTGGCGAGTAAAATTTCCTTCACAAATGTGTTAATTGCTGGACATTGCATCATCCTAGACAACTTGGAGGCCAGTGAGGACAAAAATAAAAAGTTATAAGACTTTTAAGACTGTGGATTTTTGGGTTATCTTTGGTGCCCCCTAGAACCTAAACCGTGGGGTGCAGCGTCATGATTTGTACAACTTTGAATGGCCATGGAGTGTAGATTGGCCTGAGCAAATGTGGTGTCAGTGGGACAAAAGCCTTCGGAGGACTTAGAAAAATTCCAATGTGTGCAAATTTGCAAAAAATGCAGAATAACCCTTTAACCGTACATTTGACAGATACGCGCACATTGACTTTTTCGTAGATCTTATTGAGATTCAAGTGGTTGTCAAATTGTGTGTAAATATGACAAAGCGTACAGGCGTGACACTCGACAATGTGTATTTTCACCTTAGGAGACAAGAAAAAATGGACTTTTTTCTCCTGCCATGGGGGGGCACTCTTTTGGCGAGTAAAAATTCCTTCACAAATGTGTTAATTGCTGGACATTGCAACATCCTAGAGAACTTGGAGGCCAGTGAGGACAAAAATAAAAAGTTATAAGACTTTTAAGACTGTGGATTTTTGGGTTATCTTTGGCGCCCCCTAGAACCTAAACCGTGGGGTGCAGCGTCATGATTTGTACAACTTTTAATGGCCATGGGGTGTAGATTGGCCTGAGCAAATGTGGTGCCAGTGGAACGAAAGCCTTCGGAGGAGTTAGCGAAATTCCAATGTGTGCGGATCGGCAAAAAATGCGAAATAACCCTTTAACCATACATTTGACAGATACGCCCGCACTGACTTTTTTGTAGATCTTATTGAGATACACGTGTGTGTCAATTTTTGTGTCAATATGACAAAGCGTACAGGCGTGACAGTCAATAGTGTGAATTTTCACCTTAGGGGGCGCTATGGAGCCGTTTTGCATTTTATTGTTTGGGCGACTTCAGAATATCGAATTTTTCACCAGGCCCGGTCGTCCTGCCAAATTTCATGAGTTTTCGCCAGTGGGAAGTGGGCCATTTTCCAGTTCAAAGGGGCAGAAAAATAATAAGAAGAAGACTAGGGCCCCGTTGGGGCACTGGCGGGCCCGAGCCGTGTCGCGCCCCCCCCCCCCAACGCGACCGCCTCCCCGTCCCATTTGTGTCCTCTGGCCATCACCCTCTCTGGTAACGCCCATCACTGCAAAGACCCTTTTCCTTCATCGGCGTTTGCTGTTCTTCCTGCCAGTGCGTGTTGCTTTCACTTACACTTGCCACAGCCAGCCTCGTGAGTGCCTAGCCTATTGGATATCACTGTCACCTACACAGGACAGTCATTACCTTTCTATTAATACTTTGTTTTTTAATTTCACATTAATTTCCATATTGTATAAACAACTGGAAAAAACTTGAGCCCCTGCCCCTGTATAATCATGTGCACGTCTCTGTTCTAGCTCCAAGGTGAATCTTCACTGCTCATGTTCTCCTCAGAAGCAGTCACCTCACTCCCCTCAGGTTACTATACACATGCACCAACTGCCTGCTTCAGGTTTGGATGGAGCTTCATGGTTGTCTTTTGGAGAAATGACCAGTCAAGTTGTGTTTGAAATTTGATTTTTTTCAGGGGCAAAAGGAAGTCTCTGCATTGTTGTCAAATATGTAAATAGCATGTTTTTGCAGGTGCTGAAAAACAGACTCTGAGTGTGTATGTGTGTGTGTGTGTGTGTGTGTGTGTGCGTGCGTGTGTGTGTGTGTCTGTGTGTGTGTGTGTCTGTGTGTGTGTATCCTGCAGTACTCTGTACTCCTGCAGTGGCCAAAACGACTTTTAAGAATGTGGATATTTGGGTCATCTTTGGCGCCCCCTAGAACGTAAACCATGGGGTGCAGCGGCATGATTTTTACAACTTTGAATGGCCATGGGGTGTAGATTGGCCTGAGCAAATTTGGTGTCAGTGGGACGAAAGCCTTAGGAGGAGTTAGCCACATTCCAATGTGTGCGAATCGGCAAAAAATGCAAAATAGCCGTTTAGCCGTACATTTTACAGATACGCGCGCATTGTCTTTTTCGTAGATCTTATTGAGATACACGTGTGTGTCAAATTTTTTGTCAATATGACAAAGCGTACAGGCGTGAATCTCAACAATGTGTATTTTCACCTTAGGGGACAAGAAAAAATTGACTTTTTTGTCCTGCCATGGGGGGGCGCTCTTTTGGGGAGTAAAAATTCCTTCACAAATGTGTTTATGGCTGGACATTGCATCATCCTAGAAAACTTGGAGGCCAGTGGGGACAAAAATAAAAAGTTATAAAACTTTTAAGAATGTGGATTTTTGGGTTATTTTTGGCGCCCCCTAGAACCTAAACCATGGGGTGCAGCATCATGATTTGTACAACTTTGAATGGCCATGGAGTGTAGATTGGCCTGAGCAAATGTGGTGCCGGTGGAACGAAAGCCTTCGGAGGAGTTAGCGAAATTCCAATGTGTGCGGATCGGCAAAAAATGCGAAATAACCCTTTAAACGTACATTTGACAGATACGCCCGCACTGACTTTTTTGTAGATCTTATTGAGATACATGTGTGTGTCAATTTTTGTGTCAATATGACAAAGCGTACAGGCGTGACAGTCAATAGTGTGAATTTTCACCTTAGGGGGCGCTATGGAGCCATTTTGCATTTTATTGTTTGGGTGACTTCAGAATATCGAATTTTTCACCAGGCCCGGTCGTCCTGCCAAATTTCATGAGTTTTCGCCAGTGGGAAGTGGGCCATTTTCCAGTTTAAAGCGGAGGAAAAATAATAACTAGGGCCCCGTTGGGGCACTGGCGGGCCCGAGCCGTGTTCCCCCCCAACGCGCTGCCTCCCTGTCCCATTTGCGTCCTCTGGCCATCGCCCTCTCTGGTAACGCCCATCACTGCAAAGACCCTTTTCCTTCATCGGCGTTTGCTGTTCTTCCTTCCAGTGCGTGTTGCTTTCACTTACACTTGCCACAGCCAGCCTCGTGAGTGCCTAGCCTATTGGATATCACTGTCACCTACACAGGACAGTCATTACCTTTCTATTAATACTTTGTTTTTTAATTTCACATTAATTTCCATATTGTATAAACAACTGGAAAAAACTTGAGCCCCTGCCCCTGTATAATCCAAAATGACTTTTAAGAATGTGGATTTTTGGGTCATCTTTGGCGCCCCCTAGAACTGCAGTACTCTGTACTCCTGCAGTGGCCAAAATGACTTTTAAGAATGTGGATTTTTGGGTCATCTTTGGCGCCCCCTAGAACGTAAACCGTGGGGTGCAGCGTCATGATTTTTACAACTTTGAATGGGCATGGGGTGTAGATTGCCCTGAGCAAATTTGGTATCAGTGGGACGAAAGCCTTAGGAGTAGTTAGCGAAATTCCAATGTGTGCGAATCGGCAAAAAATGCGAAATAGCCCTTTAACCGTACGTTTGACAGATACGTGCCTATTGACTTTTTTGTAGATCTTATTGAGATACACGTGATTGTTAAATTGTGTGTCAATATGACAAAGTGTATAGGCGTGACACTCAACAATGTGTATTTTTACCTTAGGAGACAAGAAAAAATGGACTTTTTTCTCCTGCCATGGGGGGGCGCTCTTTTGGGGAGTAAAAATTCCTTCACAAATGTGTTGATGGCTGGACATTGCATCATCCTAGAAAACTTGGAGGCCAGTGAGGACAAAAATAAAAAGTTATAAGACTTTTAAGAATGTGGATTTTTGGGTTATCTTTGGCGCCCCCTAGAACGTAAACCGTGGGGTGCAGCGTCATGATTTTTACAACTTTGAATGGGCATGGGGTGTAGATTGCCCTGAGCAAATTTGGTATCGGTGGGACGAAAGCCTTAGGAGGAGATAGCCACATTCCAATGTGTGCGAATCGGCAAAAAATGCGAAATAGCCCTTTAACCGTACATTTGACAGATACGTGCCTATTGACTTTTTTGTAGATCTTATTGAGATACACGTGATTGTTAAATTGTGTGTCAATATGACAAAGTGTATAGGCGTGACACTCAACAATGTGTATTTTTACCTTAGGAGACAAGAAAAAATGGACTTTTTTCTCCTGCCATGGGGGGGGCGCTCTTTTGGGGAGTAAAAATTCCTTCACAAATGTGTTGATGGCTGGACATTGCATCATCCTAGAAAACTTGGAGGCCAGTGAGGACAAAAATAAAAAGTTATAAGACTTTTAAGAATGTGGATTTTTGGGTTATCTTTGGCGCCCCCTAGAACGTAAACCGTGGGGTGCAGCGTCATGATTTGTACAACTTTGAATGGCCATGGGGTGTAGATTGGCCTGAGCAAATTTGGTGCCGGAGGAACGAAAGCCTTCGGAGGAGTTAGCGAAATTCCAATGTGTGCGGATCGGCAAAAAAAGCGAAATAGCCCTTTAACCGTACATTTGACAGATACGCCCGCACTGACTTTTTCGTAGATCTTATTGAGATACACATGTGTGTCAAATTTTGTGTCATTTTGACAAAGCGTACAGGCATCAGGTGACTTTTCACCATAGGGGGCGCTATGGAGCCATTTTTCGTTTTTTTGTTTGGACGACTTCAGAATATCAAATTTTTCACCAGGCCCGGTCGTCCTGCCAAATTTCCTGAGTTTTCGCCAGTGGGAAGTGGGCCATTTTCCAGTTTAAAGCGGAGGAAAAATAACGAAAGAAGAATCCATCAGGAACAAGAGGGCTCTCGCAGCTGCTTAGCAGCTACGCTCGGGCCCTAACTAGGGCCCCGTTGGGGCACTGGCGGGCCCGAGCCGTGTCGCGCCGCCCCCCCCCCCCCCCCCCCCCAACGCGCTGCCTCCCCCCAACGCGCTGCCTCCCCGTCCCATTCGTGTCCTCTGGCCATCGCCCTCTCTGGTAACGCCCATCACTGCAAAGACCCTTTTCCTTCATCGGCGTTTGCTGTTCTTCCTGCCAGTGCGTGTTGCTTTCACTTACACTTGCCACAGCCAGCCTCGTGAGTGCCTAGCCTATTGGATATCACTGTCATCTACACAGGACAGTCATTACCTTTCTATTAATACTTTGTTTTTTAATTTCACATTAATTTCCATATTGTATAAATGACTGGAAAAAACTTGAGCCCCTGCCCCTGTATAATCATGTGCACATCCCTGTTCTAGCTCCAAGGTGAATCTTCACTGCTCATGTTCTCCTCAGAAGCAGTCACCTCACTCCCCTCAGGTTACTGTACACATGCACCAACTGCCTGCTTCAGGTTTGGATGGAGCTTCATGGTTGTCTTTTGGAGAAATGAGCAGTCAAGTTGTGTTTGAAATTTGATTTTTTTCAGGGGCAAAAGGAGCCTCTGCATTCTTGTCAAATATGTAAATAGCATGTTTTTGCAGGTGCTAAAAAACAGACTCTGAGTGTGTCTGTGTGTGTGTCTGTGTGTGTGTATATATCTTGCAGTACTCTGAGAAGAATAATAAGCATATTTCTGCGGTGAATTTTGAAGATTCATCTGAGAGTTAGGAGGGCTGATCATTCCCTTACCCTTTAGATGTCTGTCTATGTCTGTTTTTGTGTGATAATGAAAGAATCCCAACTCAAAAAGGCTCTGTTGATGTTTTTTTTTGTTGTTCATTCATATTCAAACCACTATTTTATATCACTGCTAATACGCCAAGACCATTTTATGGTATTTAGCTTTATTATTTCTATACATTTTGCAAGGAAAGAAACCAAGGCCTTCACTAAAATTTCCATAAACTTTAGGAAAGGACCTCTGGTTGTTTAAGGGGGTCATTACTGCAAAAAAATATTCTTCCTAAATTTTGAAGGTCAAACCTTAGATCCATTAGGTTTAAATAGAAAAAGCATTAAAATATGTTAGGATTATAGCATATGACAAATGTGTGCCTCTCAGTGGCATAACTACTTTGTCTGCTGGCTCTGCAGTCGATTGACGCTCCCCAGCGTTCAAGTCACATGACATATTTAACCGGATGTAGCTGCAAGACGGAGCCTCGTTCACCCTCCGTTTCAACTTATCTCAAAAGTGAGAACCTCAAACTATATACCAGTTTTTAAATTGTGTTGATAGGCCAAATAAAACCAGAGTTATGATAAATTATGTCCGCGATACTTTTTTTCTGCTTATTTTGATCACGTTCGGCGCTCGATCACGCTGTATGAGACAGGAAAACATAGCATGCAGACATTAGCGACAGCTCTTACAGGCGGAAAAGGCATGCCAAAAGAAAAAAAAAACACACCACAACATCTCTCCTATTGGTGGAAAACTTCACCACAACAACCAATCCAAAATTATATGGTGACTGATTGACAAGGGGCGGGCGCTTACGTTCTTCCTGCAATATGAGAAGGGAGGGAGGAACTCTCAGCAGGGATGCAGTCTGGGAAACGTAGTTGCAAACCTAGCGACTTTGTTGTTAGATTCAATGACTTTTCAGACCCCCTAACGACTTTTTTTTAGAAAGAAAGGGAATTTTATCGACTTCCTCTGGAGTTTAGAGACTCTGACATGAAGCAGGCTTTCCTTACTGAGGAGTTAGCAACGCTGCTAAGGGTGCAGAGCCACACATGCGCTCCGAGCTCTGCATGGGAGACTAGAGCTGAGAGAGCTGCAGCAGTTAGCAGGTTTCACCCTCAGAGACCACCAGGAGTTCATGTTGAGGCATTTTCAGTTTGTTTGTTTTTTTGCCATAGACACTGTCAGCACAATCTGCAGTTACACTAACAAAAATGCTGCAAAAAACAAAGAATTATGGAAAAATTACACATGGACTGACATAGAGGAGGATCTACACAAGTTTTTTACATCATGTTTTACATCATGCATCATTTACATCATGTTTTTTTGTAGTGGCATAAATAAAAAGTGACATTTGTGAGACTATACAGTGTTTTGTAAATAATTTTACAAAGAACGCCTGGGCCATTGCCTGCATTTTGATGTAAATAGAGGTAAATTACTATGTTCTTTGTTAAAAATTTGCATATGTTTTTAAGTTTACAATTTTTATTTGAAGTTTAAGTTTTAAAAACAGTTCATCACACATATTTGTGGTTTAATTTCACATTAATTTCCATATTGTATAAATGACTGGAAAAAACTTGAGCCCCTGCCCCTGTATAATCATGTGCACGTCCCTGTTCTAGCTCCAAGGTGAATCTTCACTGCTCATGTTCTCCTCAGAAGTAGTCACCTCACTCTCCTCAGGTTACTGTACACATGCACCAACTGCCTGCTTCAGGTTTGGATGGAGCTTCATGGTTGTCTTTTGGAGAAATGAACAGTCAAGTTGTGTTTGAAATTTGATTTTTTTCAGGGGCAAAAGGAAGCCTCTGCATTCTTGTCAAATATGTAAACAGCATGTTTTTGCAGGTGCTAAAAAACAGACTCTGAGTGTGTGTGTGTGTGTGTGTGTGTGTGTGTGTGTGTGTGTGTGTGTGTGTGTGTGTGTTGGCGTGTGTGTATATGTGTGTGTGTCCGGCAGTACTCTGTACTCCTGCAGTGGCCAAAAAGACTTTTAAGAATGTGGATTTTTGGGTCATCTTTGGCGCCCCCTAGAACTGCAGTACTCTGTACTCCTGCAGTGGCCAAAATGACTTTTAAGAATGTGGATTTTTGGGTCATCTTTGGCGCCCCCTAGAACGTAAACCGTGGGGTGCAGCGTCATGATTTTTACAACTTTGAATGGCCATGGGGTGTAGATTGCCCTGAGCAAATTTGGTATCGGTGGGACAAAAGCCTTAGGAGGAGATAGCCACATTCCAATGTGTGCGAATCGGCAAAAAATGCGAAATAGCCCTTTAACCATACATTTGACAGATACGTGCCTATTGACTTTTTTGTAGATCTTATTGAGATACACGTGATTGTCAAATTGTGTGTCAATATGACAAAGTGTATAGGCGTGACACTCAACAATGTGTATTTTTACCTTAGGAGACAAGAAAAAATGGACTTTTTTCTCCTGCCATGGGGGGCGCTCTTTTGGGGAGTAAAAATTCCTTCACAAATGTGTTGATGGCTGGACATTGCATCATCCTAGAAAACTTGGAGGCCAGTGAGGACAAAAATAAAAAGTTATAAGACTTTTAAGAATGTGGATTTTTGTGTTATCTTTGGCGCCCCCTAGAAAGTAAACCGTGGGGTGCAGCATCATGATTTGTACAATTTTTAATGGCCATGGGGTGTAGATTGGCCTGAGCAAATTTGGTGCCGGTGGAACGAAAGCCTTCGGAGGAGTTAGCGAAATTCCAATGTGTGCGGATCGGCAAAAAAAGCGAAATAGCCCTTTAACCGTACATTTGGCAGATACGCCCGCACTGACTTTTTCGTAGATCTTATTGAGATACACATGTGTGTCAAATTTTGTGTCATTTTGACAAAGCGTACAGGCATCAGGTGAGTTTTCACCATAGGGGGCGCTATGGAGCCATTTTTCATTTTTTTGTTTGGACGACTTCAGAATATCAAATTTTTCACCAGGCCCGGTCGTCCTGCCAAATTTCCTGAGTTTTCGCCAGTGGGAAGTGGGCCATTTTCCAGTTTAAAGCGGAGGAAAAATAACGAAAGAAGAATCCATCAGGAACAAGAGGGCTCTCGCAGCTGCTTAGCAGCTACGCTCGGGCCCTAAAGAAGAAGAAAGAAGAATCCATCAGGAACAACAGTGCTCTCGCAGCTGCTTAGCAGCTACGCTCGGGCCCTAACTAGGACCCCGTTGGGGCACTGGCGGGCCCGAGCTGTGTCGCGTCCCCCCCCCAACGCGCTGCCTCCCCGTCCCATTTGTGTCCTCTGGCCATCGCCCTCTCTGGTAACGCCCATCACTGCAAAGACCCTTTTCCTTCATCGGCGTTTGCTGTTCTTCCTGCCAGTGCGTGTTGCTTTCACTTACACTTGCCACAGCCAGCCTCTTGAGTGCCTAGCCTATTGGATATCACTGTCACCTACTCAGGACAGTCATTACCTTTCTATTTAGGGCCCGAGCCAGCTGCAGAGCAGCCGGGCGTAGGCCCTATTATTCCCCAAGAGGTTTTTAGGGCCCGAGCCAGCTGCAGAGCAGCCGGGCGTAGGCCCTATTATTCCCCAAGTGGTTTTTCTTTGTTTCTTTCTTTAGGGCCCGAGCGTAGCTGCTAAGCAGCTGCGAGAGCCCTCTTGTTCCTGTAGTTTCCTTCTTTTTAGGGCCCGAGCGTAGCTGCTAAGCAGCTGCGAGAGCCCTATTATTCCCCAAGGGGTTTTTCTTTGTTTCTTTCTTTCTTCTTTTTCCTCCCCTTTGAACTGGAAAATGGCCCACTTCCCACTGGCGAAAACTCATGAAATTTGGCAGGATGACCGGGCCTGGTGAAAAATTTGATATTCCGAAGTCGCCCAAACAATAAAATGCAAAATGGCTCCATAGCGCCCCCTAAGGTGAAAATTCACACTATTGACTGTCACGCCTTTACGCTTTGTCATATTGACACAAAAATTGACACACATATGTATCTTAATAAGATCTACAAAAAAGTCAGTGCGGCCGTATCTGTCAAATGTACGGTTAAAGGGTTATTGCGCATTTTTTGCCGACCCGCACACATTGGAATTTCGCTAACTCCTCCGAAGGCTTTCGTTCCACCGGCACCACATTTGCTCAGGCCAATCTACACCCCGTGGCCATTAAAAGTTATCAAAATCATGACGCTGCACCCCAAGGTTTAGGTTCTAGGGGGCGCCAAAGATAACACTAAAATCCACATATTTAAAAGTCTTATAACTTTTTATTTTTGTCCTCACTGGCCTCCAAGTTTTCTAGGATGATGCAATGTCCAGCCATCAACACATTTGTGAAGGAATTTTTACTCCCCAAAAGAGCGCCCCCCCATGGCAGAAGAAAAAAGTCCATTTTTTCTTGTCCCCTAAGGTGAAAATACACATTGTTGAGTGTCACGCCTATACGCTTTGTCAAAATGACACAAAAATTGACACACACATGTAACTCAATAAGATCTACGAAAAAGTCAATGCGCGCGTATCTGTCAAATGTACGGTTAAAGGGTTATTCCGCATTTTTTGCCGATCCGCACACATTGGAATGTGGCTAACTCCTCCTAAGGCTTTCGTTCCACCGGCACCACATTTGCTCAGGCCAATCTACACCCCATGGCCATTAAAAGTTATTCAAATCATGACGCTGCACCCCACGGTTTAGGTTCTAGGGGGCGCCAAAGATAACCCTAAAATCCACATATTTAAAAGTCTTATAACTTTTTATTTTTGTCCTCACTGGCCTCCAAGTTTTCTAGGATGATGCAATGTCCAGCCATCAACACATTTGTGAAGGAATTTTTACTCCCCAAAAGAGCGCCCCCCCATGGCAGGAGAAAAAAGTCCATTTTTTCTTGTCCCCTAAGGTGAAAATACATATTGTTGAGATTCACGCCTATACGCTTTGTCATATTGACACAAAATTTGACAATCACGTGCCTTGCCTGGTATCATTTTTTTCAGCACAACCTCACCTGTGCGAATTTACAGTTATTTTATCATGTTGACATACTGAATTTACACAATGGACCCAAATTCACACACAAAACATAAAATCCAAGTGGAAAAAAGTAACATTTTTACTGTGAAAACCACAAATATGTGTGATGAACTGTTTTTAAAACTTAAACTTCAAATAAAAATTGTAAACTTCAAAACATATGCAAATTTTTAACAAAGAACATAGTGATTTACCTCTATTTACATCAAAATGCAGGCAATGGCCCAGGCGTTCTTTGTAAAATTATTTACAAAACACTGTATAGTCTCACAAATGTCACTTTTTATTTATGCCACTACAAAAAAACATGATGTAAATGATGCATGATGTAAAACATGATGTAAAAAACTTGTGTAGATCCTCCTCTATGTCAGTCCATGTGTAATTTTTCCATAATTCTTTGTTTTTTGCAGCATTTTTGTTAGTGTAACTGCAGATTGTGCTGACAGTGTCTATGGCACAAAAAAAAAAAAAAAATTAAAATGCCTCAACATGAACCCCTGGTGGTCTCTGAGGGTGAAACCTGCTAACTGCTGCAGCTCTGTCAGCTTCAGTCTCCCATGCAGAGCTCTGAGCGCATGTGTGGCTCTGCACCCTTAGCAGCGTTGCTAACTCCTCAGTAAGGAAAGCCTGCTTCATGTCAGAGTCTCTAAACTCCAGAAGAAGTCGATAAAAGTCCCTTTCTTTCTAAAAAAAAGTCGTTAGGGGGTCTGAAAAGTCATTGAATCTAACAACAAAGTCGCTAGGTTTGCAACTACGTGTCCCAGACTGCATCCCTGCTGAGAGTCCCTCCCTCGCTTCTCATGTTGCAGGAAGAACGTAAGCGCCCGCCCCTTGTCAATCAGTCACCATATAATTTTGGATTGGTTGTTGTGGTGAAGTTTTCCACCAATAGGAGAGATGTTGTGGTGTGTTTTTTTTTTCTTTTGGCAAGCCTTTTCCGCCTGTAAGACCTGTCGCTAATGTCTGCATGCTATGTTTTCCTGTCTCATACAGCGCGATCGAGCGCCGAGCGTGATCAAAATAAGCAGAAAAAAAGTATCGCAGACATAATTTATCATAACTCTGGTTTTATTTGGCCTATCAACACAATTTAAAAACTGGTATATAGGTTGAGGTCCTCACATTTGAGATAAGTTGAAATGGAGAGTCAACGAGGCTCCGTCTTGCAGCTACATCCGGTTAAATATGTCATGTGACTTGAACGCACACACAGACACACACACACACACACACACACACACACACACACACACTCAGAGTCTGGTTTTTAGCACCTGCAAAAACATGCTATTTACATATTTGACAAGAATGCAGAGGCTCCTTTTGCCCCTGAAAAAAATCAAATTTCAAACACAACTTGACTGCTCATTTCTCCAAAAGACAACCATGAAGCTCCATCCAAACCTGAAGCAGGCAGTTGGTGCATGTGTACAGTAACCTGAGGGGAGTGAGGTGAGTGCTTCTGAGGAGAACATGAGCAGTGAAGATTCACCTTGGAGCTAGAACAGAGACATGCACATGATTATACAGGGGCAGGGGCTCAAGTTTTTTCCAGTCGTTTATACAATATGGAAATTAATGTGAAATTAAAACACAAAGTATTAATAGAAAGGTAATGACTGTCCTGTGTAGGTGACAGTGATATCCAATAGGCTAGGGGGGGGGGGGGGGCGCGACACGGCTCGGGCCCGCCAGTGCCCCAACGGGGTCCTAGTGTTATTATTATTATTTTTCCTCCCCTTTGAACTGGAAAATGGCCCACTTCCCACTGGCGAAAACTCATGAAATTTGGCAGGACGACCGGGCCTGGTGAAAAATTTGATATTCCGAAGTCGCCCAAACAAGAAAATGCAAAATGGCTCCATAGCGCCCCCTAAGGTGAAAATTCACACTATTCACTGTCACGCCTGTACGCTTTGTCAAAATGACACAAAAATTGACACACACATGTATCTCAATAAGATCTACAAAAAAGTCAGTGCGGGCGTATCTGTCAAATGTACGGTTAAAGGGTTATTTCGCATTTTTTGCCGATCCGCACACATTGGAATTTCGCTAACTCCTCCGAAGGCTTTCGTTCCACCGGCACCACATTTGCTCAGGCCAATCTACACCCCATGGCCATTAAAAGTTATTCAAATCATGACGCTGCACCCCACGGTTTAGGTTCTAGGGGGCGCCAAAGATAACCCTAAGATCCACATATTTAAAAGTCTTATAACTTTTTATTTTTGCCCTCACTGGCCTCCAAGTTTTCTAGGATGATGCAATGTCCAGCCATCAACACATTTGTGAAGGAATTTTTACTCCCCAAAAGAGCGCCCCCCCATGGCAGGAGAAAAAAGTCCATTTTTTCTTGTCCCCTAAGGTGAAAATACACATTGTTGAGTGTAACACCTGTACGCTTTGGCAAAATGACACGAAAATTGACACACACATGTATCTCAATAAGATCTACGAAAAAGTCAATGCGCGCGTATCTGTCAAATGTACGGTTAAAGGGTTATTCCGCATTTTTTGCCGATCCGCACACATTGGAATTTCGCTAACTCCTCCGAAGGCTTTCGTTCCACCGGCACCACATTTGCTCAGGCCAATCTACACCCCATGGCCATTAAAAGTTATTCAAATCATGACGCTGCACCCCACGGTTTAGGTTCTAGGGGGAGCCAAAGATAACCGTAAAATCCACATATTTAAAAGTCTTATAACTTTTTATTTTTGTCCCCACTGGCCTCCAAGTTTTCTAGGATGATGCAATGTCCAGCCATCAACACATTTGTGAAGGAATTTTTACTCGCCAAAAGAGCGCCCCCCCATGGCAGGAGAAAAAAGTCAATTTTTTCTTGTCCACTAAGGTGAAAATACACATTGTTGAGTGCTACGCCTGTATGTTTTGTCGTATTGACACAAAATTTTACATACACGTGTATTTCAATAAGATCTTCGAAAAAGTCAATGGCCACGTATCTGTAAAATGTACGGTTAAAGGGTTATTTCGCATTTTTTGCAGATTCGCACACATTGGAATTTCGCTAATTCCTCCGAAGGCTTTCGTTCCACCGGCACCACATTTGCTCAGGCCAATCTACACCCCATGGCCATTAAAAGTTATTCAAATCATGACGCTGCACCCCACGGTTTAGGTTCTAGGGGGCGCCAAATATAACCCTAAAATCCACATATTTAAAAGTCTTATAACTTTTTATTTTTGTCCTCACTGGCCTCCATGTTTTCTAGGATGATGCAATGTCCAGCCATCAACACATTTGTGAAGGAGTTTTTTCTCTTTAAAAGAGCGCCCCCCCATGGCAGGAGAATAAAGTCAAGTTTTTCCTGTTCATCATTCAATGGCTCAAACGCGCTCTCTCGGCAAAAGCGAAAGGAGGAGCAACTTGCCATTTGGATATATCTTAGCTGTGTTTGTGCCCTCACTCATGGTCCAGACTTTTTTCAAATAGGACATGGAGTTTTTCTGCAGCGAGCGCTTTGGTAGAAACTGCGCCTCCCGTTCATTATAATGGTAAATGACCACAAACAAGTGCGCACACCATCTTTGGACCTTGAGTGTGACGCGATCGGGTGGGGGAGGCGGTCGCGCTGGGGGCGGCGTGACACGGCTCGGGCCCGCCAGTGCCCCAACGGGGCCCTAGTAATACTTTGTTTTTTAATTTCACATTAATTTCCATATTGTATAAACAACTGGAAAAAACTTGAGCCCCTGCCCCTGTATAATCATGTGCACGTCTCTGTTCTAGCTGTAAGGTGAATCTTCACTGCTCATGTTCTCCTCAGAAGCAGTCACCTCACTCCCCTCAGGTTACTGTACACATGCACCAACTGCCTGCTTCAGGTTTGGATGGAGCTTCATGGTTGTCTTTTGGAGAAATGAGCAGTCAAGTTGTGTTTGAAATTTGATTTTTTTCAGGGGCAAAAGGAGCCTCTGCATTCTTGTCAAATATGTAAATAGCATGTTTTTGCAGGTGCTAAAAACCAGACTCTGAGTGTGTGTGTGTGCGTGTGTGTGTGTGTCTGTGTGTGTGTGTGTGTGTGTGCGTTCAAGTCACATGACATATTTAACCGGATGTAGCTGCAAGACGGAGCCTCGTTGACTCCGTTTCAACTTATCTCAAAAGTGAGGACCTCAACCTATATACCAGTTTTTAAATTGTGTTGATAGGCCAAATAAAACCAGAGTTATGATAAATTATGTCCGCGATACTTGTTTTCTGCTTATTTTGATCACGTTCGGCGCTCGATCGCGCTGTATGAGACAGGAAACATAGCATGCAGACATTAGCGACAGGTCTTACAGGCGGAAAAGGCTTGCCAAAGGAAAAAAAAACACACCACAACATCTCTCCTATTGGTGGAAAACTTCACCACAACAACCAATCCAAAATTATATGGTGACTGATTGACAAGGGGCGGGCGCTTACGTTCTTCCTGCAATATGAGAAGGGAGGGAGGGACTCTCAGCAGGGATGCAGTCTGGGACACGTAGTTGCAAACCTAGCGACTTTGTTGTTAGATTCAATGACTTTTCAGACCCCCTAACGACTTTTTTTTTAGAAAGAAAGTGACTTTTATCGACTTCTTCTGGAGTTTAGAGACTCTGACATGAAGCAGGCTTTCCTTACTGAGGAGTTAGCAACGCTGCTAAGGGTGCAGAGCCACACATGCGCTCCGAGCTCTGCATGGGAGACTGAAGCTGACAGAGCTGCAGCAGTTAGCAGGTTTCACCCTCAGAGACCACCAGGGGTTCATGTTGAGGCATTTTCAGTTTTTTTTTTTTTTTTTGCCATAGACACTGTCAGCACAATCTGCAGTTACACTAACAAAAATGCTGCAAAAAACAAAGAATTATGGAAAAATTACACATGGACTAACATAGAGGAGGATCTACACAAGTTTTTTACATCATGTTTTACATCATGCATCATTTACATCATGTTTTTTTGTAGTGGCATGAATAAAAAGTGACATTTGTGAGACTATACAGTGTTTTGTAAATAATTTTACAAAGAACACCTGGGCCATTGCCTGCATTTTGATGTAAATAGAGGTAAATTACTATGTTCTTTGTTAAAACTTTGCATATGTTTTGAAGTTTACAATTTTTATTTGAAGTTTAAGTTCTTAAAACAGTTCATCACACATATTTGTGGTTTTCACAGTAAAAACGTTACTTTTTTCCACTCGGATTTTATGTTTTGTGTGTGAATTTGGGTCCAATGTGTAAATATAGTATGTCAAAATGATAAAATAACTGTAAATTGACACAGGTGAGGTTGTGCTGAAAAAAATGATACCAGGCAAGGCAAGGTAAATATTTTGTAAGAGGAAATATAAAGGTAAAATCTAAAGTAGTCAAAAACGGCCAATAGTGACTCACAGACTCCACAGACAAGTCCCTTTGGCGCCACTCAGTGGGCAAAACTACTTTGTCTACTGTAATGTATATTTGGGTCATCTTTGGCGCCCCCTAAAACGTAAACCGTGGGGTGCAGCGTCATGATTTTTACAACTTTGAATGGCCATGGAGTGTAGATTGGCCTGAGCAAATTTGGTGTCAGTGGGACGAAAGCCTTAGGAGGAGTTAGCGAAATTCCAATGTGTGCGAATCGGCAAAAAATGCAAAATAGCCCTTTTACCGTACATTATACAGATACGCGCTCTTTGACTTTTTCGTAGATCTAATTGAGATACACATGATTGTCAATTTTTGTGTCATTTTGCCAAAGCGTACAGGCGTGACAGTCAACAATGTGTATTTTCACCTTAGGGGACAAGAAAAAATGGACTTTTTTCTCCTGCCATGGGGGGCGCTCTTTTAGGGAGTAAAAATTCCTTCACAAATGTGTTGATGGCTGGACATTGCATCATCCTAGAAAACTTGGAGGCCAGTGAGGACAAAAATAAAAAGTTATAAGACTTTTAAAAATGTGGATTTTTGGGTTATCTTTGGCGCCCCCTAGAACGAAAACCGTGGGGTGCAGCGTCATGATTTGAATAACTTTTAATGGCCATGGGGTGTAGATTGGCCTGAGCAAATGTGGTGCCGGTGGAACGAAAGCCTTCGGAGGAGTTAGCGAAATTCCAATGTGTGCGAATCGGCAAAAAATGCGGAATAACCCTTTAACCGTACATTTGACAGATACGCGTGCATTGACTTTTTTGTAGATCTTATTGAGATACATGTGTGTGTCAATTTTTGTGTCATTTTGACAAAGCGTACAGGCGTGACACTCAACAATGTGTATTTTCACCTTATGGGACAAGAAAAAATGGACTTTTTTCTCCTGCCATGGGGGGGCGCTCTTTTGGGGAGTAAAAATTCCTTCACAAATGTGTTGATGGCTGGACATTGCATCATCCTAGAAAACTTGGAGGCCAGTGAGGACAAAAATAAAAAGTTATAAGACTTTTAAATATGTGGATTTTAGGGTTATCTTTGGCGCCCCCTAGAACCTAAACCGTGGGGTGCAGCGTCATGATTTGAATAACTTTTAATGGCCATGGGGTGTAGATTGGCCTGAGCAAATGTGGTGCCGGTGGAACGAAAGCCTTCGGAGGAGTTAGCGAAATTCCAATGTGTGCGGATCGGCAAAAAATGCGGAATAACCCTTTAACCGTACATTTGACAGATACGCGCGCATTGACTTTTTCGTAGATCTTATTGAAATACACGTGTATGTCAAATTTTGTGTCAATATGACAAAACATACAGGCGTAGCACTCAACAATGTGTATTTTCACCTTAGTGGACAAGAAAAAATGGACTTTTTTCTCCTGCCATGGGGGGGCGCTCTTTTGGGGAGTAAAAATTCCTTCACAAATGTGTTGATGGCTGGACATTGCATCATCCTAGAAAACTTGGAGGCCAGTGAGGACAAAAATAAAAAGTTATAAGACTTTTAAATATGTGCATTTTAGGGTTATTTTTGGCGCCCCCTAGAACCTAAACCGTGGGGTGCAGCGTCATGATTTGAATAACTTTTAATGGCCATGGGGTGTAGATTGGCCTGAGCAAATGTGGTGCCGGTGGAACGAAAGCCTTCGGAGGAGTTAGCGAAATTCCAATGTGTGCAGATCTGCAAAAAATGCGAAATAACCCATTAAGCGTACATTTGACAGATACGCCCGCACTGACTTTTTTGTAGATCTTATTGAGATACATGTGTGTGTCAATTTTTGTGTCAATATGACAAAGCGTACAGGCGTGACAGTCAATAGTGTGAATTTTCACCTTAGGGGGCGCTATGGAGCCATTTTGCATTTTCTTGTTTGGGCGACTTCGGAATATCAAATTTTTCACCAGGCCCGGTCGTCCGGCCAAATTTCATGAGTTTTCGCCAGTGGGAAGTGGGCCATTTTCCAGTTCAAAGGGGAGGAAAAATAATAACTAGGGCCCCGGTGGGGCACTGTCGGGCCCGAGCCGCGTCGTGCCGCCCCCAGCGTGACTGCCTCCCCCTCCCGATCGCGTCACACTCAAGGTCCAAAGATGGTGTGCGCACTTGTCTGTGGTCATTTCCCATTATAATGAATGGGAGGCGCAGTTTCTACCAAAACACTCGCTGCAGACAAACTTCATGTCCTATTTGAAAAAAGTCTGGACCATGAGTGAGGGCACAAACACAGCTGGGATATATCCAAATGGCGGGTTGCTCCTCGTTACGGTGTTGCCTGGGGAGCGATGCGATTGAGCCATTGAGCGATGGGCAGGAAAAACTTGACTTTTTCTCCTGCCATGGGGGGGGGGGGAGAATGTGGATTCTTTTAAGAATGTGGATTTTTTGGTCATCTTTGGCGCCCCCTAGAACGTAAACCGTGGGGTGCAGCGTCATGATTTTTACAACTTTGAATGGCCATGGGGTGTAGATTGGCCTGAGCAAATTTGGTTTCAGTGGGACGAAAGCCTTAGGAGGAGTTAGCCACATTCCAATGTGTGCGAATCGGCAAAAAATGCAAAATAGCCCTTTAACCGTACATTTGACAGATACGCAGCCATTGACTTTTTCGTAGATCTTATTGAGATACACGTGATTGTCAAATTTTGTGTCAATATGACAAAGCGTACAGGTGTCACACTCAACAATGTGGATTTTCACCTTACGGGACAAGAAAAAATGGACTTTTTTCTCCTGCCATGGGGGGGCGCTCTTTTGGGGAGTAAAAATTCCTTCACAAATGTGTTGATGGCTGGACATTGCATCATCCTAGAAAACTTGGAGGCCAGTGAGGACAAAAATAAAAAGTTATAAGACTTCTAAGAATATGGATTTTTGGGTTATCTTTGGCGCCCCCTAGAACGTAAACCGTGGGGTGCAGCGTCATGATTTGAATAACTTTTAATGGCCATGGGGTGTAGATTGGCCTGAGCAAATGTGGTGCCGGTGGAATGCCAGCCTTAGGAGGAGTTAGCGAAATTCCAATGTGTGCGGATCAGCAAAAAATGCGGAATAACCCTTTAACCGTACATTTGACAGATACGCGCGCAGTGACTTTTTCGTAGATCTTATTGAGATACATGTGTGTGTCAAATTTTGTGTCAATATGACAAAGCGTACAGGCGTGACACTCAACAATGTGTATTTTCACCTTAGGGGACAAGAAAAAATGGACTTTTTTCTCCGGCCATGGGGGGGCGCTCTTTTGGGGAGTAAAAATTCCTTCACAAATGTGTTGATGGCTGGACATTGCATCATCCTAGAAAACTTGGAGGCCAGTGAGGGCAAAAATAAAAAGTTATAAGACTTTTAAATATGTGGATTTTAGGGTTATCTTTGGCGCCCCCTAGAACCTAAACCGTGGGGTGCAGCGTCATGATTTGTACAACTTTGAATGGCCATGGGGTGTAGATTGGCCTGAGCAAATGTGGTGCCGGTGGAACGAAAGCCTTTGGAGGAGTTAGCGAAATTCCAATGTGTGCACCAAAGGTCAGAGGTCAAATAACATTTGTATCTCAAAATGTGACGTCACAGTCAAGGTCCAAAGATGGTGTGCGCACCTGTCTTTGGTCATTTCCCATTATAATGAATGGGAGGAGCAGTTTCTACCAAAATGGTCGCTGCAGACAAACTACATGTCCGATTTGAAAAAAGTCTGGACCATGAGTGAGGGCACAAACACAGCTATGAGGTATCCAAATGGCAAGTGGCTCCTCCTTTTGGTTTTAGCGGGAGAGCGATGCGTTTAAGCCATTGAGCGATGGGCAGGAAAAACTTGACTTTTTCTCCTGCCATGGGGGGGCGCTCTTTTGGGGAGAAAGAATTCCTTCACAAATTTGTTGATGGCTGGACATTGCATCATCCTAGAAAACTTGGAGGCCAGTGAGGACAAAAATAAAAAGTTATGAGACTTTTAAGAATGTGGATATTTGGGTCATCTTTGGCGCCCCCTAGAACGTAAACCGTGGGGTGCAGCGTCATGATGTGTACAACTTTGAATGGCCATGGGGTGTAGATTGACCTGAGAAAATTTGGTGCCGGTGAAACGAAAGCCTTTGGAGGAGTTAGCGAAATTCCAATGTGTGCGGATCGGCAAAAAATGCGAAATAGCCCTTTAACCGTACATTTGACAGATACGCCTGCACTGACTTTTTCGTAGATCTTATTGAGATACACGTGTGTGTCAAATTTTGTGTCAATATGACAAAGCGTACAGGCGTGACAGTCAATAGTGTGAATTTTGACCTTAGAGGGCAAGAAAAACTGGACTTTTCCTCCTGCCATGGGGGGGCGCTCTTTTGGGGAGTAAAAATTCCTTCACAAATGTGTTGATGGCTGGACATTGCATCATCCTAGAAAACTTGGAGGCCACTGAGGGCAAAAATAAAAAGTTATATGACTTTTAAGAATGTGGATTTTTGGGTTATCTTTGGCGCCCCCTAGAACCTAAACCGTGGGGTGCAGCGTCATGATTTGTACAACTTTGAATGGCCATGGGGTGTAGATTGACCTGAGCAAATTTGGTGCCGGTGGAACGAAAGCCTTTGGAGGAGTTAGCGAAATTCCAATGTGTGCTGATCGGCAAAAAATGCGAAATAGCCCTTTAATCGTACATTTGACAGATACGCCTGCACTGACTTTTTTGTAGATCTTATTGAGATACACGTGTGTGTCAAATTTTGTGTCATTTTGACAAAGCGTACAGGCGTGATACTCAATCATGTGAATTTTCACCTTAGGGGGCGCTATGGAGCCATTTTGCATTTTATTGTTTGTGCGACTTCAGAATATCAAATTTTTCACCAGGCCCGGTCTTCCTGCCAAATTTCATGAGTTTTCGTCAGTGGGAAGTGGGCCATTTTCCCCTTCAAAGGGGAGGAAAAATAAGAAGAAAGAAAGAAAGAAAGAAGAAAGAAAAACCGATACAGGAACAATAGGGCTCTCGCAGCGCTAGGGCCCTAACAAAGAAAAACCTATACAGGAACAACAGGGCTCTCGCAGCTGCTTAGCAGCTACGCTCGGGCCCTAACGACAAAGAAGAACCCATAAGGGAATAACAGGGCTCTCGCAGCTGCTTAGCAGCTACGCTCGGGCCCTAAAGAAAGAAAGAAACAAACAAACAAACAAAGAAGAATCCATCAGGAATAATAGGGCTCTACGCCCGGCTGCTCTGCAGCTGGCTCGGGCCCTAATAATAACGAAAGAAGAATCCATCAGGAACAAGAGGGCTCTCGCAGCTGCTTAGCAGCTACGCTCGGGCCCTAAAGAAAGAAAGAAGAAAGAAAAACCCATCGAAAAACAAGAGGGCTCTACGCCCGGCTGCGTTGCAGCTGGCTCGGGCCCTAACGACAAAGAAGAACCCATACAGGAATTACAGGGCTCTCGCAGCTGCTTAGCAGCTACGCTCGGGCCCTAACAACATATTTTAAAAGCCTTAGATGAACATATGGAAGGTCCCAAGAAGGAAATATCATGACAGAACGTATTTTTGGGGACCTGTATTATGTAAAATATGGGTACAAGGTTCTTTGGTTGAGGATGGTTGTAGGAGGCCCATGGCTCCAGCAATCTAACACTGAAGTATCTGAGGTATTTAAGTGACACAGCTCCACCACTCTAAAGGTTGACATGACTGGCTAAAGAAACTCAACCCCATATCCCAAAACCGGGTATTTCCTAAAGGAAGCCTTAACACCCCAAACATTTTTTTTTTCTTTTTCCTATTTTTTTTTGTCTAACTAACTCCAAAAGGTTAGAAAAGAGTTCCTAAAAAGGTTTTGGACAGTGATTTTAACCCTAACACAAAAAACCTTTAACCTTTACCTAACTCTGGAACCTAATACCCGGATATTACCTAAAGAAAGCCCTACCACCCCAAAAAGATTTTTTTTCAAATTTTTTGGGTTTTTTTGGTCTAACTAACTCCAAAAGGTCTGAAACATGTTCCTAAAAAATATTGGACAGTGATTTTAACCCTAATGCTAAAAACCTTAAACCTTAGCCTAACCCCGTAACCTAATCGCTGGGTATTACCTGAAGGAAGCCTTAACACCCCCCAATTTTTAGGGCCCGAGCGTAGCTGCTAAGCAGCTGCGAGAGCCCTCTTGTTCCTGATGGATTCTTCTTTTGTTATTATTAGGGCCCGAGCCAGCTGCAGAGCAGCCGGGCGTAGAGCCCTATTATTCCTGTATAGGTTTTTCTTTCTTCTTTCTTTCTTTCTTTCTTCTTATTTTTCCTCCCCTTTGAAGGGGAAAATGGCCCACTTCCCACTGGCGAAAACTCATGACATTTTGCAGGATGACCGGGCCTGGTGAAAAATTCGATATTCTGAAGTCGCCCAAACAATAAAATGCAAAATGGCTCCATAGCGCCCCCTAAGGTGAAAATTTACACTATTGACTGTCACGCCTGTACGCTTTGTCATATTGACACAAAAATTGACACACACATGTATCTCAATAAGAGCTACAAAAAAGTCAGTGCGGGCGTATCTGTCAAATGTACGATTAAAGGGTTATTTTGCATTTTTTGCAGATCCTAACACATTGGAATTTCGCTAACTCCTCCGAAGGCTTTTGTTCCACCGGCACCACATTTGCTCAGGCCATTCTACACCCCATGGCCATTCAAAGTTGTACAAATCATGATGCTGCAACCCACGGTTAAGGTTCTAGGGGGCGCCAAAGATAACCCAAAAATCCACATTCTTAATAGTCTTATAACTTTTTATTTTTGTCCTCACTGGCCTCCAAGTTTTCTAGGATGATGCAATGTCCAGCCATCAACACATTTGTAAAGGAATTTTTACTCCCGAAAAGAGCGCCCCCCCATGGCAGGAGAAAAAAGTCCAATTTTTCTTGTCCCCTAAGGTAAAAAAACACATTGTTGACTGTCACGCCTATACGCTTTGTCAAAATGACACAAAATTTGACACACACGTGTATCTCAATAAGATCTACGAAAAAGTCAATGGGCACGTATCTGTAAAATGTACGGTTAAAGGGCTATTTCGCATTTTTTGCCGATTCGCACACATTGGAATGTGGCTAACTCCTCCTAAGGCTTTCTTCCCACCGACACCAGATTTGCTCAAGCCGATCTACATCCCATGGCCATTAAAAGTTGTAAAAATCATGCCGCTGCACCCCATGGTTTACGTTCTAGGGGGCGCCAAAGATGACCCAAATATCCACATTCTTAAAAGAATCCACACCCCCCCCCCAAGGCAGGAGAAAAAGTCCAGTTAACCCTGCCCATCGCTCAATGGCTCAATCGCATCGCTCTCCTGGCAACACCGTAAGGAGGAGCAACTTGCCATTTGGATATATCCTAGCTGTGTTTGTGCCCTCACTCATGGTCCAGACTTTTTTCAAATAGGACATGTAGTTTGTCTGCAGCGACCGTTTTGGTAGAAACTGCGCCTCCCATTCATTATAATGGGAAATGACCACAGACAAGTGCGCACACCATCTTTGGACCTTGAGTGTGATGCGATCGGGAGGGGGAGGCGGTCGCGCTGGGGGCAGCGTGACGCGGCTCGGGCCCGACAGTGCCCCACCGGGGCCCTAGTTATTATTTTTCCTCCGCTTTAAACTGGAAAATGGCCCACTTCCCACTGGCGAAAACTCATGAAAATTGGCAGGACAACCGGGCCTGGTGAAAAATTCGATATTCTGAAGTCGCCCAAACAAGAAAATGCAAAATGGCTCAATAGCGCCCCCAAAGGTGAAAATTCACACTATTGACTGTCACACCTATACGCTTTGTCATATTGACACAAAAATTGACACACACATGTATCTCAATAAGATCTACAAAAAAGTCAGTGCGGGCGTATCTGTCAAATGTACGGTTAAAGGGTTATTTCGCATTTTTTGCCGTTCCGCACACATTGGAATTTCGCTAACTCCTCCGAAGGCTTTCGTTCCACCGGCACTACATTTGCTCAGGCCAATCTACACCCCATGGCCATTGAAAGTTGTACAAATCATGACGCTGCACCCCACGGTTTACGTTCTAGGGGGCGCCAAAGATGACCCAAATATCCACATTTTTAAAAGTCTTATAACTTTTTATTTTTGTCCTCACTGGCCTCCAAGTTTTCTAGGATGATGCAATGTGCAGCCATCAACACATCTGTGAAGGAATTTTTTCTCCCCAAAAGAGCGCCCCCCCATGGCAGGAGAAAAAGTCAAGTTTTTCCAGCCCATCGCTTAATGGCTCAAACGCATTGCTCTCCCGCTAAAACCAAAAGGAGGAGCAACTTGCCATTTGGATATGTCCTAGCTGTGTTTGTGCCCTCACTCATGGTCCAGAGTTTTTTCAAATAGGACATGTAGTTTGTCTGCAGCGAGCGTTTTGGTAGAAACTGTGCCTCCCATTCATTATAATGGGAAATGACCAAAGACAGGTGCGCACACCATCTTTGGACCTTGACTTTGACGTCACAGTTTGAGATACAAATGTTATTTGACCTCTGACCTTTGGTGGACACCCTAACCTTTCAACCCGCGAAAACGGCGTTTCAATAGCTCTTACGGCTTTCCTACAAATACACTTTGTTCAGCTACTCCTACTGTCCTTTAAGCTCTGCTTCTCAGATCATCAAAGAGTGTGCACGTGTGTAATGAGCGCATATTGAATGTTAATTATGTTAAATATGTTAATTATTAGAAGAAAAAACAACAACAGTCCTTTTGGACAAAATTTCTTTTTATTACAGAATTAGAATAATGGAAGCATAGTCCAAGGAAACCATTCAAGTGATGTCATACCTCATAATTTATTGAGATGTTGGCTAGTCTGGGCATTTCTTCATTCATCAGGTTTCCTGCATGCATACTAACAGAGCACATCAGTAGCAGTGAGTGATAAGTATGAGTGTGTCATTGTGTAAGAAAGAAAGTGGTTTACTTACACATCCATAGAAAATAGGTGGTTGAGCACAGCACGCAAACAAAGCTTTGCCACAACGGTTGAACTTCCCAAGTAGCTGATACCAAGGTCACACAATCATGGTGAGCAAAGGTCAAACCAGGCCAGGCACTCACGAGGCTGGCTGTGGCAAGTGTAAGTGAAAGCAACACGCAATGGCAGGAAGAACAGCAAACACCGATGAAGGAAAACGGTCTTTGCAGTGATGGGCGTCACCAGAGAGGGCGATGGCCAGAGGGCACGAATGGGACGGGGAGGCGGTCGCGCTGGGGGCGGCGCGACGCGGCTCGAGCCCGCCAGTGCCCCAACGGGGCCCTAGTTATTATTTTTCCTCCGCTTTAAACTGGAAAATGGCCCACTTCCCACTGGCGAAAACTCAGGAAATTTGGCAGGACGACCGGGCCTGGTGAAAAATTCGATATTCTGAAGTCGCCCAAACAATAAAATACAAAATGGCTCCATAGCGCCCCCTAAGGTGAAAATTCACACTATTGACTGTCACGCCTGTATGCTTTGTCATATTGACACAAAAATTGACACACACATGTATCTCAATAAGATCTACAAAAAAGTCAGTGCGGGCGTATCTGTCAAATGTACGGTTAAAGGGTTATTTCGCATTTTTTGCAGATCCGCACACATTGGAATTTCGCTAACTCCTCCGAAGGCTTTCGGTCCACCGGCACCACATTTGCTCAGGCCAATCTACACTCCATGGCCATTCAAAGTTGTACAAATCATGATGCTGCACCCCATGGTTTAGGTTCTAGGGGGCGCCAAAAATAACCCTAAAATCCACATTCTTAAAAGTTTTATAACTTTTTATTTTTGCCCTCACTGGCCTCCAAGTTTTCTAGGATGATGCAATGTCCAGCCATCAACACATTTGTGAAGGAATTTTTACTCCCCAAAAGAGCGCCCATGGCAGGACAAAAAAGTCAATTTTTTCTTGTCCCCTAAGGTGAAAATACACATTGTTGAATGTCACGCCTGTACGCTTTGTCATATTGACACAAAATTTGACAATCACGTGTATCTCAATAAGATCTACGAAAAAGTCAATGCGTGCGTATCTGTAAAATGTACGGTTAAAGGGCTATTTTGCATTTTTTGCCGATTCGCACACATTGGAATGTGGCTAACTCCTCCTAAGGCTTTCGTCCCAGTGACACCAAATTTGCTCAGGCCAATCTACACCCCATGGCCATTGAAAGTTGTAAAAATCATGACGCTGCACCCCATGGTCTACGTTATAGGGGGCGCCAAAGAGGACCCAAATATCCACATTTTTAAAGTCTTATAACTTTTTATCTTTGTCCTCACTGGCCTCCAAGTTTTCTAGGATGATGCAATGTCCAGCCATCAACACATTTGTGAAGGAATTTTTTCTCCCCAAAAGAGCGCCCCCCCATGGCAGGAGAAAAAGTCAAGTTTTTCCTGCCCATCGCTCAATGGCTCAAACGCATCGCTCTCTCGGCAAAACCGAAAGGAGGAGCAACTTGCCATTTGGATATATACTAGCTGTGTTTGTGCCCTCACTCATGGTCCAGACTTTTTTCAAAAAGGACATGGAGTTTGTCTGCAGCGAGCGTTTTGGTAGAAACCTCCCATTCATTATAATGGTAAATGACCACAGACAAGTGCGCACACCATCTTTGGACCTTGAGTGTGACGCGATCGGGAGGGGTAGGCGGTCGCGCTGGGGGCGGCGTGACACGGCTCGGGCCCGCCAGTGCCCCACCGGGGCCCTAGTATTTTTTTTTTTTTTTTCGTTTTTTGTATGTCCAACTAACTCCAAAACGTTGGAAAAGAGTTCCTACAAAGGTTTTGGACAGTGATTTTAACCTTAACGCCAAAAACATTTAACATTTACCTAGCCCTGAAACCAACTACCGGGGTAGTACCTAAAGGAAGCCTTAACAGCCCAAAAAACTTTTTTTTTCATTTTTCCTTTTTTTTTTGGTCTAACTAACTCCAAAATGTTGGAAAAAACTTCTGAAAATGGTTTTGGACAGTGATTTTAACCCCAACGCCAAAAACCTTAAACATTCCCCTAGCCCCGTGACCTATTACCCGGGTATTAACTTAAGAGAGCTCTACCACACCAAAAAACTTTTTTTTCATTTTTCGTTTTTTTTTGGTCTAACTTACTCCAAAAGGTCTGAAACATGTTCTTTAAGAGGTTTTGGACAGAGATTTTAACCATAAAGCCAAAAACCTTAAACCTTACCCTAGCCCCGTAACCTAATACCCGGGTTTTACTGAGAGGAAGTCCTACCACCCCCAAAATCTTTTTTTTCTTTTTCCTTTTTTTTTTCGTCTAACTAACTCCAAAAGGTTAGAAAAGAGTTCCTAAAAAGGTTTTGGACAGTGATTTTAACCCTAACACAAAAAACCTTTAACCTTTACCTAACTCTGGAACCTAATACCCGGGTATTACCTAAAGAAAGCCCTACCACCCCCAAAAATTTTTTTTCAAATTTTTTGGTTTTTTTTGGTCTAACTAACTCCAAAAGGTCTGAAACATGTTCCTAAAAAATATTGGACAGTGATTTTAACCCTAATGCTAAAAACCTTAAACCTTAGCCTAACCCCGTAACCTAATCGCTGGGTATTACCTGAAGGAAGCCTTAACACCCCCCAATTTTATTTTTTTGTTTGATTTTTTCGTTTTTTGTATGTCCAACTAACTCCAAAACGTTGGAAAAGAGTTCCTACAAAGGTTTTGGACAGTGATTTTAACCCTAACGCCAAAAACATTTAACATTTACCTAGCCCTGAAACCTACTACCGGGGTAGTACCTAAAGGAAGCCTTAACAGCCCAAAAAACTTTTTTTTCATTTTTCCTTTTTTTTTTGGTCTAACTAACTCCAAAAGGTTGGAAAAAACTTCTGAAAATGGTTTTGGACAGTGATTTTAACCCCAACGCCAAAACCTTAAACATTCCCCTAGCCCCGTGACCTATTACCCGGGTATTAACTTAAGAGAGCTCTACCACACCAAAAAACTTTTTTTTTCATTTTTTCGTTTTTTTTTTGGTCTAACTTACTCCAAAAGGTCTGAAACATGTTCTTTAAGAGGTTTTGGACAGAGATTTTAACCATAAAGCCAAAAACCTTAAACCTTACCCTAGCCCCGTAACCTAATACCCGGGTTTTACCTAAAGGAAGTCCTACCACCCCCAAAATCTTTTTTTTCATTTTCCTTTTTTTTTTGTCTAACTAACTCCTTAAGGTCTGAAACATGTTCCTAAAAGATATTGGACAGAGATTTTAACCCTAAAGCCAAACACTTTAAACCTTACCCTAGCCCCATAACCTAATACCTGGGTATGACCTTAAGGAAGCGTTAAGACCCCTAACATTTTATTTTTCATTTTTCGTTTTTATTTTTGGTCTAACTAACTTCAAAAGGTCTGGAACATGTTCTTAAAACGGTTTAGGACAGTGTTTTAGACCCTTACGCCAAAAACCTTAAACCTTACCCTAGCTCCAAAACCTAATACCTGGGTAATACCTTAAGGAAGCCTTAAGACCCCTAATATTTTTTTTCTTTTTCCTTTCTTTTTGGTCTAACTCACTCCAAAACGTTGGAAAAGGGTTCTTAAAAAGGTTACGGACATTGATCCTAACCCTAATGCCTAAAACCCTTAATTTTTACCTAGCACTGTAACCTAATACCCAGGTAATACCTAAAGGAAGCCCTACCACCCCAAAGATTTTTTTTTCATTTTTTGCTTTTTTTTGGTCTAAAAGCTCCAAAAGGTTGGACAATAGTTCTTAAAAAGGTCTTGGACAGTGATTTTAACTCTAAAGCCAAACACTTTAAACCTTACCCTAGCCCCGTAACCTAATACCTGGGTATAACCGTAAGGAAGCCTCAACACCCCAAACATTTTATTTTTTATTTCTCTTTTTTTTTAATTGGTCTAACTTACTCCAAATGGTCTGGAACATGTTCTTTAAACGGTTTTGGACAGTGATTTTAACCCTCAGGACAAAAACCTTAAACCTTACCCTAGCCCCATAACCAAATACCAGGGTATTACCTAAAGGAAGCCTTAACACCCCAAACAATTTTTTTTTCATTTTTCTTTTTCTTTTTTTGGTCTAACAACCTCCAAAAGGTTGTAAAAAAAACTTCTTAAAATGGTTTTTGACAGTTATTTTAACCCTAACGCCAAAAACCTTAAACCTGACCCTAGCCCCGTAACCCTAATACCAGGGTATTACCTTTAGGAACCCTCAACACCCCAAACATTTTTTTTTCATTTTCTGTTTTTTTTTGGTGTAATTGACTCCAAAAGGTCTGAAACATGTTCCTAAAAAGGTTTTGGACAGTGATTTTAACTCTAACGCAAAACGACTTAAACTTCCCCTAGCCCCAGGACCTAATACCCGGTTATTACCTTCAGGAAGCCCGAAAACCCCAAATATTTTTTTTCATTTTACATTTTTTTCGGTGTAACCAACTCCAAAAGGTCTGAAGCATGTTCCTAGAAAGGTTTTGGACAGTGATTTTAACACTCCCGATTAAAACCTTAAACCTTACCTAGCCCCGAAACCTAATACCCGGGTTTTACCTTCAGAAAGCCCGCAACCCCAAATATTTTTTTTCATTTTACATTTTTTTCGGTGTAACCACATCCAAAAGGTCTGAAACATGTTCCTAAAAAGGTTTTAGACAGTGATTTTAACCCGAATGCCAAAAACCTTGAACCTCACCCTAGCCCCAAAACCTAATACCTAAAACCCCAAAAATTTTTGTTCTTTTTTTCTGTCTAACTCCAAAAGGTTGGAAAGGAGTTTAAACAAAGGTTTTTGACAGTGATTTAAACCCTAGCGCCAAAAACCCTTTAACCAAAAACTAGTTCATAACTGATTACCCGGGTATTACCTTCAGTAATCCAGAAAACCCCAAATATTTTTTTTCCATTTTTTATTTTTTTTGATCTAAATAACTCCAAAAAGTTGGAAAAGAGTTCCTACAAAGGTTATGGACAGTGATTTTAACCCTAATGCCAAAAACTTTAAACCTTACCCTAGCCCCATAACCTAATATTGCCTTCAGGAGGCCCGAAAACCCCAAATATATTTTTTTTAATTTTACATTTTTTTGGTGTAACCAACTCCAAAAGGTCTGAAACATGTTCCTAAAAAGGTTTTGGACAGTGATTTTAACCCTAACGCCAAAAACCCTTAAACCATCCCCTAGCCCCATAACCTAATACCCGGGTATTACCTTAAGGAAGCCCGAAAACCCCAAATAATTTTTTTTCTTTTTAAATTTTTTTTGGTCTAACTAACTCCAAAAGGTTTGAAACATGTTCTTTAAAAAAATTGGAAAGTGATTTTCACCCTGACGCCAAAAACCATAAACCTTTCCATAGCCCCACAACCTAATACCCGGGTATTACCTTCAGGAAGCCCGAACACCCCAAATATATTTTTTTCAATTTATATTTTCTTTTGGTGAAAAAAACTCCAAAAGGTCTGATACATGTTCTTTAAAAGGATTTGGTCAGTAATTTGAACCATAACACCAAAAACCTTCAACCTTACCCTAGCCCCAAAACCTTATACCCGGATATTACCTTCAGGAAGCCTGAAAACCCCAAATATTTTTTTCTTTTTTTTTGTCTAACTAACTCCAAAAGGTTGGAAAAGAGTTCAAACCAAGGATTTTGACAGTAATTTTAACCCTGGTGCAAAAAACCTTTAACCAAAAACTAGTCCATAACCTATTACCAGGGTATTACCTTCAGGAATCCAGAAAACCCCAAATATTTTTTTTTCATTTTTTATTTTTTTTTGATCTAACTAACTCCAAAAGGTTGGAAAAGAGTTCCTACAAAGGTTTTGGACAGTCATTTTAATCCTAACTCCAAAAACCTTAAAACTTATCATACCCCCAGAACCTAATACCCGGGTATTACGTGAAGGAAGCTCGAACACCCCAAACATTTTTTTTTCATTTTACATTTTATTTTGGTCTTACTAACTCCAAAAGGTTGGAAAAGAGTTCCTAAAAAGGTTTTGGACAGTGACTTTAACCCTAACGCCAAAAACCTTAAACCTTACCCTAGCCCCATAACATAATATTACCTTCAGGAAGCCCGAACACCCCAAATAAATTTTTTTTTATTTTACATTTTTTTGGTGTAACCAGCTCCAAAAGGTCTGAAACATGTTCCTAAAAAGGTTTTGGACAGTGATTTTAACCCTAACGCCAATAACCTTAAACCTTACCCTAGCCCCATAACCTAATTTTACCTTCAGGAAGACCAAACACCGCGAATATGTTTTTTTTGTTTTTACATTTTCTTGGTGTCACCAACTCGAAAAGGTCTGAAATATGTTCCCAAAAAGGTTTTGGACAGTGATTTTAACCCTAATGCCAAAAATCCTTTAACCAAAAACTAGTCCATAACCTAAAATCTGGTATTACCTTAAGGAAGCCCGAAAACCCCAAATATTTTTTTTTCTTTTTTCATTTTTTTTGGTCTAACCAACTCCAAAAGGTCTGAAACATGTTCCTTAAAAAAATTGGACAGTGATTTTAACCCTGATGCCAAAAACCTTAAACCTTTCCATAGCCCCAAAACCTAGTACCCGGGCACTACCTTCAGGAAGCCCGAACACCCCAAATAAATTTTTTTCAATTTATATTTTTTTTTGGTGAAAACAACTCCAAAAGGTCTGATACATGTTCCTTAAAAGGATTTGGTCAGTGATTTGAACCATAACACCAAAAACCTTCAACCTTACCCTAGCCCCATAAACTAATACCCGGGTATTACCTTCAGGAAGCCTGAAAACCCCAAATATTTTTTTTCTTTTTTTTTCTAACTAACTCCAAAAGGTTGGAAAAGAGTTCAAACAAAGGTTTTTGACAGTGATTTTAACCCTAGCGCCAAAAACCTTTCACCATAAACCAGTTCATAACTGATTACCCGGGTATTACCTTCAGGAAGCCAGAAAACCCCAAATATTTTTTTTCCATTTTTTATTTTTTTTGATCTAAATAACTCCAAAAGGTTGGAAAAGAGTTCCTACAAAGGTTTTGGACAGTGATTTTAACCCTAACTCCAAAAACCTTAAAACTTACCATACCCTCAGAGCCTAATACCCGGGAATTACCTGAAGGAAGCCCAAACATTTTTTTTTTCATTTTACAATTTATTTTGGTCTTACTAACTCCAAAAGGTTGGAAAAGAGTTCCTAAAAAGGTTTTGGACAGTGATTTTAACCCTAACGCCAAAAACCTTAAACCTTACCCTAGCCCCATATCCTAATATTACCTTCAGGAAGCCCGAACACCCCAAATATATTTTTTTTTATTTTAAATTTTCTAGTTGTAACCAACTCCAAAAGGTCTGAAATATGTTCCTAAAAAGGTTTTGGACAGTGATTTTAACCCTAACACCAAAAACCCTTAAACCATCCCCTAGCCCCACAACCTAATACCCGGGTATTACCTTAAGGAAGCCCAAAAACCCCAAATAATTTTTTTTCTTTTTTCATTTTTTTTGGTCTAACTCCAAAAGGTCTGAAACATGTTCCTGAAATTGGAAAGTGATTTTAACCCTGATGCCAAAAACCTTCAACCTTACCCTAGCACCACAACCTAATACCCAGGTATTACCTTCAGGAAGCCCGAAACCCGAAATATTTTTTCTTTTTTTTTTTCTAACTCCAAAAGGTTGGAAAAGAGTTCAAACAAAGGTTTTTGACAGTGATTTTAACCCTAACGCCAAAAACCTTAAACCTTACCCTAGCCCCATATCCTAATATTACCTTCAGGAAGCCCGAACACCCCAAATATATTTTTTTTTATTTTAAATTTTCTAGTTGTAACCAACTCCAAAAGGTCTGAAATATGTTCCTAAAAAGGTTTTGGACAGTGATCTTAACCCTAACACCAAAAACCCTTAAACCATCCCCTAGCCCCACAACCTAATACCCGGGTATTACCTTAAGGAAGCCCAAAAACCCCAAATAAATTTTTTTCTTTTTTCATTTTTTTTGGTCTAACTCCAAAAGGTCTGAAACATGTTCCTTAAAAAAAATTGGAAAGTGATTTTAACCCTGACGCCAAAAACCTTCAACCTTACCCTAGCACCACAACCTAATACCCAGGTATTACCTTCAGGAAGCCCGAAACCCGAAATATTTTTTCTTTTTTTTTTTCTAACTCCAAAAGGTTGGAAAAGAGTTCAAACAAAGGTTTTTGACAGTGATTTTAACCCTAGCGCCAAAAACCTTTAACCATAAACTAGTCCATAACCTATTACCCGGGTATTACTTTCAGGAAGCCAGAAAACCCCAAACATTTTTTTTTCATTTTACAATTTATTTTGGTCTTACTAACTCCAAAAGGTTGGAAAAGAGTTCCTAAAAAGGTTTTGGACAGTGACTTTAACCCTAACGCCAAAAACCTTAAACCTTACCCTAGCCCCATAACCTAATATTACCTTCAGGAATCCCGAACACCCCAAATATATTTTTTTTAATTTTGCATTTTTTTGGTGTAACCAACTCCAAAAGGTCTGAAACATGTTCCTAAAAAGGTTTTGGACAGTGATTTTAACCCTAACGCCAAAAACCCTTAAACCATCCCCTAGCCCCATAACCGAATACACGGGTATAACCTTCAGGAAGCCCGAAAATCCCAAATAATTTTTTTTCTTTTTTCATTTTTTTTGGTCTAACTAACTCCAAAAGGTCTGAAACATGTTCCTAAAAAGGTTTTGGACAGTGATTTTAACCCTAACGCCAAAAACCCTTAAACCATCCCCTAGCCCCATAACCGAATACACGGGTATAACCTTCAGGAAGCCCGAAAATCCCAAATAATTTTTTTTCTTTTTTCATTTTTTTTGGTCTAACTAACTCCAAAAGGTCTGAAACATGTTCCTTAAAAGGATGTGGTCAGTGATTTTAACCATAACACCAAAAACCTTCAACCTTTCCCTAGCCCCATAACCTTATACCCGGGTATTACCTTCAGGAAGCCCGAAAAACCCCAAATATTTTTTTCTTTTTTCTTTGTTTTTGTCTAACTCCGAAAGGTTGGAAAAGGTTTTTGACAGTGATTTTAATCCTAACGCCAAAAAACATAACCATACCCTTTTCCATAGCCTAATACCCGGGTATTACCTTCAGGAAGCCAGAAAACCCCAAATATTTTTTTTTCATTTTTTATTTTTTTGTTCTAACTAACTCCAAAAGGTTGGAAAAGAGTCCCTACAAACGTTTTGAACAGTGATTTTAACCCAAACTCCAAAAACCTTAAAACTTACCATACCCTCTGAGCCTAATACCCGGGAATTACCTGAAGGAGGCCTGAACACCCCAAATATTTCTTTTTCATTTAACATTTTTTTTTGTGTAACTAACTCCAAAAGGTCTGAAACTTGTTCCCACAAAGGTTTTGGACAGTGATTTTAACCCTAATGCCAAAAACCTTAAACCTTTCCCTAGCCCCGAACCCTTATACCTGGGTATTACCTTCAAGCAGCCCGAACACCTCAAATAAATTTTTTTTCATTTAATTTTTTTTTGTTTTGTGTAACTACCTCCAAAAGGTCTGAAACTTGTTCCCACAAAGGTTTTGGACAGTGATTTTAACCCTGATGCCAAAAAGCTTGAACCTCACCTGAGCCCCACAACCTAATACCCAGGTATTACCTTCAGGATGCCCGAACACCCCAAATATATTTTTTTCATTTTACTTTTTTTTGGTTTAACGAACTCCAAAAGGTCTGAAACTTGTCCCCACAAAGGTTTTGGACAGTGTTTTTAACCCTAACGCCAAAAGCCTTAAACCTTACTGTAGCCCCATAACCTAATACTAGACCCTATTGCCAAAACCCTTAAAACTTACTTTAGCCCCAAAACCTAATACCCTGGTATTACCTTCAGGAAGCCCGAACCCCCAAATATTTTTTTTGATTTTTTTGGTGTAACTAACTCCAAAAGGTCTGAAACTTGTTCCCACAAAGGTTTTGGACAGTGTTTTTAACCCTAATGCCAAACACCTTGAACCTTTCCAAAGCCACAAAACCTAATACCAGGGAATTACCTTCAGGAAGCCTGAAAACCCCAAATATATTTTTTTTTCATTTTAAATTATTTCTTGGTGGAACATACTCCAAAAGGTCTGAAACTTGTTCCTAAAAAGGTTTTGGACAGTGATTTTAACCCTAAAGACAAAAACCTTAAATCTTTCCATTGCCCCATAACCTAATACCCCGGTATTACCTTCAGGAAGCCCAAAAACCCCAAATATTTTTTTTTCATTTTTCATTTTTTTTTTGTCTAACTAACTCCAAAAGCTTTGAAAAGAGTTCCTAGAAAGGTTTTGGACAATGATTTTAACCCTAACGCCAAAACCTTAAACCTTTCCAAAGCCCCAAAACCTAATACCCTGGGAAGACCTAAAGAAAGACCGAACACCACAAACATTTTTTTAATTTTTATTTTTTCTTGATGTAACCAACTCCAAAAGGTCTGAAACATGTTCCTAAAAAGGTTTTGGACAGTGATTTTAACCCTTAAGACAAAAACCTTAAATCTTTCCATTGCCCCATAACCTAATACCCGGGTTTTCCCTTCAGGAAGCCCGAACACCCCAAATATATATTTTTTAATTTTTCATTTTTTTTTGGTCGAACTAACTCCAAAAGGTTGGAAAAGAGTTCCTACAAAGGTTTTGGACAGTGATTTTAACCCTAACGCCAAAAACCTAATACCTTTCCAAAGCCCCATAACCTAATACCCAGGTATGACCTTTAGAAAGCCCGAAACCATAAACATTTTTTTAGTTTTTCTGGGTTTTTTTTGGTCAAACTAACTCCAAAAGGTTGGAAAAGAGTTCCTACAAAGGTTTTGAACAGTGAATTTAACCCAAATGACAAAAACCTTTAACCTTTCCAAAGCCCCATAACCTAATACCCGGGTATGACCTTCAGGAATCCCGAACACCACAAATATTTTGTTTTCTTTTTACATTTTTTCTTGGTGTAACCAACTCCAAAAGGTCTGAAACATGTTCCTAAAAAGGTTTTGGACAGTGATTTTAACCCTAAAGCCAAAAACCTTGAACCTTTCGAAAGCCACATAACCTAATACCCGGGTATTACCTTCAGAAAGCCCGAAAACCCCAAATATTTTTTTTTCATTTTTCATTTCTTTTTTGGTCTAACTAAGTCCAAAAGGTTGGAAAAGAGTTCCTACAAAGGTTTTGGACAGTGATTTAAACCCTAACGCCAAAAACCTAAAACCTTGCCCTAGCACAAAAATCTTAATACCCGGGTATGACCTTCAGGAATCCCGAACAACACAAATATTTTGTTTTCATTTTTCATTATTTTTTGGTCAAACTAACTCCAACAGGATTAAAACATATTCCTACAAAGGTTTTGGACAGTGATTTTAACCCTAACGCTAAAAACCTTAAACCTTTCCAAAGCCCCATGATCTAATACCTTCAGGAAGCCTTCAGGAAGCCAAAAAAACCCAAATATTTTTTTTTCATTTTTCATTTTTTTTTTGGTCTAACTTACTCCAAAAGGTTGGAAAAGAGTTCCTACAAAGGCTTTGGACAGTGATTTAAACCCTAACGCCAAAAACCTTAAACCTTTCCAAAGCTCCATAATCTTATACCTTCAGGAAGCCTACAGGAAGCCAATAAAACCCAAATATTTTTTTTTCATTTTTCATTTTTTTTTGGTCTAACTTACTCCAAAAGGTTGGAAAAGAGTTCCTACAAAGGTTTTGGACAGTGATTTAAACCCTTACGCCAAAAACCTTAAACCATACCATAGCCCCATGACCTAATACCCGGGTATTACCTTCAGAAAGCCTGAACACCCCAAACATTTTTTTTTATTTTTCATTTTCTTTTGGTCAAACTAACTCCAAAAGGTTGGAAAAGAGTTCTTACAAAGGTTTTGGACAGTGATTTTAACCCTTTCGCCAAAAACCTTAAAGATTTCCAAAGCCCCAAAACCCATAACCCGGGTATGACCTTCAGGAAGCCCGAAAACCCCAAATATTTTTTTTTCATTTTTCATTTTTTCTTGATGTAACCAACTCCAAAAGGTCTGAAACATGTACCTAAAAAGGTTTTGGACAGTGATTTTAACCCTAAAGACAAAAACCTTAAACCTTTCCAAAGCCCCATAACCTAATACCCGGGTATTCCCTTCAGGAAGCCTGAACACCCCAAATATATTTTTTTCATTTTTCATTTTTTTTTTGGTCTAACTAACTCCAAAAGGTTGGCAAAGAGTTCCTACAAAGGTTTTGGACAGTGATTTTAACCCTAACGCCAAAAACCTTAAACTTCCCATAGCCCAATAACCTAATACCCGGGTATGACCTTCAGACAGCCCGAACACCCCAAACATTTTTTTTTAATTTTTCATTTTTTCTGGTCTAACTAACTCCAAAAGGTTGGAAAAGAGTTCCTACAAAGGTTTTGGACAGTGATTTAAACCCTAACGCCAAAAACCTTGAACCTTTTCGAAAGCCACATAACCTAATGCCCGGGTATGACCTTCAGGAAGCCCGAACACCCCAAATATCTTTTTTTTCTTTTTTTCAATTTTTCTTGGTGTAACCAACTCCAAAAGGTCTGAAACATGTTCCTAAAAAGGTTTTGGACAGTGATTTTAACCCTAAAGACAAAAACCTTAAATCTTTCCATTGCCCCGTAACCTAATACCGGTTATGACCTTTAGAAAGCCAGAACACCATAAACATTTTTTTAATTTTTCTGTTTTTTTGGTCTAACTAACTCCAAAAGGTTGGAAAAGAGTTACTACAAAGGTTTTGGACAGTGATTTTAACCCTAACGACAAAAACCTTAAACTTCCCATAGCCCAATAACCTAATGCCCGGGTATGACCTTCAGGAAGCCCGAACACCCCATTTATTTTTTTTTCATTTTACATTTTTTCTTGATGTAACCAACTCCAAAAGGTCTGAAACATGTACCTAAAAAGGTTTTGGACAGTGATTTTAACCCTGAAGACAAAAACCTTAAATCTTTCCATTGCCCCATAACCTAATACCCGGGTATTCCCTTCAGGAAGCCTGAACACCCCAAATATATTTTTTTCATTTTTAATTTTTTTTTTGGTCTAACTAACTCCAAAAGGTTGGAAAAGAGTTCCTACAAAGGTTTTGGACAGTGATTTTAACCCTAACGCCAAAAACCTTAAACTTCCCATAGCCCAATAACCTAATACCCGGGTATTACTTTCAGACAGCCCGAACACCCCAAACATTTTTTTTTAATTTTTCATTTTTTCTGGTCTAACTAACTCCAAAAGGTTGGAAAAGAGTTCCTACAAAGGTTTTGGACAGTGATTTAAACCCTAACGCCAAAAACCTTGAACCTTTTCGAAAGCCACATAACCTAATGCCCGGGTATGACCTTCAGGAAGCCCGAACACCCCAAATATCTTTTTTTTATTTTTTTTCAATTTTTCTTGGTGTAACCAACTCCAAAAGGTCTGAAACATGTTCCTAAAAAGGTTTTGGACAGTGATTTTAACCCTAAAGACAAAAACCTTAAATCTTTCCATTGCCCCGTAACCTAATACCGGTTATGACCTTTAGAAAGCCAGAACACCATAAACATTTTTTTAATTTTTCTGTTTTTTTTGGTCTAACTAACTCCAAAAGGTTGGAAAAGAGTTACTACAAAGGTTTTGGACAGTGATTTTAACCCTAACGACAAAAACCTTAAACTTCCCATAGCCCAATAACCTAATGCCCGGGTATGACCTTCAGGAAGCCCGAACACCCCATTTATTTTTTTTTCATTTTACATTTTTTCTTGATGTAACCAACTCCAAAAGGTCTGAAACATGTACCTAAAAAGGTTTTGGACAGTGATTTTAACCCTGAAGACAAAAACCTTAAATCTTTCCATTGCCCCATAACCTAATACCCGGGTATTCCCTTCAGGAAGCCTGAACACCCCAAATATATTTTTTTCATTTTTCATTTTTTTTTGGTCTAACTAACTCCAAAAGGTTGGAAAAGAGTTCCTACAAAGGTTTTGGACAGTGATTTTAACCCTGAAGACAAAAACCTTAAATCTTTCCATTGCCCCATAACCTAATACCCGGGTATTCCCTTCAGGAAGCCTGAACACCCCAAATATATTTTTTTAATTTTTTATTTTTTCTGGTCTAACTAACTCCAAAAGGTTGAAAAAGAGTTCCTACAAAGGTTTTGGACAGTGATTTAAACCCTAACGCCAAAAACCTTGAACCTTTTCGAAGGCCACATAACCTAATGCCCGGGTATGACCTTCAGGAAGCCCGAACACCCCAAATATCTTTTTTTTCTTTTTTTTCAATTTTTCTTGGTGTAACCAACTCCAAAAGGTCTGAAACATGTTCCTAAAAAGGTTTTGGACAGTGATTTTAACCCTAAAGCCAAAAACCTTAAATCTTTACATTGTCCCATAACCCAATACCTGGGTATTACCTTCAGGAAGCCAAAAAACCCCAAATATTTTTTTTTCATTTTTCAATTTTTTTTGGTCTAACTAACTCCAAAAGGTTGGCAAAGAGTTCCTACAAAGGTTTTGGACAGTGATTTAAACCCTAACGCCAAAAAACTTAAACCCTGCTCCAGCACAAAAATCTTAATACCAGGGTATAACCTTCAGGAATCCCGAACACCCCAAATATTTTTTTTTCATTTTTCATTATTTTTTTTTCAAACTAACTCCAAAAGGTCTGAAACATGTTCCTAAAAAGGTTTTGGACAGTGATTTTAACCCTAACGCCAAAAACCTTAAACTTCCCATAGCCCAATAACCTAATACCCGGGTATTGCCATCAGACAGCCCGAAGAACCCAATTATTTTTTTTTTTCATTTTTTTTTTTCTTGGTCTTACTAACTCCAAAAGGTTGGAAAAGAGTTCCTACAAAGGTTTTGGACAGTGATATAAACCCTAACGCCAAAAACCTTAAACCTTGCCCTAGCCCAAAAATCTTAATACCTGGGTATTACTCATGTAATTCAGGAATCCCAAACAACACAAATATTTTTTTTTCATTTTTCATTATTTTTTGGTCAAACTAACTCCAACAGGTCTGAAACATGTTCCTCAAAAGGTTTTGGACATGGATTTTGACCCTAACGCCAAAATCTTTAAACCTTCCCCTAGTCCCAAAACCTAATACCCAGGTATAACCTTCAGGAATCCCGAACACCCCAAATACTTTCTTTTCATTTTTCATTTTTTTTTTTTCAAACTAACTCCAAAAGGTCTGAAACATGTTCCTAAAAAGGTTTTGGACACGAATTTTAACCCTAGCGCCCAAAACCTTTGACCTTACCCTAGTCCCAAAACCTATTACCCGGGTATTACCTTCAGGATGCCCGAACACCCGAAATATATTTTTTTCATTTTTCCTTTTTTTTTTGGTCTAACTAACTCCAAAAGGTTGGAAAAGAGTTCGTACTAAGGATTTGGACAGTGATTTTAACCCTAAAGCCAAAAAGCTTGAACCTTTCCAAAGCCCCATAATCTAATACCCGGGTATTACCTTCAGGAAGCCCGAACACCCCAAACATTTTTTTTTAATTTTTCATTTTTTTGGTCTAACTAACTCCAAAAGGTTGGAGAAGAGTTCCTACAAAGGTTTTGGACAGTGATTTTAACCCTAACGCCAAAAACCTTAAACCTTTCAAAAGCCCCATAACCTAATACCCTGGTATTACCTTCAGGACGCCCGAACACCCGAAATATTTTTTTTTCATTTTTCCTTTTTTTTTGGTCTAACTAACTCCAAAAGGTTGGAAAAGAGTTCCTACTAAGGATTTGGACAGTGATTTTAACCCTAAAGCCAAAAAGCTTGAACCTTTCCAAAGCCCCATAATCTAATACCCGGGTATTACCTTCAGGAAGCCCGAACACCCCAAACATTTTTTTTTAATTTTTCATTTTTCTTGGGGTAACTAACTCCAAAAGGTTGGAAAAAAATTCCTAAAAAGGTTTTGGACAGTGATTTCAACCCCAAAGAAAAAAACTTAAATCTTTCCATTGCCCCATTACCTATTACCTTCAGGAAGCCTGAACACCTCAAATATTTTTTTTTCATTTTTCATTTTTTTTGGTCCAACTAACTCCAAAAGGTTGGAAAAGAGTTCCTACAAAGGTTTTGGACAGTGATATTTACCCTAACGCCAAAAACCTTAAACCTTTCAAAAGCCCCATAACCTAATACCCTGGTATTACCTTCAGGAAGCCCGAAAACCCCAAATATATATTTTTTTCATTTTTCATTTTTTTTTGGTCTAACTCCAAAAGGTTGGAAAAGAGTTCCTACAAAGGTTTTGGACAGTGATTTTAACCCTAACGCCAAAAACCTTTAACCTTGCCCTAGCCCAAAAATCATACTACCAGGGTATTACCTTCAGGAATCCCGAACACCCCAAATATTTTTTTTTCATTATTCATTTTTTTTTGGTCAAACTAACTCCAAAAGGTCTGAAACATGTTCCTAAAAAGGTTTTGGACACGGATTTTAACCCTTACGCCAAAAACTGTAAACCTTGCCCTAGCCCAAAAATCTTAATACCCGGGTATTACCTTCAGGAATCCCGAAAACCCCAAATATTTTTTTTTCATTAGGGCCCGAGCGTAGCTGCTAAGCAGCTGCGAGAGCCCTGTTATTCCTGAATCGGTTCTTCTTTGTCGTTTCTTCTTATTTTTCCTCCCCTTTGAACTGGAAAATGGCCCACTTCCCACTGGCGAAAACTCATGAAATTTGGCAGGACGACCGGGTCTGGTGAAAAATTCGATATTCTGAAGTCGCCCAAACAATAAAATGCAAAATGGCTCCATAGCGCCCCCTAAGGTGAAAATTCACACTATTGAGTGTCACACCTGTACGCTTTGTCATATTGACACAAAAATTGACACACACGTGTATCTCAATAAGGTCTACGAAAAAGTCAGCGCGGCACCACATTTGCTCAGGCCAATCTACACCCCATGGCCATTAAAAGTTGTACAAATCATGATGCTGCACGCCACGGTTTAGGTTCTAGGGGGCGCCAAAGATAACCCAAAAATCCACATTCTTAAAAGTCTTATAACTTTTTATTTTTGTCCTGACTGGCCTCCAAGTTTTCTAGGATGATGCAATGTCCAGCCATCAACACATTTGTGAAGGAATTTTTACTCCCCAAAAGAGCGCCCCCCATGGCAGGAGAAAAAAGTCCATGTTTTCTTGTCCCCTAAGGTGAAAATACACCTTGTCGAGTGTCACGCCTGTACGCTTTGTCATATTGACACAAAATTTGACTATTACGTGTATCTCAATAAGATCTACGAAAAAGTCAATGGGGACGTTTCTGTCAAATGTACAGTTAAAGGGCTATTTTGCATTTTTTGCAGATCTGCACACATTGGAATGTGGCTAACTCCTCCTAAGGCTTTCGTCCCACTGACACCAAATTTGCTAAGGCCAATCTACACCCCAAGGCCATTCAAATTTGTAAAAATCATGACGCTGCACCCCACAGTTAGCGTTCTAGGGGGCGCCAAAGATGACCCAAAGATCCACATTCTTAAAAGCCATCTTGGCCACTGAGTGGCGCCAAAGGGAGTTGTCTATTTACAGCAGACAAAGTAGTTATGGCCACTGAGGGGCGCCAAAGGGAGTATTCTATAAAATCTGATGCTACAGAAAAAGTTAAAAGGCTCAAATTTTTGCTATATTAGTGACTTTATGTCTTAAATGGGCTCTTAAAGGGTTAAAAAATATTTTCAATGAAACATTTGCTAGTTTTGAACAGGGCGGAAGTAAAATAAGAGATGTACAAAAGAAAAATCTGGAAAAAATATGAATCCAATTTGATTTTAAAGCAGACAAAGTAGTTTTGGCCACTGAGTGGCGCCAAAGGGAGTTGTCTATTAACAGCAGACAAAGTAGTTATGGCCACTGAGGGGCGCCAAAGGGAGTTGTCTATTAAATCTGATGCTACAGAAAAAGTTAAAAGGCTCAAATTTTTGCTATATTAGTGACTTTATGTCTTAAATGGGCTCTTACCTGGGTATTACCTTCAGGAAGCCTGAACACCCCAAATATTTTTTTTTCATTTTACATTTTTTCTTGGTGTAACCAACTCCAAAAGGTCTGAAACATGTTCCTTAAAAGGTTTTGGACAGTGATTTTAACCCTAACGCCAAAAACCTTAAATCTTTCCATTGCCCCATAACCTAGTACCCGGGTATTACCTTCAGGAAGCCCGAACACCCCAAATATTTTTTTTTTCATTTTTCTTTTTTATTGGTGGAACTAACTCCAAAAGGTATAAAACATGTTCCTTCAAAAATATTGGACAGTGATTTTAACCCTAACCCCAAAAACCTTAAACCATACCCTAGCACCAAAACTTTATACCTGGGTATTACCTTCAGGAAGCCCGAAAACCCAAAGTTTTTTTTTTTTTTCATTTTTCTTTTTTTTTTGGTCTAACTAACTCCAAAAGGTTGGAAAAGAGTTCCAAAAAAGGTTTTGGACAGTGATTTTAACCCTAACGTCAAAAACCTTAAAACTCCCTAGCCCCATAACCTAATAATAGTATAACCTTCAGGAAGGACGAACACTCCAAATATTTTTTTTTCATTTTTCATTTTATTTTGGTGTAACTGACTCCAAAAGGTCTGAAACTTGTTCCCACAAAGGTTTTGGACAGTGATTTTAACCCTAACGCCAAACACCTTAAACCTTACCCTAGCCCCATAACCTAATACGCAGGTACTACCTCCAGGAAGCCCAAACATCCCAATTTTTTTTTAATTTTTTTTTGGTCTAACTAACTCCAAAAGTTTGGAAACATGTTTCTAAAAAGGTTTTGGACAGTGATTTTAACCCTTACGCCAAAAACCTTAAACCTTACCCTAGCCCAATTACCATATAACCGGGTATAACCTTCAGGAAGCCCGAAAAAACAAAGATTTTTTTTTTCATTTTACATTTTTTTTGTTGTAACTAACTCCAAAAGGTCTGAAACATGTATCTCAAAAGGTTTTGGACAGTGATTTTAACCCTAATGCCAAAAACCTTAAACCTTACCCTTGCCCCATAACCTAATACCCGGGTATTACCTTCAGGAAGCCCCAACACCCCAAATATGTTTTTTCATTTTTCATTTTTTTTGGTCTATCTAATGCCAAAAGGTCTGAAACGTGTTCCTAAAATGGTTTTTGACAGTGATTTTAACCCTAACGCCAAAAACCCTAAACCTTTCCCTAGCCCCATAACTTAATAGCCGGTTATTATCTTCAGGAAGCCCGAAAACCCAAAATATTTTTTTTTCTTTTTTCTTTTTTTTTTTGTTGGTCTAACTAACTCCAAAAGGTTGGAAAAGAGTTCCTACAAAGGTTTTGGACAGTGATTTTAACCCAAACGCCAAAAACCTCAAACCTTACCCAAGCCCCGTAACCTAATACCCGGGTATTACCTTAAGGAAGCCTTAACACCTCAAACATTTTTTTTTTCATTTTTCTTTTTTTTTTTTGGTCCAACTCCAAAAGGTCTGAAACATGTTCCTTAAAATATTGGACAGTGATTTTAGCCCTAACAACAAAAACCTTTAACCTTTACCTAGCCCTTTAACCTAATACCCGGGTATTACCTTAAGGATGCCCTAACACACCAAAGTTTTTAATTTTTATTTTTTGTTTTTTTTTGGTGGAACTAACTCCAAAAGGTCTGAAACATGTTCCAAACAATATTGGACAGTGATTTCAACCCTAATGCTTAAAACCTTAAACCTTACCCTGTCCCCGAACCTAATACCCGAAGCCTTCACTCCCCCCAAATTTTTTTTTTTCATTTTTCATTTTTTTTTGGTCTAGCTATCTCCAAAAGGTTTGAACAGAGTTCCTACAAAGGTTTTGGACAGTGATTTTAACCCTAAAGCCAAAAACCTTAAACCTTTCCCTAGCCCCGTAACCTAATACCCGGGTATTACCTGTAGGAAGCCTTCACCCCCCCAAATTTTTTTTTTCATTTTTCATTTTTTTTTGTTGGTCTAGCTAACTCCAAAAGGTTGGAAAAGAGTTCCTACAAAGGTTTTGGACAGTGATTTTAACCCTAACGCCAAAAACCTTTAACCTTCCCCTAGCCCTGTAATATAATATATACAAAATTTTGCTCTACAAACACATAGTCTAAAAGATAGACAGCATAGCATACCAATTGAGCTGAGTCATTAAACTTCCTACCAACACATAAATTTTACACACAGATTGAGCTTGGAGACTCGACTGGGACCGCCAAGTCAACTGATGAAAGCAGGGGCTATCACTGTATCTCTTACCCACACCTAACCAGCGAGTTGCCTTCGCACAGACTTGTCACAATATCATTCCGAGAATAGTCTGAGCCCATGCTCCTTCTGTGCACACAACCTCTCACCCCCCCCCTTCCCCCCCTTTATAGAATCTAAGATCTTCCAGTTTCAAGGGTGAGAGTGAATTCCAAAGAATCCTCCACCTTGGAACCTATACTAACACTACATTCCTCAGATAACTAAACAAAAAACATCTAAACCCTAACAGCAATGACGAAAAGATAAATACTTTTCCAGACAAATTAACTCCTGACCCCACCCTGCCCCCCTCCTTTTCTCCCTCTCTCCTGATCTGTACCTCTCTGTCCTATCAGAGGATGAAAACCAGCAGGTGAGGAGAGTCTCAATGGCGAGTCACGGTGGCAAGATCTATTCTCTTTCTATCACTCGAATCCTTGCATGAGCAGAATGGTGCCAGACGGACCACTTGCTCCCATCACAATCCTCTGTGACTTTTTGACTCTATCCACTTTTAAAACTTAAAATAGTAATCAATAATCAACTGACCAACTCAGCTCAAACCAAACCCAAAACTCTGCCTAGAGAACTCTCACTTCCACGTTTACATATCTCTTTGTATCTTGTGAGGACCGTGAGGAGAGCAGAGCCTAGACCTAGTCAGGTCGGGGGACTATGTCCCTTGCTCACTCTCCTCACATGGATGGTGAGAGCTGGGGAGCTATGGGATGTTTCATCTGCCACCAAATCCCCCTCACCAATCTTTATTTTCCACCATCTCCACCTCTCCCTTAAACCCCCCTCTCCCTCTTCCCTTCTCTCTCTCTCTCTCTCTCTCTCTCTCTCTCTCTCTCTCTCTCTCTCTCTCTCTCACACACACACACACACACACACACACACACACACACCCCTCTCTCTCTCTCTCTCTCTCTCTCTCTCTCCCTCATCTCTCTCCCTCATCTCTCCCCCTCTCTCTAACACCCCCCTCTTTCTTATTCCCTCCCCTGCCCCTTTATTTTCACCTTCACAGAGGACAAATAGGTGATCTTCAGCCTAGGCCTACCCCGGCCGGAGGGTAACCCCTGTCGGGTCACCTATATGGAGGATTAAGAGAGACCTGAAGGGGAACCGCCGTGCCCCCTAAATCCTCCCCCTCTAACATCTTTTTTAAACACTCTAAAATTAGCCAGCTAATCCCACTACAAACAACTTCATCAAAAATTTAAATAATATCAATAACTGACCATCAATGACACCAGACTAAGTTAGCAAAAAAGAACATACACACACACGTACAGATTTTCCCTTAGGACATTGATCAAATTTACATTTCTGTCTTTCTTTTAGGGAACTGTTCTCTGTTTTTAAGCTCACTTATGATTTTTGCTATTTGCTCTTGACACTTCTTTTTTTCCTTTTTTCTTCCCCTTTCCCTTTTGCAATCGACTTTTGTTCTTTTATTTTTTTATTTTTTCATTGTTTTATATTATTTTAATTTATTTTATTCTATTTTATTTTAGGGTTCCTGTGCTTTTGTTTTTCTTCCCCCCTCCCCTCTTTTTTCTTAGGAAGGACTGACTCCTGAGGTTCTCATGCCAGGAAAAATGTACCTCCCTCACTCAAGGTTTTACCCACAATCCTTTGCTGCAACAGGGAGATTGATTCCCAAAGCTCTCATGCCAGAAAGGAAGTACCTCACTCACTCACGGTTTTACCCACAATCCTTTGCTGTAACAGGAAGATTGATTCCTTAGGCTCTCATCCCTCAGAACTAAAATACCCACCATCCCTTGCGATTGCATACAAATTTAATGTAGCAAAACTCAATTTAAAACAATAAACTACATTAAAATTAACTTAAAACAACTTGAAAGTTTAAAATACAACCAAGAGACATCCATTCTGGAATACAAACATCGAGAAGAGAACACAACCATGTCTGAAAGGAACAGCACAAACCATGACTCAAGCCCAACTCTGGGGATGTCTTCTCCTGTCAAAAAGCACATTCAAGTGCTGTGCACTAAAGAGCAATCTCTGGTCCTGTAATTGAGACAAAGCACTGACCACTGGATGTAGAAGAGGGACCATCTCCTCGAAGAAGACGCTACGCCGTCACCTGAAAGAAGACGCTGCACCTCCATCACTCCAAGCCGCCCACCACTGAGCTTCGACCTGGCGACGGCACCGAGTCCCAGCAAACCTTCCCGCGGTGGACCCTGGACTTCAGACACACCGCTGCCGCCGCGGCTGGACAGCTGGAAACTTTTCCCCCCTCCAACAGATTTTTGACTACTGGGAAAGAAACGCCTCACATAAACAAAAACTTAGGACCACTAGGGTAAGTCTACAAAAAACCTCTCAAACAAAATTACTCTAAATAGTTAGTTTGTTTTTTGAACTTGGGTTTGTGTCGTTTTTGAACTTGAGTTTGTGTCGTGTTTGAAGTTTGTGGCAACTTATGAACTTGAGTTTGTTTGGCTTGATTTTTTGGCAATTGTTGAACTTGAGTCTGTGGTTTTTAGTGAACTTTAGTTGGTGGCAATTGTTGAACTTGAGTTTGTGGCGTTTGTTGAACTTGAGTTTGTGGTGTTTTTAAACTTGAGTTTGTGAAGTGTTTGAACTAGATTTTACGGTTATTTTTAAACTTGAGTCTGTGTCTTGTTTGAACTTGAGTTTGTGTTGTGACTGAACTTGAGTTTTTGTTTTTTTTTAACTTGAGGTTGTGGAAATTGTTAAACGTGCAAATTGGGCATTGGTTGAACTTGAGTTCGTGTGTTTGTTGAACTTGAGTTTTTGTCGTTTCGAACTTGAGTTTGTGGTGTTTTTGAACTTGAGTTTGTGTGTTTGTTGAACTTGAGTTTTTGCATGTTTAAACTTGAGTATGTGGTGTTTTTGAACTTGAGGTTTTGGCAAATGTTAAACTTGATATTTGGGTGTTGTTTGAACTTGAGTTTGTGTCGTGTTTGAACTTGAGTTTGTGTTGTGTTTGAACTTGAGTTTGTCGTGTTTCAACTTGATTTTGTGTCGTGTTTCAACTTGAGTTTGTTGCAATTTTTGAACTTGATTTTTGAACTTGAGTCTTTGGTTTTTAGTGTCCTTTATTTGGTGGCAATTGTTAAACTTCAGTTTGTCCCGTGTTTGAACTTGAGTTTGTGTTGTTTTTGTACTTGAGGTTGTGGCAAATGTTAAACTTGATATTTGGGTGTTGTTCGAACTTGAGTTTGTGTTGTGTTTGAACTTGAGTTTGTGTCGTGTTTAAATTTGAGTTTGTGTGTTTTTTAATCTTAAGTTTGTGGCAATTTATGAACTTGAGTTTGTTGAACTTTTTTTAACTTGAGTTTATGGTGGATTTGAAATTGAGTTTCTGTTGTTTTTTAACATGAGGTTGTGGCAATTGTTAAACTTGAGATTTGGGTGTTGGTTGAAATTAAGTTTCGGCATTTTTGAACTTGAGTTTGTGGTGTTTTTGAACTTGAATTCGTGTGTTTTTTGAACCTGAGTTTGTTGCAATTTTTGAACTTGAGTTTGTGTTGTGTTTGAACTTGAGTTTGTGTCGTGTTTGAACTTGAGTTTGTGTCGTGTTCGAACTTGAGTTTGTTGTGTTTCAACTTGAGTTTGTGTCATGTTTAAACTTGAGTTTGTTGCATTTTTTTAACTTGAGTTTTGAACTTGAGTCTTTGGTTTTTAGTGTCCTTTATTTGGTGGCAATTGTTAAACTTGAGTTTGTTGCGTGTTTGAACTTGAGTTTGTGGTGGATTTGAAATTGAGTTTCTGTTGTTTTTTAACATGAGGTTGTGGCAATTGTTAAACTTGAGATTTGGGTGTTGGTTGAAATTAAGTTTCGGCATTTTTGAACTTGAGTTTGTGGTGTTTTTGAACTTGAATTCGTGTGTTTTTTGAACCTGAGTTTGTTGCAATTTTTGAACTTGAGTTTGTGTTGTGTTTGAACTTGAGTTTGTGTCGTGTTTGAACTTGAGTTTGTCGTGCTTCAACTTGAGTTTGTGTCGTGTTTCAACTTGAGTTTGTTGCGTGTTTAAACTTGAGTTTGTTGCATTTTTTTAACTTGAGTTTTGAACTTGAGTCTTTGGTTTTTAGTGTCCTTTATTTGGTGGCAATTGTTAAACTTGAGTTTGTTGCGTGTTTGAACTTGAGTTTGTGTTGTTTTTGTACTTGAGGTTGGGCAATTGTTAAACTTGAGATTTGGGTGTTGGTTGAACTTGAGATTGTGGCCTTTGGAAAATTTGAGTTTGTGGCGTGTTTGAACTTGAGTTCGTGGTGTTTTTGAACTTGAGTTTGTGGAAATTGTTAAATTTGAGATATATGATTTGGTTGAACTTGAGTTAGTGTTGCGTTTTGAACTTGAGTTTGTGGTGTTTTTGAACTTGAGCTTGTGTGTTTTTTGAACTAAAGTTTGTGGCAATTGTTAAACTTGCGATTTGGGTGTTAGTTGAACTTGAGTTTGTGGTGTTTTTGAACTTGAGTTTGTGTGTTTGTTGAACTTAAGTTTGTGGCTTGTTAGAAACTCGAGTTTGTGGTGTTTTTCAACTTGAGGTTTTGGCAAATGTTAAACTTGATATTTGGGTGTTTGAACTTGAGTTCGTGTGTTTGAACTTGAGTTTGTGTCGTGTTTGAACTTGAGTTTGTGTCGTGTTTGAACTTGAGTTTGTCGTGCTTCAACTTGAGTTTGTATCGTGTTTCAACTTGAGTTTGTTGCGTGTTTGAACTTGAGTTTGTGTTTTTTGTACTTGAGGTTGTGGCAATTGTTAAACTTGAGATTTGGGTGTTGGTTGAACTTGAGATTGTGGCCTTTGGAAAATTTGAGTTTTTGTCGTGTTTGAACTTGAGTTTGTGGAAATTGTTAAATTTGAGATTTGGTTGAACCTGAGTTAGTGTTGCGTTTTGAACTTGAGTTTGTGTGTTTGTTGAACTTGAGTTTGTGGCGTGTTTGAACTCGAGTTTGTGGTGTTTTTCAGCTTCAGGTTTTGGCAAATGTTAAACTTGATATTTGGGTGTTGTTTGAACTTGAGTTTGTGTTGTGTTTGAACTTGAGTTTGTGTTGTGTTTGAACCTGAGTTTGTGTCGTGTTTGAACTTGAGTTTGTCGTGTTTCAACTTGAGTTTGTGTCATGTTTAAACTTGAGTTTGTTGCAATTTTTTAACTTGAGTTTTGAACTTGAGTCTTTGGTTTTTAGTGTCCTTTATTTGGTGGCAATTGTTAAACTTGAGTTTGTTGCGTGTTTGAACTTGAGTTTGTGGTGTTTTTTGAACTTGAGGTTGTGGAAATTGTTAAACCTGAGAATCGGGTGTTGTTTGAACTTGAGTTTGTTTGTTTTTTGAACTTGAGTTTGTGTCGTGTATGAACTTGAGTTTGTGGTGTTTTTTGAATCGAGGTTGTGGCGTGTTTGAACTTGAGTTTGTGTGTTTTTTGAACTCGAGGTTGTGGAAATTGTTCAACTTGAGAATCGGGTGTTGTTTGAACTTGAATTTGTGGCGTTTGTTGTACTTGCGTTTGTGTCGTGTTTGAACTTGAGTTTGTGGTGTTTTTGAACTTGAGTTTGTGTTGTATTTGAACTTCAGGTTGTGGAAATTGTTAAACTTGAGAATTGGGTATTGGTTGAACTTGAATTTGTGTGTTTTTTGAATTTGAGTTTGTGGCGTGTTTGAACTTAAGTTTGTGGTGTTTTTGAACTTGAGGTTGTGGCAATTGTTAAACTTGAGTTTGTTGTGTTTTTTGAACTTGAGTTTGTGTTGTTTTTGTACTTGAGGTTGGGCAATTGTTAAACTTGAGATTTGGGTGTTGGTTGAACTTGAGATTGTGGCCTTTGGAAAATTTGAGTTTGTGGCGTGTTTGAACTTGAGTTCGTGGTGTTTTTGAACTTGAGTTTGTGGAAATTGTTAAATTTGAGATATATGATTTGGTTGAACTTGAGTTAGTGTTGCGTTTTGAACTTGACTTTGTGTGTTTGTTGAACTAGGGTTTGTGGTGTGTTTGAACTTGAGTTTGTGTGTTTTTTAAACTTGTGTTTGTGTGTTTGTTGAACTTGAGTTTGTGTTGTGTTTGAACTTTAATTTGTGGTTTATTTGAACTTGAGTTTTTTTTCACGTTTGAACTTGAGTTTGTGGCGTTTGTTGAACTTGAGTTTGTGTCGTGTTTGAACTTGAGTTTATGGCGTTTGTTGAACTTGATTTTCTGTTGTTTTTGAACTTGAGATTGTGGAAATTGTTAAACTTGAGATTTGGGTGTTGATTGAACTTGAGTTTGTTGTGTTTGAACTTGAGTTTGTGGTGTTTTTGAACTTGAGTTTGTGTCGTGTTTGAACTTGACTTTCTTTTGTTATTGAGCTTGAGGTTTTGGAAATTGTTAAACTTGAGATTTGGGTGTTTGTTGAACTTGAGTTTGTGGCGCGTTTGAACTTGAGTTTGTTGTGTTTTTGAAGTTGAAGTTGTGGCAATTGTTAAACTAGAGATTTGGGTGTTGGTTGAAATTCAGTTTGTGGCCTTACTTGAACTTGAGTTTTTGTTGTGCTTGAACTTGAGTTTGTGGCGTGTTTTTGAACTTGAGTTTGTCTGTATGTTAAAATTGAGTTTTTGGCGTGTTTGAAGTTGACTTTTTTTTTGTTTTTGAACTTGAGGTTGTGGAAATTGTTAAACTTGAGATTTGGGTGTTGATTGAACTTGAGTTTGTGTTGTGTTTGAACATGAGTTTGTTTTGTTTTTTAAATTGAGTTTTTGTCGTGTTTGAACTTGAGTTTGTGGTGTTTTCGAACTTGAGTTTGTGTATTTGTTGAACTTGAGTGTGTGGCGTGTGTGAACTTGAGTTTGTAGTGTTTTTGAAGTTGAGGTTTTGGCATTTGTCAAACTAGAGATATGGGTGTTGGTTGAAAATCAGTTTGTGGCCTTATTTGAACTTGAGTTTTTGTCGTGCTTGAACTTGAGTGTGTGGCGTGTTTTTGAACTTGAGTTTGTCTGTATGTTGAAATTGAGTTTTTGGCGTGTTTAAACTTGAGGTTTTTGAAATTGTTAAACTTGAGAATTGCGTATTGATCTATCTTGAGTTCGTGTGTTTTTTGAACTTTAGTTTGTGTCATTTAGAACTTGAGTTTGTGGTGTTTTTGAACTTGAGGATGTGGAAATTGTTAAACCTAAGGAATTGGGTATTGGTTAAACTTGAGTTTGTGTGTTTGTTGAACCTTAGTTTGTGTCGTGTTTGAACTTGAGATTGTGGTATTTTTTTGAACTTGAATTTTTGTGTTTTTTTACCTTGAGTTTGTGGAGTTTTTGAATTTGAGTTTCTGTTGTCTTTAAACTTGAAGTTGTTGCAATTGTTAAACTTGAGATTTGGGTGTTGGTTTAACTTCAGATTCGGTGTTGTGGTGTTTTTGAACTTGAATTTGTTTGTTTTTTTAACTTGAGTTTGTTGCAATTTTTGAACTTCAGTTTGTTGAACTTGAGTTTTTGGCAATTGTTAAATGTGAGTTTAGGTCAATTTTTGAATTTGAAATTTTGGCATTTTTTGAACTTCAGATTGAGGTGTTTGTTGTACTTGAGTTTGTGGCGTGTTTAACTTGAGTTTCTATTGTTTTTTGAACTTGAGGTTGTGGAAATTGTTAAACTTGAGACTTGGGATTTGGTTCAACTTGAGTTTTTGTCGTGTTTGAACTTGAGTTGGTGTTGTTTGTTGAACTTGAGATTGTGTGTTTTTTAAAATTGAGGTTGTGAAAATTTATAAACTTGAGAATCAGGTGTTGGTTGAACTTGAGTTTGTGTCTTGTTTGAAATTGAGTTTGTGGTGTATTTGAACTTGAGTTTGTGTGTTTGATTAACCTGGGTTTGTGTGTTTGTTGAACTTGTGTTTGTGTGTTTGTTGAACTTGAGTTTGTGTTGTGTTTGAACTTTATTTTGTGGTTTATTTGAACTTGAGTTTTTGGTGTTTTTGAACTTGAGGGTGTGTCATTTGTTTTACTTGAGGTCGTGGCAATTGTTAAACTTGAGTTTGTGTCTTTGTTGAACTTGAGTTTGTGGTGTTTAAACTTGAGTATGTGTGTTTGTTGAACTTGAGTTTGTGTTGTGTTTGAATTTGAGTTTGTGGTGTTTTTGAACTTGATCTTGTTTTGTGTTTGAACTTGAGTTTGTGGTGTTTGTTGAACTTGAGTTTGTGTGTTTTTGAAATTGAGTTGGTGGTGTTTTTGAACTCTAGTTTCGTGTTTGAACTTGATTTCGTGGTTTTTGTTGAACTTGAGTTTATGTCATGTTTGAACTTGAGTTTGTGGTGTCTTTGAACTTGAGTTCGTGGTATTTTTGAAGTTGAGGGTGTGGAATTTTCTGAACTTGAGGTTGTAGCAATTGTTAGACTTGAGATTTGGGTGTTGTTTGAACTTGAGTTTGTGTCAGGTTTGAACTTGAGTTTGTGTTTGTTGATCTTGAGTTTGTGGCAATTGTTAGACTTGAGATTTGGGTGTTGGTTGAACTTGAGTTTGTGTTGTGTTTGAACTTGAGTTCGTTGTGTTTTTGTACTTGAGTCTGTGTTTTTTTTTAACTTAATGATGTGGAAATTGTTAAAATTGAGAAATGGGTATTAGTTGAACTTGAGGTTTTGGTGTTTTTGAACTTGAGTTTGTGTCGTGTTTCCACTTGAGTTTGTGTCGTTTTTGAACTTGAATTTGCGTGTTTGGTGAACTTGAGTTTGTGTGTTTTTTGAACTTGAGTTTCTGTTGTTTTTGAACTTACGGTTGTGTAAATTGTTAAACTTGGGAATCAGGTGTTGGTAGAACATGAGTTTGTGGTGTTTTTGAACTTAAGATTGTTTCATGTTTGAACTTGAGTTTGTGTTTGTTGAACTTGAGGTTGTGGCAATTGTGAAACTTAAGATTTGGGTGTTGGTTGAACTTGAGTTTGTGTCGTGTTTGAACTTGAGTTCGTGTTGTTTGTTAAACTTGAGTTTGTGTGTTTTTTGAACTTGAGGTTGTGAAAATTTTTAAATTTGAGAATCAGTTGTTGGTTGAACTTGAGTTTGTGGTTTTTGTTGAACTTGAGTTTGTGTTGTGTTTGAACTTGAGTATGTGTTGTTTTTGAACTTGAGGTTGTGGATTGTTTGAACTTGAGTTTGTGTGTTTGTTGAACTTGAGGGTGTGGCAATTGTTAAATTTTAGAATTGGGTATTGGTTGAACTTGAGTTTTTGGTGTTTTTGAACTTGGGTTTGTGTCGTTTTTGAACTTGAGTTTGTGTGCGTTTTGAACTGGAGTTTCTGTTGTTTTTGAACTTGAGGTTGTGGAAATTGTTAAACTTGAGAATCGGGTGTTGGTTGAATTTGAGTTTGTGTGTTTGTTGAATTTGAGTTTGTGTCGTGTTTCAACTTGAGTTTGTGGTGTTTTTGAACTTGAGTAGTTGTGTTTATTGAATTTGAGTTTGTGTTGTGTTTGAACATGAGTTTGTGGTGTTTTTGAACTTGAGTTTGTTTCGTGTTTGAACTTGAGTTTGTGGCATTTGTTGAACTTGAGTATGTGTCGTGTTTTAACTTGAGTTTGTCTTGTTTTTGGACTTGAGTTTGTGGTGTCTTTAAATAGAGGGTTTGGAATTTTCAAACTTGAGAATTGGGTTGTGGTTGAACTTGAGTTTGTGTGTTTGTTGAACTTGAGTTTGTTTCATTTTTGAACTTGAGTTTGTGTGTTTGTTGAACTTGACTGTGTGTTTGTTGAACTTGAGGTTTTGACAATTGTTATACTTGAAAATGGGTGTTGGTTGAACTTAAGTTTGTGTCGAGATTTAACTTGAGTTTGTGGCAATTGTTGAACTTGTATCTGTGGCTTTAAGTGAATTTTAATTGGTGGCAATGTTTGAACTTGTGTTTGTGGCGTTTGTTGAACTTGAGTTTGTGTCGTGTCTGAACTCGAGTATGTGGTGTTTTTTAACTTGAGTATATGGTGTTTTTGAACTTGAGGGTGTTTTTTAATTTGTTTAACTTAAGAATTGGGTATTGGTTGAAGTTGAGTTTTTGGTTTTTGTTGAACTTGAGTTTGTGTTGTTTGAACTTGAGTATGTGTTGTTTTTGAACTTGAGGTTGTGGATTGTTTGAACTTGAGTTTGTGTGTTTGTTGAACTTGAGGGTGTGGCAATTGTTAAATTTTAGAATCGGGTGTTGGTTGAATTTGAGTTTGTGTGTTTGTTGAATTTGAGTTTGTGTCGTGTTTCAACTTGAGTTTGTGGTGTTTTTAACCTTGAGTTGTTGTGTTTATTGAATTTGAGTTTGTGTTGTGTTTGAACATGAGTTTGTGGTGTTTTTGAACTTGAGTTTGTTTCGTGTTTGAACTTGAGTTTGTGGCATTTGTTGAACTTGAGTATGTGTCGTGTTTTAACTTGAGTTTGTCTTGTTTTTGAACTTGAGTTTGTGGTGTCTTTAAATAGAGGGTTTGGAATTTTCAAACTTGAGAATTGGGTTGTGGTTGAACTTGAGTTTGTGTGTTTGTTGAACTTGAGTTTGTTTCATTTTTGAACTTGAGTTTGTGTGTTTGTTGAACTTGACTGTGTGTTTGTTGAACTTGAGGTTTTGACAATTGTTATTCTTGAAAATGGGTGTTGGTTGAACTTAAGTTTGTGTCGAGATTTAACTTGAGTTTGTGGCAATTGTTGAACTTGTATCTGTGGCTTTAAGTGAATTTTAATTGGTGGCAATGTTTGAACTTGTGTTTGTGGCGTTTGTTGAACTCGAGTATGTGGTGTTTTTTAACTTGAGTATATGGTGTTTTTGAACTTGAGGGTGTTTTTTAATTTGTTTAACTTAAGAATTGGGTATTGGTTGAAGTTGAGTTTTTGGTGTGTTTGATCTTGAGGTTTTGTCTTTTTTTTTACTTGAGGTTTTGGCAATTGTTAAACTTGAGATTTGGGTGTTGGTTGAACTTGAGTTTGTGTCGTGTTTGAACTTGAGTTCATGTTTTTTTAACTTGAGTTTTTGTGTTTGTTGAACTTGAGGTTGTGAAATTTTTATACTTGAGAATCAGGTGTTGGTTGAACTTGGGTTGGTGGTTTTTGTTGAACTTGAGTTTGTGTCGTTTTTGATCTTGAGTATGTGGTGTTTTTGAACTTGAGTCTATGTTGATTTGAACTTGAGGTTGTGGAAATTGTTAAACTTGAGAATTGGGAATTGGTTGAACCTGAGTTTTTGTCGTGTTTGAACTTGAGTTTGTGGTGTTTTTGGATTTGAGTTTTTGGTGTTTTTTAACTTGAAGTTGTGGATATTGTTAAACTTGAGAATTGGGCATTGGTTGAACTTGAGTTTTTTGTGTTTTTGAACTTTAGTATTTGTCTTGTTTGAACTTGAGTTTGTGGTGTTTGGTGTTCTTGAGTTTGCGTGTTTCGTGAACTTGAGATTGTGTGTTTTTGGAACTTCAGTTTCTGTTCTTGAACTTGGGGTTGTGGAAATTGCTAAACTTGAGAATAAGGTGTTGGTTGAACTTGAGTTTGTTGTCTGTTGAACTTGAGTTTGCGGTTATTTTTAAACTTGAGTTTGTGGTGTTTTTGAACTTGAGTTTTTTTGTTTGAGCTTGAGTTTGTGTCGTTCGTTTGAACTTGAGGTTGTGGAAATTGTTAAACTTGAGAATTGGGTATCGGTTGAACTTGAGTTTGTGTCGTATTTGAACTTGAGTTTTTGGTGTTTGGTGAACTTGAGTATGTGTCGTGTTTGAACTTGATTTTGTGGTGTTTTTAAACTTGAGTTTGTAGTGTTTTTGAACTTGAGTTTGTTTCATGTTTGAACTTGAGTTTGTGGTTTTTTTAACTTGAGTTTGTGCCGTGTTTGAACTTGAGTATACAGTGTTTTTGAACTTGAGTCTGTTGTTTTTGAACTTGAGCTCAGTGGCGTTTCTAGACCAAATTACTCCCCACGCGAGCACCCCTCTAAGCATCCCCCCCCCCCCACACACACACACACACACATACACCACCACCACACGCACACACACACAAACACAAAAAGAGAAATAATTTTGAACAGATAGTTTTGTATTATTATGTAGTATTATTTTGATTAGAACAAAATATATATATATATTTCTCAATTGCAGAAATCCTTCAATAGAAAAAAACACAATCCTGAGGACCATTTTGGGAAGGGCCAGCAACGGTCCAGAGGAGCCAAAGAGATGGAGGAGCTCAGGGCCCAGGGTGGATGCAGCTGGGGTCAGGCAGTTCCGCAGCAGACCGTTTGCAGCATTAGTCCAGTGGCAGCTAAAAGACTCAGAGACACTCAGAGAGACAGAAAACTGGTCAGTGACTTATATGGGACATAAAGATCTAAAGAGGAGTTAGAGACAGACTCTAGCTCAGTGTGCCAGATAGCCCCGGCAGTATAGACCTATAGCAGCATAACTAAGAGCTGGTTCAAATCAGCCCTGACTATAGGCTTTATCAAAGAGGAACGTTTTAAGTCTACTCTTGAAAGTTGAGAGTGTGTCTGCCCCCTGAACCTCGAGCGGTAAATGATTCCAGAGGAGAGGTGCCTGGTAGCTGAAAGCTCTTCCTCCAATACTACTTTTAGAGACATTTGGTACAACGAGCAGGCCTGCAGACTGTGAGCGTAAAGGTCTAGATGGAAAGTACGGTGTAACTAGCTCGTCGAGATATGATGGAGCCTGGCCGTTAAGCGCTTTATATGTCACAAGGAGGATTTTAAACTCAATTCTATATTTAATAGGGAGCCAGTAAAGAGAGGCTAAAACAGGAGAGATGTGCTCCCTTTTTCTAGTTCTAGTCAGTACCCGAGCTGCTGCATTTTGGACCAGCTGAAGAGTCCTTAATGACTTACTAGAGCAGCCTGATAGGAGAGAATTACAGTAATCCAGCCTAGAGGTAACAAAGGCATGGACTAGTTTTTCTGCATCGCTCTGAGACAATATCCGTCTAATTTTTGAGATATTGCGCAGGTGGAAAAAGGCTGTCCTGGAAATTTGTTGAATGTGGGAGCTAAAAGATAAATCCTGATCAAAAAAAACTCCCAGATTTCGCACAGTGGGGCTGGATGCCCGGCTGATGCCATCAAATGTAGCTAAATTACTAGAGAATGCCTCTCTAAGGTGTTTAGGACCGAGGACCAGAACTTCAGTTTTGTCTGAGTTTAGCATTAGAAAGTTATTGGTCATCCAGGATTTTATATCTTTGAGCAGGGGCGTCACTAGGTTTTAAGGACAGGGGGGGGGGGGGCTTAGCCCCCGAGAGATGAACAGGATGTGAGTGATCGTAGTGAGCGAGTACAAAATTTCACAAACAGAAAACAAAGACTGAGAAATTGCTTTTCAGCTTTTTTGGACGGATTTAACTAAGATGTAGTCTCAGGCCACCAGGAGTTTTTTTTTTTATTTCAGTCTGTTTTTTCTTCAGTTCTTGCAACCACTACTGACCAAACTATCATGTTTTATGTTTTTGCCAAACACTCTACATGGGAAACAGAAAGCTGTATTCTGGTTGACTGAATATCCTAACCAGTTGTGCTTTTCAAACCAGCTGTAGTGAAATGCTCGCTTCTGTGTACCAAAACTATCTTGTGGGTAGCTCTTCAGCTTGACCTGTCTGGGCCCTGTGTCTTTGTCACCTAAATCAAACCCTGTAGTGGAATGAGTTGCTGCAGCTGCTTCATTATTTTCCCTCTCTTGGCCTGTTTGCTCTCATCTCTCAGCTTCCTCTGCCATTTGCTGCAGCTCCTCAGCCTTTCCTTCTTCCTGACCCTCCAAGATACATTGAAACGCATTGAATTAATAACTAATCCAACATAGAGGCTAATGTCATGGCTTACGCTCACACACCACAGTAATTTTTTGCTCCCAAATAGTAAGATGTTACACAGATTACATTTTGGGCCCATATGTGACTAAAATGGTTGCAATTTAAAGCCCTGAAAAATATTACTAAATTACTTGAATTAAAGTAATATTAAAATAGGACCCCCAAAAATATTTGGGTCAGGCTAATTTATCTCTTGGCTCTCTCCATTTTCTAATCTTGACTCTCAAATAAAAACTCAAATTAAATAAGTTTTATATGGTGCACCATGACTGAAATTTAATATTTCATATCCATATTGAGTTCCATAAAATTCTAATCAGACTGTCTGCATCACTCCTGTGAATTCTTTTAGACTCACCTCTCCAGTAGAGATGTCTCCCCTCTCACTTGCTGTGCTCCTCTGTCTTGACTCCTACAGGTCAGTGGGGATGGCGGGGTGAGTATTATTAGTGCATTATCATTTTCCACTGATGATAATCATACGTGAATGAGCTCAGCTCGCTTTTTTCAGAGCTTTTTACCGCCACCTACTGGACTGGAGTGTGGAGCAGTAAATTGGTGGACAGAAAAAATTTAGAAATAAATTTAAAAAAAAAAAAAAAAAAAAAGGAATTAGATCCTCTCCAGTAGCCCCGAGTTTTTCAAATATGCCATTAGATGCTTGATTACAATTTCTGATTCTGAACTTAGTAGATTCCCCATGCTAAGTGCCATCCTGGTTTCCTGCACTGCTGCTGCCAGTATCCTCCTTTGCTCCACATATCCTCTACAATCTAACAACACATGCTGGACAGTCTCAGCCTGTCCAGATTTGTCACAACTGCCATCTGGGTGTTTTCCTATCTTATACAGTGTGTTATTCAGTCCTGTGTGTCCTATCCTCAGACGTGTGATGATTGCTTCCTCCCTCCGGTTCCTGCCCCTTCTTCTTCCCAACCCAACTTTTTTCCTGTATGTTATAAAGATGTCTTCCCGTATCTTGAATGTCCCAGTATTCTTGCCATACTTTCTTCATATGTTTTTTGATTAGTGATTTACCCTCTGCCTTACTTAACGGAATTTCTGTATTTACATTGTGTGATTTGAGTGTTAGTTTGGCCAGAAAATCTACTTCTTCATTCCCTTCTATACCTACATGGGCAGGAACCCAAATAAAACACACTGATAAACCCCTCTTGTAAATTGTATAAAGTAGATTTTGTATTTTATATATGAGTTCTTGCCTACATGACTTCATGGTTTTGATGCTTGTAAGAGCTGCCCAACTGTCTGATGCTATTAGTGTATTGTTTTGATTGTTTGCTTCTATCCATTCCAAACCTAAGATTATAGCAACTAGCTCAACTGTATATACTGATAGATGGTCTGTGGTTCTTTTCTTGATATGTGTTTTGTAGTGTGGAATGAGAACTGCAGCTCCTTTTCTTCCAGTATCAGGGTCTTTTGATCCATCTGTGAAAATCCATATTTTATCTGAAAAATGTTGTTCTAGGTACCTTTCAGCTACTCCTCCCGCAGAGACCTGCCTATTCCTTTTTTCCAGTTGTTGCTGTAATTGAAAGTTTACTGATGGTTCTATGAATAACCAGGGAGGAGTAATTGAATATGGGACCGTCGGACTGAATTGTATGCCACCTAATCCTGCTTGTACTGCTTTTATGTTTCCTATCCAGCCAAAACTACTAACATTTGATTCATTATGTTCCCAACAGTCCTCCAGGATGGCTTTAGCGGGATGTGAAGTACTATGCCCTTGAAGATTGACCCAGTATGCTAACATAAGTTTCATTCTCCTGATGCGTAATGGTTGTTCCCCCGTTTCTACTTGTATGGATGCTACTGGAGAGGATTTAAAAGCTCCACTGCATATCCTTAGTCCCTGTGTCTGCTGTACATCCAGCTTTTTCAGGTGACTTTCTCCTGCTGCTAGATAGCCTATGCAACCATAATCTAGTGTTGCTCTCATAATGGCCTGATAAATATTTATCAGTGATGCTCTGGTTGCACCCCAGTGTCTTCCTGAGAGGCATCTTAAAAGATTGTTGACTCTTTTACATTTATCCCTCACTTTGTCTATGTGTTGCCTCCAAGTCAGCTTTTCATCCATCCACATTCCAAGCAGTCTAACAACACTGACCTGCTCAATTTTTTGATTATATAATTTCAGGGAGATTTCTTTGTGTCGTTGAGAAAAGCATATTCCTTGTGTTTTTGCAACAGAAAACTTAAAGCCCCATTCATCTGCCCATTGTTCCACTGTCATAATTGCTGCCTGGAGTTTCTTTTGTATATATGTAAGATTCCGCCCCCTTATCCATAATGCTCCATCATCAGCATACAGCGACTTTCCTATACCTCTTTCAACCTGCTCAAAAATGTCATTGATCATGATGTTAAACAAGATTGGACTGCAGACACTTCCCTGTGGTATTCCATTCTCTACTTGATATGTTTTAGAATATTCTGAACCCACTTTAACTTCTATTGTTCTTCCTAACATGAAATCTAATATCCAGTTGTATAGTTTTCCATTTACACCTAATCTAGTAAGTTTGATGAGTAGTCCCTCCTTCCATAACATATCGTATGCTTTCTCAATATCAAAAAATACTGCAATCACCATTTCTCTATTGGTCTGAGCTTTCCTTATTTCTGACTCTAAACATAACACATTATCCATTGTCCCTCTTCCTCTTCGGAATCCACTTTGATGATTTGAGAGAACGTTTTTGCTCTCAAGAAAATATGACAGTCTCTCTGTTACCAACCGTTCCATAGTTTTCCCTAACTGCGATGTTAGAGCGATGGGTCTGTAGCTGGAGGGATTAGATGAATCTTTACCTGGTTTTAGTATTGGTATTATGACTGATTGTTTCCATGTCAATGGCAGTTTGCCTGTGTCCCATATGTTATTAAACAGTCTTAATATTACTTCAAGTGCACCATCCGTCATATGTGCTAACATGCTGTTGACTGATCTAAGACCTCCCAATTACTAACACCTGCAATTGTAGTGGATGTGAGTGTCAGATCGATTACACTCTCTGTATTCTGTGAGCTATTGTACCTTGTACCTCTTCCATCATTAATACACACCAAACCCATATCATCTAAAAATTCCTCTATTACTGTCCCATTTGTATCTGTACTACTGCTCCCCCATAATGTGCTGTGTGCATTTAAGTCCCCACACCATATTACCTTCCCTTGTATTGGCCCACTTGCTTCATTTAATATATCAGTGCTCAGTCTGTTACATGGATTATAGTAATTTACTATTGTGATGCTGCTCTTTTCTGTCCATATCTTGATTACAATAGATTCTTGTTCCTTTCCTATCTTGACTAAATTATAGTTCAACCCATTCCTTATAAAAGTTGCCACTCCTCCACCTTTATCAGTGTTCCTATCGTTCCTTACTGCAGTGTACCCATTCAAAACAAAATCCCATTGTGGTTTTAACCATGTCTCTTGAATACATATTAAATGTGGCTTGTCTGACAAATTTGACACAAACTTTTTAAATTCTTGACCATTAGAGATAAGACTCCTTGCATTCCACTGCAAAATAATTAAGAACATGAAGATCCACCAGCCCATGTCTGAGAGTTAGATGTTTCTCCAGTTAGCATGTCCTCTACTGCTTCCCAGCTTATTCCCTCCATTCCTAGATATTTCTCAGCTGCTCTCACTATGATCTTAATCTTTTCAGTTTTCCTGCTTGTTTGTGCTGAACAATTTATCACCTCAACCATGAACAGCACAAATTCATTTTTGCCTACCATCAGCATATCTTCCTTTATGTCTTGTTTAGCACATCCTCCACAGGGTCTGCTGCTGCTCTCTACTGCCACCATTTTAGGGGCATCTGTTTGCTTCACTTTTTTCACTGCCTCTACATATGAAATCCCCTCTGAGATTTTAACTCTCTGCACCTCAGCTGCTTTTTTGCTCATTTCACAACCTCGATAAGCTGAAGTATGCTCTCCTTCACAATTGCAACATTTAAGTTTAGCTCCTTCTTCACATTTGCCGTACTCATGCTCGCCCACACATCTACCGCATCTTTGCTTGCCTTTGCAGATTGCTGCTACATGACCATACTTTTGACACTTGAAGCATCGCAGTGGTGGCGGGACATATGGTTTCCCCTCATAACTCATGTATCCTATGAACACTTTGCTCGGCAACCTGGGCTCGTCAAATGTGATCAATACGGACAGGCTGTCACATCTCTCTCCATTTCTGGTCGCTTTCAGCCGTCTGGCTTCCAGCACATTTGCACCCATCACATTGTCTTTTATCTGTTCTGTTGATACTATCGTAGGTATACCTGAAATGACTCCTCTAGTCGACTTATTCCTATATTCAGGAATTGAGCACTGCACTTTTTTACCATCTACCTTGTTTAGTCTTATGGCTTTTCCTTGTTGCACACTATTCCTACAAAAGATCAACAATGAACCATCCCGCAGCACTTTGGCATTCTTTACTTCACCTACAAACTTTTGAATCACCTTTGTTAACACGATTGGGTTCCACTCACCAAATGATGCACCGTCATGAGAAAGTTTGATGATTATTTTATGTTCCTCACTCTGCCTTCCTATTGGTGATCCACTTCCCTCACTGTCCGTTCCTTCTGAGTTGTTTCTATCACTTTGCTGTCTTTCTTTTTTACGTTTTCTCCTATTTTTTTGGTCTCCTAGATTCCAGTCATCTTTCCTCCCGCCATCTACTTCAATTCCTCCCATCTCACTTCCTGATCCGTCACTAGCGCCTGCCATCTCTGTCCATTCACAGTCCAGCTGTTCGCCAACCGCCCCCGTGGTTCCGCCTTCCGCCTGTATACGGATTTGAAGCCAAAAAGCTCTCGGTAATTCCGGGTTCCTTGAAACCAGAGCTGTGCAGTAGCGTTGTGCGCATTCGCCCGCGCAGTCGCAGAGAGTCCCTGTGATGACGCTCGGGTCAAACAGCATATTCCCCCGGAAGAGCTACGCAATCCCTGAATGCCCATAGGCTATACCAGGTGTCAATCATAGAAAACATGAACCCCCTAAGAACTTTTAAAAACTGAGCTGTACAGAAAAAAAAGGACTTGGGCACAAACCAGTCTTACTGTAACTATATGTCAACATCACAAGCAGGGGGGAGAAAAATTTATGTTCTGTGCAATAAATTTCTAAAGTTTGTCCACAGTCCCATTAGCTTTGCTGGCGGAGGCGGGATTTATGACCTGTACTGCAGCCCACCATCAGAGGGTGCTGTTCTCGGAGTGGCTTCACCCAGCGAGGAGGAAGACTCTGTCCATCTTATATACAGTCTATGGCGCTGACGAAGGCTCTCCACCTTACACAGTGAAGTCAGGGGAAACCAAATGATTTGTGATCATATTTAAGTGAATAATGACATGTTATATTATTATTTATTTAAACTCATATTCCTGCGTCTTTGTATTGAATTTGTCTGCACTTTTTTGTAATATATATATATATATATATATATATATATATATATATATATATATATTTAAAAAACCAAAAAAAATATATAAAATTATTCAGGGGGGCTAAAGAATATTTTAGGGGGGCTTCAGGCCCCCCTTAAATAGGCCTAACGACGCCAATGTCTTTGAGGCAGGCTTCTAACCTGGCAACCTGGCCTGCTTCCTCCAGCTTAATGGATAGGTATAGCTGGGTGTCATCTGCATAACAGTGGAAAATTGTGAGTACTTCCTCATAATTTTACCCAGCGGAATCATGTACAGGGTGAAGTCATGCAACACTCACAGAAAACGCTGATAGTGTGAGCCAAAGCACTCCATATGAAGAGGTTGTTCACACTGCTGGATGTTTCTCCTCTGAAGCTGCTCTCTGCCTCAGTCATTGTTTACTTTACTCATGAAGCTCATCAAGCACGTAGCAAGATCCGAGCATGAACCCGAGCGCTTTATTCGCCTATCAGAGGCAGACGGGTACGGTGATTTGATTCACCAAAACTCCAGAAATGACTAAAAAACTACAGAATGTTATAAAATGACGTATCCGCGCTTTCGGCGGAGTAGAAATGCCTGATATATCCCTGATATACTGACATGCATACACAGAGCAGAGCTGTCCCCCCCGCGACCCTCTCCCCGCCTCATCTCATACAGTCTGTCAGCCTCTGTGCAGCACCGTCGGAGCAAGCAGGGGCGCCTACAGCAGTGAGGGGGCGCCAATTTAACCAACAAGAGTTAATACAAAACCGCTTTGCAGTCAAGATTTATTATTATTATCTTTTATTTTATTTTTTTGGAAGTGCTCGTGCCGCCCCCCATGAGTCATGACACAAATGCCGCCCCGGGCGGCTGCCCTGTTCTCCCGTGCCTAGAACCGCTACTGCTTGAGGTTGTGGAAATTTTTAAACTTGAGAATTGGGTATTGGTTGAACTGGAGTTTTTCTTGTTTTTGAACTTGAGTTTGTATCGTGTTTGAACTTGAGTTTGTGGTGTTTGGTGAACTTGAGTTTGCGTGTTGGGTGAACTTGAATTAGTGTGTTTTTGAACTTGAGTTCGTGTTGTGTTTGAAATTGAGTTTGTGTTGTGTTTGAACTTGAGTTTTTGGTGTGTTTGAACTTGAGTTTGTTTTTTTTACTTGAGTTTGTGTCGTTTTTGTACTTGAGTATATGGTGTTTTTGAACTTGAGTCTATGTTGGTTTTGAACTTGAGGTTGTGGTGTTTTTTAACTTGAGTTTGTGTTGTGTTCAAACTTGAGCTTGTGTTGTTTGATAACTTGAGATTGTTTTTTGTTTGAACTTGAGTTTGTGGCATTTGTTGAACTTGAGTTTGTGTCGTGTTTGAACTTGAGTCTGTGGTGTATTTGAACTTGAGTCTGTGTTGTTTTTGAACTTGAGGTTGTGGAAATTGTTAAACTTGAGAATTGGGTGCTGGTTGAACTTGAGATTTTGGTGTTTTTGAACTTGAGTTCGTGTTGTTTTTGAACTTGAGGTTGTGGAAATCGTTAAATTTGAGAATTGGGTATTGGTTGAACTTGAGTTTGTGGTGTTTGGTGAACTTGAGTTTGCGTATTTAGTGAACTTGAATTTGTGTTTGTTGAACTCGAGTTTGTGTTGTGTTTGAACTTGAGTTTGTGGTGTTTTTAAACTTGAATTTGTTACTTGTTTGAACTTGAGTTTGTGGTTTTTTTAACTTAAGTTGTGTCGTGTTTGAACTTGAGCATTGGGTATTTTTTGAACGTGAGTCTGTGTTTTTTTTTAACTTGAAGTTGTGGATATTGTTAAACTTGAGAATTGGGCATTGGTTGAACTTGAGTTTTTTGTGTTTTAAACTTGAGATTTTATCGTGTTTGAACCCGAGTTTGTGGTGTTTGGTGTTCTTGAGTTTGCGTGTTTCGTGAACTTGAGATTGTGTGTTTTTTTAACTTGAGTTTCTGTTGTTCTTGAACTCTGGGTTGCAGAAATTGTTAAACTTGAGAATAAGGTGTTGGTTGAACTTGAGTTTGTGTCGAGATTTAGCTTGAGTTTGTGGCAATTGTTGAACTTGTATCTGTGGTTTTAGGTGAATTTTAATTGGTAGCAATGTTTGAACTTGAGTTTGTGGCGTTTGTTGAACTTGAGTTTGTGTCGTGTCTGAACTCGAGTATGTGGTGTTTTTTAACTTGAGTTTGTGGTGTGTTTGAACTTCAGTTTGTGTGTTTGTTGAACTTGAGGTTGTGGAAATTATTAAACTTGAGAATCGGGTGTTGGTTGAATTTGAGTTTGTTTGTTTGTTGAATTCAAGTTTGTGGCGTGTTTCATCTTGAGTTTTTTGTGTATTTGAAATTGATTTTGTGTTTATGTTGAACTTGAGGTTTTGGCAATTGTTAAACTTGAGATTTGGGTGTTGGTTGAACTTGAGTTTGTGTCATGTTTGAACTTGAGTACATGTTGTTTGTTTAACTTGAGTTTTTGTGTTTGTTGAACTTGAGGTTTTGAAATTTTTAAACTTGAGAATCATGTGTTGGTTGAACTTGGGTTTGTGTTTTTTGTTGAACTTGAGTTTGTGTCGTTTTTGAACTTGAGTATGTGGTGTTTTTGAACTTGAGTTTCTGTTGTTCTTGAACTTGGGGTTGTGGAAATTGTTAAACTTGAGAATAAGGTGTTGGTTGAACTTGAGTTTGTGTCGAGATTTAGCTTGAGTTTGTGGCAATTGTTGAACTTGTATCTGTGGTTTTAGGTGAATTTTAATTGGTAGCAATGTTTGAACTTGAGTTTGTGGCGTTTGTTGAACTTGAGTTTGTGTCGTGTCTGAACTCGAGTATGTGGTGTTTTTTAACTTGAGTTTGTGGTGTGTTTGAACTTCAGTTTGTGTGTTTGTTGAACTTGAGGTTGTGGAAATTATTAAACTTGAGAATCGGGTGTTGGTTGAATTTGAGTTTGTTTGTTTGTTGAATTCAAGTTTGTGGCGTGTTTCATCTTGAGTTTTTTGTGTATTTGAAATTGATTTTGTGTTTATGTTGAACTTGAGGTTTTGGCAATTGTTAAACTTGAGATTTGGGTGTTGGTTGAACTTGAGTTTGTGTCATGTTTGAACTTGAGTACATGTTGTTTGTTTAACTTGAGTTTTTGTGTTTGTTGAACTTGAGGTTTTGAAATTTTTAAACTTGAGAATCATGTGTTGGTTGAACTTGGGTTTGTGTTTTTTGTTGAACTTGAGTTTGTGTCGTTTTTGAACTTGAGTATGTGGTGTTTTTGAACTTGAGTCTATGTTGATTTTGAACTTGGGGTTGTGGAAATTGTTAAACTTTAGAATTGGGAATTGGTTGAACTTGAGTTTGTGTCATGTTTGAACTTGAGTATGTGGTGGTTTTGAACTTGAGTATTTGGTGTTTATCAACTTGAAGTTGTGGATATTGTTAAACTTGAGAATTGGGCATTGGTTGAACTTGAGTTTTTGGTGTTTTTGAACTTTAGTTTTTGTCTTGTTTGAACTTGAGTTTGTGGTGTTTGGTGTTCTTGAGTTTGCGTTTTTCGTGAACTTGAGATTGTGTGTTTTTTGAACTTGAGTTTCTGTTGTTCTTGAACTTGGGGTTGCAGAAATTGTTAAACTTGAGAATAAGGTGTTGGTTGAACTTGAGTTTGTGTCGAGATTTAGCTTGAGTTTGTGGCAATTGTTGAACTTGTATCTGTGGTTTTAAGTGAATTTTAAATGATGGCAATGTTTGAACTTGAGTTTGTGGCGTTTGTTGAACTTGAGATTGTGTCGTGTCTGAACTCGAGTATGTGGTGTTTTTTAACTTGAGTTTGTGGTGTGTTTGAACTTCAGTTTGTGTGTTTGTTGAACTTGAGGTTGTGGAAATTATTAAACTTGAGAATCGGGTGTTGGTTGAATTTGAGTTTGTTTGTTTGTTGAATTCAAGTTTGTGGCGTGTTTCATCTTGAGTTTTTTGTGTATTTGAAATTGATTTTGTGTTTATGTTGAACTTGAGGTTTTGGCAATTGTTAAACTTGAGATTTTGGTGTTGGTTGAACTTGAGTTTGTGTCATGTTTGAACTTGAGTACATGTTGTTTGTTTAACTTGAGTTTTTGTGTTTGTTGAACTTGAGGTTTTGAAATTTTTAAACTTGAGAATCATGTGTTGGTTGAACTTGGGTTTGTGTTTTTTGTTGAACTTGAGTTTGTGTCGTTTTTGAACTTGAGTATGTGGTGTTTTTGAACTTGAGTCTATGTTGATTTTGAACTTGGGGTTGTGGAAATTGTTAAACTTTAGAATTGGGAATTGGTTGAACTTGAGTTTGTGTCATGTTTGAACTTGAGTATGTGGTGGTTTTGAACTTGAGTATTTGGTGTTTATCAACTTGAAGTTGTGGATATTGTTAAACTTGAGAATTGGGCATTGGTTGAACTTGAGTTTTTGGTGTTTTTGAACTTTAGTTTTTGTCTTGTTTGAACTTGAGTTTGTGGTGTTTGGTGTTCTTGAGTTTGCGTTTTTCGTGAACTTGAGATTGTGTGTTTTTTGAACTTGAGTTTCTGTTGTTCTTGAACTTGGGGTTGCAGAAATTGTTAAACTTGAGAATAAGGTGTTGGTTGAACTTGAGTTTGTGTCGAGATTTAGCTTGAGTTTGTGGCAATTGTTGAACTTGTATCTGTGGTTTTAAGTGAATTTTAAATGATGGCAATGTTTGAACTTGAGTTTGTGGCGTTTGTTGAACTTGAGATTGTGTCGTGTCTGAACTCGAGTATGTGGTGTTTTTTAACTTGAGTTTGTGGTGTGTTTGAACTTCAGTTTGTGTGTTTGTTGAACTTGAGGTTGTGGAAATTGTTAAACTTGAGAATCGGGTGTTGGTTGAACTTGAGTATGTGTGATTGTTGAATTCAAGTTTGTGTCGTGTTTCAACTTGAGTTTTTTGTGTGTTTGAAATTGATTTTGTGTTTATGTTGAACTTGAGGTTTTGGCAATTGTTAAACTTGAGTATATGGGTGTTGGTTGAACTTGAGTTTGTGTCATGTTTGAACTTGAGTTTGTGGCATTTGTTTTGCTTGAGTTTTTCTGTTTGTTGAACTTGAGGTTTTGAAATTTTTAAACTTGAGAATCAGGTGTTGGTTGAACTTGGGTTTGTGTTTTTTGTTGAACTTGAGTTTGTGTCGTTTTTGAACTTGAGTATGTGGTGTTTTTGAACTTGAGTCTATGTTGATTTTGAACTTGGGGTTGTGGAAATTGTTAAACTTTAGAATTGGGAATTGGTTGAACTTGAGTTTGTGTCATGTTTGAACTTGAGTATGTGGTGGTTTTGAACTTGAGTTTTTGGTGTTTATCAACTTGAAGTTGTGGATATTGTTAAACTTGAAAATTGGGCATTGGTTGAACTTGAGTTTTTGGTGTTTTTGAACTTTAGTTTTTGTCTTGTTTGAACTTGAGGTTGTGGTGTTTGGTGTTCTTGAGTTTGCGTGTTTCGTGAACTTGAGATTGTGTGTTTTTTGAACTTGAGTTTCTGTTGTTCTTGAACTTGGGGTTATGGAAATTGTTAAACTTGAGAATAAGGTGTTGGTTGAACTTAAGTTTGTTTGTTTTTTGAACTTGAGTTTGCGTTGTGTTTGAACTTGAGTTTGTGGTGTTTTTGAACTTGAGTTTTTTTTGTTTGAACTTGAGGTTGTGAATATTGTTAAACTTGAGAATTGGGTATCGGTTGAACTTGAGTTTGTTTCGTATTTGAACTTGAGTTTTTGGTGTTTGGTGAACTTGAGTTTGTGTCGTGTTTGAACTTGATTTTGTGGTGTTTTTAAACTTGAGTTTGTGTGTTTGTTGAACTTAAATTGTGTTGTGTTTTAACTTGAGTTTGTAGTGTATTTTAACTTGAGTTTGTTTCATGTTTGAACTTGAGTTTGTGGGTTTTTTTAACTTGAGTTTGTGTCGTGTTTGAACTTGAGTATACAGTGTTTTTGAACTTGAGTCTGTTGTTTTTGAACTTGAGATTGTGGAAATTTTAAAACTTGAGAATTGGGTATTGGTTAAACTTGAGTTTTTCTTTTTTTGATCTCGAGTTTTTATCGTGTTTGAACTTGAGTTTGTGGTGTTTGGTGAACTTGAGTTTGCGTGTTGGGTGAACTTGAATTAGTGTGTTTTTGAACTTGAATTTGTGTTGTGTTTGAACTTGAGTTTGTGTTGTGTTTGAACTTGAGTTTTTTGTGTTTTTGAACTTGAGTTAGTTTTTTTTTACTTGAGTTTGTGTCGTTTTTGTACTTGAGTATATGGTGTTTTTGAACTTGAGTCTATGTTGATTTTGAACTTGAGTTTGTGTCGTTTTTGTACTTGAGTATATGGTGTTTTTGAACTTGAGTCTCTGTTGATTTTGAACTTGAGGTTGTGGTGTTTTTTAACTTGAGTTTGTGTTGTGTTTAAACTTGAGCTTGTGTTGCTTTATAACTTGAGTTTGTTTTTTGTTTGAACTTGAGTTTGTTGCGTTTGTTGAACTTGAGTTTGTGTTGTGTTTGAACTTGAGTTTGTGGTGTATTTGAACTTGAGTCTATGTTGATTTCTAACTTTGGGTTGTGGAAATTGTTAAATTTGAGAGTTGGGAATTGGTTGAACTTGAGTTTGTGTCATGTTTGAACTTGAGTTTGTGGTGTTTTTGAACTTGAGTTTTTGGTGTTTTTGAACTTGAAGTTGTGGATATTGTTAAACTTGAGAATTGGGCATTGGTTGAACTTGAGTTTTTGGTGTTTTTGAACTTTAGTTTTTGTCTTGTTTGAACTTGAGTTTGTGGTGTTTGGTGTTCTTGAGTTTGCGTGTTTCGTGAACTTGAGATTGTGTGTTTTTGGAACTTGAGTTTCTTTTGTTTTCAAACTTGGGGTTGTGGAAATTGTTAAACTTGAGAATCAGGTGTTGGTTAAACTTGAGTTTGTGTGTTTTTTAAACTTGAGTTTGTGTCGTGTTTGAACTTGAGTTTTTGTCATTTTTGAATATGAGTTTGTGTGTTTGTTGAACTTGAGTTTGTGTCGTGTAAAAACTTGAGTTGCGTGTTTGGTGAACTTGAGTTTGTGTGTTTTTTGAACTTGAGTTTCTTTTTTTTTAACTTGAGGTTGTGGAAATTGTTAAACTTGAGAATCAGGTGTTGGTTGAACTTGAGTTAGTCTGTTTGATGAACTTGAGTTTTTGTTGTGTTTGAACATGAGTTTGTGGTGTTTTTGAACTTGAGTTTGTTCCGTGTTTGAACTTTAGTTTGTGGTGTTTGTTGAACTTGCGTTTGTGTCGTGTTTGAATTTGAGTATGTGTTTTTTTTATTTTGATTTGTTGACTTTTTGAACTTGAGGTTGTGGAAATTGTTAAACTTGAGAATTTGGTATTGATTGAACTTTGGTTTGTTTTTTTTAACTTGAGTTTTTTGTTGTTTTTGAACTTTAGTTTGTGGAAATTGCTAAACTTGAGAATTAGGTGTTGGTTTAACTTGAGTTTGTTTGTTTGTGGAACTTGAGTTTGTGTTATGTATGAAGTTGAGTTTGTGTCGTTTTTGGACTAAAGTTAGTGTGTTTGTTGAACTTGAGGTTGTGGAAATTGTTAAAGTTTAGAATCAGGTGGTGGTTGAACTTGAGATAGTGTGTTCGTTGAACTTGAGTTTTTTGTCATGTTTGAAGTTGAGATTGTGGTGTCTTTGAACTTGAGTTTATGTGTTTGTTGAACTTGAGTTTTTGTTGTGTTTGAACTTGAGTTTGTGGTGTTTTTGAACTTGAGTTTTTTTCATGTTTGAACTTAAGTCCGGGCGTTTGTTGAACTTGAGTTTGTGTCATGTTTGAATTTGAGTTTGTGTTTTTTTTATTTGAATTTGTGGTGTTTTTGAACTTGAGGTTGTGGAAATTGTTAAACTTGAGAATTGGGTATTGATTGAACTTGAGTTGCGTGTTTGGTGGAATTCAGTTTGTACCTTGTTTTAACTTGAGTTTGTGTTGTGTTTGAACTTGAGTTGCGTGTTGGTCAAATTAAGTTTGTGTATTTTTTGAACTCAAATTTCTGTTGTTTTTGAACTTGAGGGTGTGGAAATTGCTAAAGTTGAGAATCAGGTGTTGGTTGAACTTGAGTTAGTGTGTTTGTTGAACTTGAGTTTGTGTTGTGTTTGAACTTGAGTTTTTTGGTGTTTTTGAATTTGAGTTTTTGTGTTTGTTGAACATGAGTTTGTGTTGTGTTTGAATTTTAGTTTGTGGTTTTTTTAACTTAAGTTTGTTTCGTGTTTGAACATGAGGTTGTGGAAAATGTTAAACTTGAGAATTGGGTATTGGTTGAACTTGAGTTTTTTGTGTTTTTGAACTTGAGTTTGTGTCTTGTTTGAACTTGATTTTGTGGTGTTTATGAACTTGAGTTTGATGCGTTTGTTGAACTTGAGTTTGTGTCGTGGTTGAACTTGAGTTTGTGGTGTTTGTTGAACTTCAGTTTGTGTCGTGTTTGAACTTCAGTTTGTGTTTTTGTTTAACTTGAGGGTGTGGAATTTGTTAAAATTGAGAATTGGGTATTTGTTGAACTTGAATTTGTGTGTTTTTTGAACTTGAGTTTCTGTTGTTTTTGAACTTGAGTTTGTGGTGTTCTTGAACTTGAGTTTGTTTCATGTTTGAACTTTAGTTTGTTGCGTTTTTTAACTTGAGTTTGTGTCGTGTTTGAATTTGAGTTTGTGGGGTTTTTTAACTTGAATTTGTGGTGTTTTAGTTGAACTTGAGGTTGTGGAAATTGTTAAACCTGAGATTTCGGTATTGGTTGAACTTGAGTTTTATGTGTTTTTGAACCTTAGTTTTTTTCATGTTTGAACTCGAGTTTGTGTTTTGTTTGAACTTGAGTTGCGTGTTTGGTGAAATTAAGTTTGTGTATTTTTTGAACTTGAGTTTCTGTTGTTTTTGAACTTGAGGATGTGGACATTGTTAAAGTTGAGAATCAGGTGTTTTTGAACTTGAGTTTTTGTGTTTGTTGAACTTGAATTTTTTTGTGTTTAAACTTTAGTTTGTGGTTGTTTTGAACATGAGTTTTTTTCATGTTTGAACTTGAGGTTGTGGAAATTGTTAAACTTGAGAATCAGGTGTTGGCTGAACTTGAGTTTTTTGTGTTTTTGAACTCCAGTTTTTTCTTGTTAGAACTTGAGTTGCGTGTTTCGTGATATTAAGTTTGTTTAACTTGAGAATTTGTTGGTTTTGAACTTGAGGGTGTGGACATTGTTAAAGTTGAGAATCAGGTGTTGGTTGAAGTTTTTTTAGTGTGTTTGTTGAACTTGAGTTTGTGTTGCGTAAGAACTTTAGTTTGTGGTGTTTTTGAACTTGAGTTTGTGTGTTTTTTGGACTTGAGTTTCTGTTGTGTTTGAGCTTGAATTTGTGTGTTTTTTTTAACTTGAGTTTCTGTTGTTTTGGAATTTGAGGTTGTGGAAATTGTTAAACTTGAGAATTATGTGTTGGTTGAACTTGAGTTAGTGTGTTTGTTGAACTTGAGTATGTGTTGTGTTTGAACTTAAGTATGTGTTTTTTTTACTTGAGTTTGTTTCGTGTTTGAACTTGAGGTTGTGGAAATTGTTAAACTTGAGAATTGGGTATTGGTTGAACTTGAGTTTTTTGTGTTTTTGAACTCCAGTTTTTGTCTTGTTAGAACTTGAGTTGCGTGTTCGGTGATATTAAGTTTTTTTAACTTGAGAATTTGTTGGTTTTGAACTTAAGGGTGTGGACATTGTTAAAGTTGAGAATCAGGTGTTGGTTGAACTTTTTTTAGTGTGTTTGTTGAACTTGAGTTTGTGTTGCGTTTGAACTTTAGTTTGTGGTGTTTTTGAACTTGAGTTTGTGTGTTTTTTGAACTTAAGTTTGTGTTGTGTTTGAGCTTGAATTTGTGTGTTTTTTTTTAACTTGAGTTTCTGTTGTTTTGGAATTTGAGGTTGTGGAAATAGTTAAAGTTGAGAATCAGGTGTTGGTTGAACTTGAGTTAGTGTGTTTGTTGAACTTGAGTTTGTGTTGCGTTTGAACTTTAGTTTGTGGTGTGTTTGAACTTGAGTTTGTGGTGTTTTTGAACTTGAGTTTGTTTCATATTTTAACTTGAGTTTGTGGCGTTTTTTGAACTTGAGTTTGTATCGTGTTTGAACTTGAGTTTGTGGTGTTTTTGAACATAAATATGTGTATGCGGTGAACTTGAGTTTCTATGTTTTTTGAACTTGAGTTTCTGTTGTTTTTGAACTTGAGTTAGTGGAAATTGTTGAACTTGAGAATCAGGTTTTCGTTGAACTTGAATTTTTGATTTTGTTGAACTTGAATTTGTGTTGTGTTTTTTGAACTTGAGTTTTTGTGTTTGTTGAACTTGAGTTTGGGTTGTGTTTGAACTGTTGTATGTGGTTTCTTTTAACTTAAGTTTGTGGTGGTTCTTGACTTGAGGGTGTGGAAATTGTTAAAGTATAGAATCAGGTGTTGGTTGAACTTGAGTTTGTGTTGTGTTTAAACTTTAGGATGTGTTTTTTTTAACTTGAGTTTATGTTGTGTTTGAACTTGAGGTTGTGGAAATTGTAAAACTTGAGAATGGGGTATTGGTTGAACTTGAGTTTTTTGTGTTTTTGAACCACAGTTTGTGTCTTGTATGAACTAGAGTTTGTGTTGTGTTTGAACTTGAGTTGCGTGTTTGGTAAAATTAAGTTTGTGTATTTTTTTAACTTGAGTTTCTGTTGTTTTTGAACTTGAGGGTGTGGACATTGTTAAAGTTGAGAATCAGGTGTTGGTTGAATTTGAGTTAGTGTGTTTTTTGAACTTGAGTTTGTGTCGTGTTTGAACTTGAGTTTTTTGGTGTTTTTGAACTTGAATCTTTGTGTTTGTTAAACTTATGTTTGTGTTGTGTTTGAACTTTAGTATGTGGTTTTTTGAACATGAGTTTGTTTCGTGTTTGAACTTGAGGTTGTGGAAATTGTTAAACTTTAGAATTGGGTATTGGTTGAACTTGAGTTTTTTGTGTTTTTGAACTCCAGTTTTTGTCTTGTTAGAACTTGAGTTGCGTGTTCGGTGATATTAAGTTTTTTTTAACTTGAGAATTTGTTGGTTTTGAACTTAAGGGTGTGGACATTGTTAAAGTTGAGAATCAGGTGTTGGTTGAACTTTTTTTAGTGTGTTTGTTGAACTTGAGTTTGTGTTGCGTTTGAACTTTAGTTTGTGGTGTTTTTGAACTTGAGTTTGTGTGTTTTTTGAACTTAAGTTTGTGTTGTGTTTGAGCTTGAATTTGTGTGTTTTTTTTTAACTTGAGTTTCTGTTGTTTTGGAATTTGAGGTTGTGGAAATAGTTAAAGTTGAGAATCAGGTGTTGGTTGAACTTGAGTTAGTGTGTTTGTTGAACTTGAGTTTGTGTTGCGTTTGAACTTTAGTTTGTGGTGTGTTTGAACTTGAGTTTGTGGTGTTTTTGAACTTGAGTTTGTTTCATATTTTAACTTGAGTTTGTGGCGTTTTTTGAACTTGAGTTTGTATCGTGTTTGAACTTGAGTTTGTGTTGTTTTTGAATTTGAGTTTGTGGTGTTTTTGAACATAAATATGTGTATGCGGTGAACTTGAGTTTCTATGTTTTTTGAACTTGAGTTTCTGTTGTTTTTGAACTTGAGTTAGTGGAAATTGTTGAACTTGAGAATCAGGTTTTCGTTGAACTTGAATTTTTGATTTTGTTGAACTTGAATTTGTGTTGTGTTTTTTGAACTTGAGTTTTTGTGTTTGTTGAACTTGAGTTTGGGTTGTGTTTGAACTGTTGTATGTGGTTTCTTTTAACTTAAGTTTGTGGTGGTTCTTGACTTGAGGGTGTGGAAATTGTTAAAGTATAGAATCAGGTGTTGGTTGAACTTGAGTTTGTGTTGTGTTTAAACTTTAGGATGTGTTTTTTTTAACTTGAGTTTATGTTGTGTTTGAACTTGAGGTTGTGGAAATTGTAAAACTTGAGAATGGGGTATTGGTTGAACTTGAGTATTTTGTGTTTTTGAACTACAGTTTGTGTCTTGTATGAACTAGAGTTTTTGTTGTGTTTGAACTTGAGTTGCGTGTTTGGTAAAATTAAGTTTGTGTATTTTTTTAACTTGAGTTTCTGTTGTTTTTGAACTTGAGGGTGTGGACATTGTTAAAGTTGAGAATCAGGTGTTGGTTGAATTTGAGTTAGTGTGTTTTTTGAACTTGAGTTTGTGTCATGTTTGAACTTGAGTTTTTTGGTGTTTTTGAACTTGAATCTTTGTGTTTGTTAAACTTATGTTTGTGTTGTGTTTGAACTTTAGTATGTGGTTTTTTGAACATGAGTTTGTTTCGTGTTTGAACTTGAGGTTGTGGAAATTGTTAAACTTTAGAATTGGGTATTGGTTGAACTTGAGTTGCGTGTCTGGTTAAATTAAGTTTGTATATTTTTTGAACTTGAGTTTCTGTTGTTTTTAAACTTGAGGGTGTGGATATTTTTAAAGTTTAGAATCAGGTGTTGGTTGAACTTGAGTTAGTGTGTTTGTTGAACTTGAGTTTGTGTCGTGTTTGAACTTGAGTCTCTGTTGTTTTTGAACTTGAGTTTTTGTGTTTGTTGAACTTGAGTATGTGTTGTGTTTGAACTTTAGTTTGTGGTGTTTTTGAACTTGATTTTGTGTGTTTTTTGAACTTAAGTTTGTGTTGTGTTTGAGCTTGAATTTGTGTGTTTTTTTTTAACTTGAGTTTCTGTTGTTTTGGAATTTGAGGTTGTGGAAATAGTTAAAGTTGAGAATCAGGTGTTGGTTTAACTTGAGTTAGTGTGTTTGTTGAACTTGAGTTTGTGTTGCGTTTGAACTTTAGTTTGTGGTGTGTTTGAACTTGAGTTTGTGTGTTTTTTGAACTTAAGTTTGTGTTGTGTTTGAGCTTGAATTTGTGTGTTTTTTTTTAACTTGAGTTTCTGTTGTTTTGGAATTTGAGGTTGTGGAAATAGTTAAAGTTGAGAATCAGGTGTTGGTTGAACTTGAGTTAGTGTGTTTGTTGAACTTGAGTTTGTGTTGCGTTTGAACTTTAGTTTGTGGTGTGTTTGAACTTGAGTTTGTGGTGTTTTTGAACTTGAGTTTGTTTCATATTTTAACTTGAGTTTGTGGCATTTTTTGAACTTGAGTTTGAATCGTGTTTGAACTTGAGTTTGTGTTGTTTTTGAATTTGAGTTTGTGGTGTTTTTGAACATAAATATGTGTATGCGGTGAACTTGAGTTTCTATGTTTTTTGAACTTGAGTTTCTGTTGTTTTTGAACTTGAGTTAGTGGAAATTGTTGAACTTGAGAATCAGGTTTTCGTTGAACTTGAATTTTTGATTTTGTTGAACTTGAATTTGTGTTGTGTTTTTTGAACTTGAGTTTTTGTGTTTGTTGAACTTGAGTTTGGGTTGTGTTTGAACTGTTGTATGTGGTTTCTTTTAACTTAAGTTTGTGGTGGTTCTTGACTTGAGGGTGTGGAAATTGTTAAAGTATAGAATCAGGTGTTGGTTGAACTTGAGTTTGTGTTGTGTTTAAACTTTAGGATGTGTTTTTTTTAACTTGAGTTTATGTTGTGTTTGAACTTGAGGTTGTGGAAATTGTAAAACTTGAGAATGGGGTATTGGTTGAACTTGAGTTTTTTGTGTTTTTGAACCACAGTTTGTGTCTTGTATGAACTAGAGTTTGTGTTTGAACTTGAGTTGCGTGTTTGGTAAAATTAAGTTTGTGTATTTTTTTAACTTGAGTTTCTGTTGTTTTTGAACTTGAGGGTGTGGACATTGTTAAAGTTGAGAATCAGGTGTTGGTTGAATTTGAGTTAGTGTGTTTTTTGAACTTGAGTTTGTGTCGTGTTTGAACTTGAGTTTTTTGGTGTTTTTGAACTTGAATCTTTGTGTTTGTTAAACTTATGTTTGTGTTGTGTTTGAACTTTAGTATGTGGTTTTTTGAACATGAGTTTGTTTCGTGTTTGAACTTGAGGTTGTGGAAATTGTTAAACTTTAGAATTGGGTATTGGTTGAACTTGAGTTGCGTGTCTGGTTAAATTAAGTTTGTATATTTTTTGAACTTGAGTTTCTGTTGTTTTTAAACTTGAGGGTGTGGATATTTTTAAAGTTTAGAATCAGGTGTTGCTTGAACTTGAGTTAGTGTGTTTGTTGAACTTGAGTTTGTGTCGTGTTTGAACTTGAGTCTGTGTTGTTTTTGAACTTGAGTTTTTGTGTTTGTTGAACTTGAGTATGTGTTGTGTTTGAACTTTAGTATGTGTTTTTTTTAACAAGTTTTTTTCCTGTTTGAACTCTAGTTAATGTGTTTGTTTAACTTGAATTTGTGGTGTTTTTGAACTTGAGGTTGTGGAAATTGCTAAACTTCAGAATTGGGAATTGGTTGAACTTGAGTTTTTTGTGTTTTTGAACTTCAGTTTGTGTCGTGTTTGAACTTGAGTTTGTGTTGTTTTAGAACTTGAGTTGCATGTTTGGTGAAATTAAGTTTGTGTATTTTTTTAACTTGAGTTTCTGTAGTTTTTGAACTTGAGGGTGTGGACATTGTTAAAGTTGAGAATCAGGTGTTGGTTGAATTTGAGTTAGTGTGTTTTTGGAACTTGAGTTTGTGTCGTGTTTGAACTTGAGTTTGTGTTGTGTTTTTTGAACTTGAGGTTTTGTCAATTTTTAAACTTGAGATTTGGGTGTTGGTTAAACTTGAGTTTGTGTCATGTTTGAACGAAGGTTCGTGGTGTTTGTTGAACTTGAGTTTGTGTGTTATTTGAACTTGAGTTTGTTGAACTTGAATTTGTAGCAATTGTTGAACTTTAGTTTGTACCTTTGTTGAACTTGCGTTTTTGACATGTTCGAACTTGAGTTTGTGTTGTTTTTGAACTTGAGTTTGTGGCAAATGTTGAACTTGAGTCTGTGCTTTTTGGTGAACTTTAGTTGGTTGGAATTGTTGAACTTGAGTTTGTGACATTTTTTGAATTTGAGTTTATGACGTGTTTTAACTTGCGTTTTTTTTCTTTTACTTGAGGTTGTGGTGTGTTTGAACCTGAGGTTTTGGAAATTGTTAAACTTGAGAATTGGATATTGGTTGAACTTGAGTTTGTGTGTGTGAACTTGAGTTTGTGTTGTGTTTGAACTTGAGTCTGTGGTGTTTTTGAACTTGAGGTTGTGTGTTTGTTGAACTTGAGATTTGGGTGTTGGTTGAACTTGAGTTTGTGTCGTGTTTGAACTTTAGTTTGTGCTGTTTTTGAACTTAGGTTTGTTGAACTTGAGTTTTTGGCAATTGTTGAACTTGAGTCTTTGGTTTTTAGTCAACTGTAGCAGGTGGCAATTGTTGAAGTTGAGTTTGTGGCGTTTTTTGAACTTGAGTTTGTGTCATGTTTGAACTTAAGTTTGTGGTGTTCTTGGACTTGAGTTTGTGGTGTTTGAACTTGAGGTTGTGGTGTTTTTGAACTTTAGTTTGTGTGTTTTTGAACTTGAGTTTGTGTTGTGTTTGAACTTGAGTTTGTGTTGTGTTTGAACTTGAGTTTGTGGTGTTTTTTGAACTTGAGGTTGTGTAAATTGTGAATCTTGAAAATAAGGTGTTGGTTGAACTTAAGTTTGTGTTTTTTTTAACTTGATTTTTTGTCATGTTTGAACTTGAGTTTGTGGTTTTTATAAACTTGAGTTTGTGTTGTTTTTGAACTTCAGTTTTTGGAATCTGTTAAACTTGAGCTTTGGTTTTTGGTTGAACTTGAGTTTGTGGTCTTTGTTGAACTTGAGTTCATGTCGTGTTTGAACTTGAGTTTGTGGTTATTTTGAACTTGAGTTTTTGTTTTTTTAACTTCAGGTTGTGCTGTTTTTGAACTTCAGTTTGTGGAAATTGTTGAACTTTCGGATCAGGTGTTGATTGAACTTGAGTTTGAAACGTGTTTGAACATGAGTTTTTGGTGTTTTTGAACTTGATTTTTTGTGTTTTTTGAACTTGAGTTTGTTGTGTTTTTGAACTTTGTTGGTTGGTTGAACTTAAAATTTTTTACATTTGTTGAACTTGAGTTTTTGGTGTTCGTCGAACTTGAATTTATGTCTCATTTGAATTTGAGTTTGTGGCGTGTTTCAACTTGAGGTTGCAATTGTAAACTTGAGATTTGGGTTTTGGTTGAACTTAAAACTTAGACATTTGTTGAACTTGAGTTTGTGGCGTTTGTTGAACTTTTGTCTGTGTCGTGTTTGAACTTGAGTTTGTGGTGTTTTTGAACTTGAGATTTTAGTGTTTGTTGAACTTGAGTTTGTGTCGTGTTTTTTAGAAGATGACCTCGGTGCAAAAATGCGGGAATGAACTACACGAAGACAGAGTCAAGCTGGCAGCCTCTCGCAGGATTTTATTCCGATCACAGCATCAGACACAATTCAATGAACAAATCGAACAGACAGAACCCAGAACAGAAAACCTACAGACCTCTTATAATACTCCATTGACGTCACTGATCTCAGCTTTTGCCAAATGTGTGTGCGAAGCTACCTTCGTGTGTGTGTATTTCCCACTTTCAAGTGGGAACGTTACCTACGTGACTTTTCCCTGCCAATATCTCTGAAGCACATCTGTATCCATCTTCCTCTGCCAAATTTCCTGTTATTGTACTACAGTTCACCATGACCTGATGAAGTTTATCCCAATCTGACCTCTCCAACCATATCCTGCTTTCTTGCCTCATAGTAACCTCCAAAACATCCAAACATATCTGTTATTTTCCCCCACATATCCCCCCTTTGAATCTTTTCAAGATTAAACGAGTTCAATGACGCCGTTGGAGATTCACACTTATCTTGTCTTAGCCTTAGTTACGTTACATGAATGAGTTATGACAACGTTATGTGATATGGTACTACTAGATTGATTACAGTTGCATATGTATGTTTTCAAACCAATCCAACTCATGCTTGTGATCACGAATGTTACATTTTCATAAACACAACACTTAAATCACTTGTGACTTGGTTCACATCTGACAGGGGCGAAAAACCTGCTGGCTGCTTTGAGCAGGAAATCCCCCTGCGGCCCCTCCCGCTGGCGACCTTCACCGTGAACCTTCTAAATCTAACTGCTTTTCACTGACCCACTCTACATGACAATCAACCACATGTTTTATTTTGCTCAAAAAATGATTAACCATTTCCTTTACCTGTTTCCATATACCTGGAATGAGTATGTGTAAATGATGTGAGTATGCAGAATACACATGGATAACAACAGAATATGTGTGTATTGATGTGATAGTCCATTTGCAGAATACACCTGGATAGCAACAGAATATGCGTGTATTGATATGATAGTCCATTTGCTCCGCCGTCCCATTTGCTTTTCCTTTTGCTCGCTCGCTGCTGCTGCACCTCTGCTTCTTGTTTACCTCACACTTGACTCAGTTCATCCTCATCAGAGTCACCCACACAGGCAGGGTTCGGGTATAAGTCCGTATAGTCCCCGTTTCCCGCCTTGCTGTCGTCCAAGCAGAGTTGTGCCATTTGGGACGGCGTCAGCAAGTTCAACATTTGAGCTCTTTGGAGACCAGCCACCACAGTCATCAGTCTTTCCAGAGCCCGCAGACACTGCCTCCTCAGGATGGGGATGATGCAACATATCAAAAAGGAAATTACAATTAGGACTGCTAGTGCACTGAGTCCTATCTTAGCCCAAACGGCTCCCCATTTTCCTAAAATTTGGTCAAACCAATCCCATGACAGTCCCCCCTTGCCCGCACTCTCCCTGAGCTCAACTCTGAGTTCTGTAAGCTTCCCCATTGCCACAGAAAATATACCATCAGGGGCTGTGTTATTTGGAATAAAGGTACAACAATGTTTCCCGAACATGTGACACACTCCTCCCCTATCCACTGTCAGCCAATTCAAAGCCTGTCTATTTTGTTGGGCCATTATACTTGCTGCGTGTAATTGACTACCGAGAGCGCTCAGGATTTCAGATGTCGTTCGTTGTAATAAATGTAATTTATCCATTGGACATTTTTATTAATGGTGATCCAGGGGAGAATCGACTCTAGACCCGCTCTGATCTCATCCTGAGCTTTAAACTCCCCTGGAATTCCTATTGGCACTCCTATACTATTGATGTACACCTTTTCGTCAATCTGCCTTTTGTGGCGGTTCAATTTGGCTGTTTCTTCCTGGATTTTAAGGATCTCCTCGACGCCGTCATACAACACGACAACTGACACTTTCATTCGCACTAATGTACAGAGTCCAATCCATTTTGGTGGAAGTGTGTTTCGCACAATGTTGTCTCCACACATCCAGTAACTGTCAGCTACTGCAACAGTTTGACTTGCGAAAAAATGCATACTCGGTCTGGTCATAGTTATGTTTTCACATGTTTGATCTAACATTTGCTCTGGATTTTCAAACCAAACAGGTCTAGTTATAAACGGTTTGCTCATATTAGCTTCCGGAAACCATGACAATACCCACGTAATTTTACAATTAACAGTTATATTTTGGTATGGAATGTTTATGTGTTTGAGCTCAGCTGAGAGTGCTGGCTCAGAGTTTAGCACGTCATGGATTGGTGTCTGTGTGGTTGCATCATACTCATCTGATTCAGATGCTCTGTCTCCTCTGTCGTGCGGGTTGGTCTCTGGCGTGGCTCTGGTCCCCGGGGTGCTCTGTTTTCCCCTTTGAGTCTCTAGCTCCACTGCTTCTACAGGCATCCATAGAAGAGAGTTCATTACCACCAGCACACACCACAATGTCATGTTTTTTCATCTTTGTTTTTCAACTCAATACCGCCCTTGGTTTTGCCTGGAACCTTCGTGCAGCGCGACAGGTGATACCACGTCCCGCTCCCTTCGACCTGGACTGCTGTGGGAGTAGCTCGCACCACCGTGTATGGTCCTTCCCGTCGTGGTTCGTGCCACTTCCTGCACTGAAGTAGAGTTCACCAGGACCAAAGTGCTCAGGTCTTCTCCTCGTTCTTTTTGCCACCCTCCTCAGAGGACGGTGATGTACACCTGGTGCTCTGGCTCGACTGGCCTCCCCCTCTTGACTGGGATCAGATTTTGGCACTCCTCCTGCTAATCGATAGATCTTTGCATTGTAGTTAGATGCCTCATATATTTAATTCTCTAATTTCCAGCTGCTCAAGCGAAAACCTTAATTATTTAGCCGCAGTAAAGCATAGCTTTGTAAGTTAGTCAATCATGCAGTGGAAGATTTATCTCAGTGCTTTTGATTGTGAAAGCTCATGAGCGCAAGTAGCAAAGCATCTTCCTATAGGTTAGTGTTGGTGCAAATTCTCTGATCAGATATTTACTTGAGAGATTAACTTTCTTCCCCAGAATGATGTACCAAATCATGCAATGACAGATTTATTTTGACTCCAAGATCTTTTGATGGTGTTGCTTCCATCCATCGACTGAACCTGTCATCCTTACAAACATGTAACATTTCCCTTGGCAGTTTTAATCATGTCCACATTGCCTATGAATAGATTTCTAAAAACGTCTCTCTGGAACTGGGAAAGTGTCCCACTTCCGTTTTATTGTTCTCTTCAATTCATCTAACAAAACGCATATCACAATGACCCAAGAGTTTATCAGCTCTCGTCAGCATATTCTAAAAATGTCGTTTTAATTGTCTCATCATCTCCCCCCTTTCACAGTGTGAATCACTGTGAAAGTCAGATCCTAAGTTTGTTTGTTAATACTACTGGTAGCAAAATAGTTATTTGATTCTAAACCATCTTCTGTGGCCTTATTGACCTTTGATAGCTTCCTATTACTTTTACATTAGATGGCACATCTGTGAGGAGTGTATGCGGATTCAGCACAGCTGCATTTAGATTTATCAGTATTAAACTAACAGAACAGGGATGTTACAATGTCACGATATTTACTTTAAAACTATAAACCATAACTGTCTACTTACACACCTTGCGGTGAGCACCAACTTTGAATGTTACTTCTACATAGGTCCTTTCGGTCTATAAGGTCAACAGGGTTAAAATTAAAACTAACAATTAACTTTTTCCATCATCCACAAAAATCACACTGTAGTAAGCCACCACTTTCACATTGTCTGGGCTGGGGCCCCCCACCACAGATCCAGCCGGAAATGTCCCTGGTCTGGGCAGTTGTCAAAAATGTCCGGTATAATCACATCCCCAGCAGGTCTATAGACTTCACTCGTCCGTCAGAATTCCACTCTCTTCCCCTGCCGGGATATATCCTCTCTATGGAGCAGGGTTCTGTCTGAGGATAAACATTCACAACAGGTGATTAAACAGGTTACTGTCACAGGTTTTACCGCAGTTAGCATCTGCACGGTCTGCATCGCTGGGTCTCTTTTGCAGTGTCTTCCTTAGAGGTGGCTGTTTCAACTTCCTGTTCTTTCGGTCTCCGCTCTTCATCTGGCAGCACCCTCCCCATCACATCACAATATGCATTGAACTCACTCCCATCTGTCATGGGATTCGTCATTCAACCTTTTTTTTTTCTTGTGCAGGAACTCCTCCATCGTCTTAGTTCCCAGCAGTTTAGCCAAGAGTGCTTTCATGTCTGGTGTAGTCAATATTTTCCTACAGTTCATCCTCAAAAACTCATATCCATCTCCCTGCCCCCTGTTCAGTTTGTGGTAGTCTGGCAATCAGCCCAACAAGGTGTGTGGTTTTCCACGGCACATAGCTAGCCTGTGTGCCATTTATTAAGATTGAAAACATACTATCAGTGCATTTCCAAGCGAACATAATCTAGGCCAGGGGTGTCAAACTCAACCACAGCAAGGGCCATAATCTGGATTTAGATCTAACCTCAGGGTCAAACAGGATCAAAATTTCACTAAAACTGTCAACTTCCTTTTCAAAACATATGGGAGGAAACATAGCAATGATTTTAAATCATTTGGAAATTCAAAAGAGATAAAAATAATAATACTAATAAATAATAATTTTAAAGGCAACCTACAACTTGAGGTTGTGTTTTTTTTTAACTTGAGTATGTATGTTTTTTGAACTTGAGTTTTTGGTGTCTGAACCAGACTTTGTGGTGTTTTTGAACTTGAGTTTGTGTCGTGGTTGAAGTTGAGTTTTTCTTTTTTGTGAACTTTAGTTGCTGGCAATTTTTGTACTTGAGTTTGTGACGTGTTAGAACTTGTGTTTGTGGTGTTTTTGAACATGAGGTTGTGGCAATTGTTAAACTTGAGAATTGGGTATTGGTTGAACTTGAGTTTGTGTTGTGTTTGAACTCGTGTTGTTTGTCGTGTTTGAACTTGATTTTGTTGTGTTTTTATTTAATTTGAGTTTTTGGTGTTTTTGAGCTTGAGCATGTGTTGTTTTTGAACTTGAGGTTGTGAAAATTGTTAAACTTGAGAATCTGGTATTGGATGAACTTGAGTTCGTGGCAATTGTTGAACTTCAGTTTGTTTCGTGGTTGAACTTGAGTTTCTTGTGTTTTTGAACTTGAATTTGTGTCGTTTTTGAACTTGAGTTTGTGGTTTTTTTGAACTTGAATTAATGTGTTTGGTGAACTTGAGTTTGTGTGTTTATTGAACTTGAGTTTCTGTTGTTTTTGAACTTGAGGTATCGGAAATTGTTAAACCTTAGAATCAGGTGTTGGGAGAACTTGAGTTTGGGTGTTTGTTTGACTTGAGTTTATGTCGTGTTTGAACTTGAGATTTTGGTTTTTTTTTAACTTGATTTTGTGTGTTTTTTTAACTTGAATTTCTGGTGTTTGTTTAACTTGAGTTTGTCTCGTGTTTGAACTGGAGTTTGTGGTGTTTGTTGAACTTCAGTTTGACTCGTGTTTGAACTTGAGTTTGTGTTGTTTTTGAACATAAGTTTATGGTGTTTTCTAACTTGAGGTTGTGGAAATTGTTAAAGTTGAGAATTGAGTATTGGTTGAACTTGAGTTTGTGTGTTTTTTGAACTTGAGTTTGTGTTGTTTTTGAACTTAAGTTTATGGTGTATATGAACTTGAGGTTGTAGCAATTGTTAAAATTGAGATTTGGGTGTTGGTTGAACTCCAGTTTTTGGTTTTTGTTAAACTTGAATTTGTGTCGTGTTTGAACTTAAGTTTGTGTTGTTTTTGAACTTGAGGTTATTGTTTTTTTACTTGAGTTTGTTTGTTGAACATGACTTTGTGTGTTTGTTGAACTTGAATTTGTGTTGTGTTTGAACTTGAGTTTGTGGTGTTTTTGAACTTGAGTTTGTGTCGTGTTTTAACTTGAGTTTGTGTGTTTGTTGAACTTGAGTTTGTGTTGTGTTTGAACTTGAGTTTATGGCGTTTGATGAACGTGAGTTTGTGTCGTGTTTGAACTTGAGTTTGTGGTGTTTTTGAACTTGAGTTTGTGGAAATTGAAACTTGAGAATCAGGTGTTGGATGAACTTGAGTTTGTGTCGTGTTTGAACTTGAGTTTGTGGTGTTTTTGAACTTGAGTTTGTGGAAATTGAAACTTGAGAATCAGGTGTTGGATGAACTTGAGTTTGTGTTTGTTGAACTTGAGTTTGTGTCGTGTTTGAACTTGAGATTTTGGGTTTTTTTTAACTTGATTTTGTGTGTTTTTTTAACTTGAATTTCTGGTGTTTGTTTAACTTGAGTTTGTCTCGTGTTTGAACTGGAGTTTGTGGTGTTTGTTGAACTTCAGTTTGACTCGTGTTTGAACTTGAGTTTGTGTTGTTTTTGAACATAAGTTTATGGTGTTTTCTAACTTGAGGTTGTGGAAATTGTTAAAGTTGAGAATTGAGTATTGGTTGAACTTGAGTTTGTGTGTTTTTTGAACTTGAGTTTGTGTTGTTTTTGAACTTAAGTTTATGGTGTATATGAACTTGAGGTTGTAGCAATTGTTAAAATTGAGATTTGGGTGTTGGTTGAACTCCAGTTTTTGGTTTTTGTTAAACTTGAATTTGTGTCGTGTTTGAACTTAAGTTTGTGTTGTTTTTGAACTTGAGGTTATTGTTTTTTTACTTGAGTTTGTTTGTTGAACATGACTTTGTGTGTTTGTTGAACTTGAATTTGTGTTGTGTTTGAACTTGAGTTTGTGGTGTTTTTGAACTTGAGTTTGTGTCGTGTTTTAACTTGAGTTTGTGTGTTTGTTGAACTTGAGTTTGTGTTGTGTTTGAACTTGAGTTTATGGCGTTTGATGAACGTGAGTTTGTGTCGTGTTTGAACTTGAGTTTGTGGTGTTTTTGAACTTGAGTTTGTGGAAATTGAAACTTGAGAATCAGGTGTTGGATGAACTTGAGTTTGTGTCGTGTTTGAACTTGAGTTTGTGGTGTTTTTGAACTTGAGTTTGTGGAAATTGAAACTTGAGAATCAGGTGTTGGATGAACTTGAGTTTGTGTTTGTTGAACTTGAGTTTGTGTTGTGTTTGAACCTGAGTCTGTGGTTTTTTTTAACTTGAGTTTGTTTCTTGTTTAAACATGAGCTTGTGGCGTTTGTTTAAATTGAGTTTGTGTTGTGTTTGAACTTGAGTTTGTGGGGTTTTTGAACTTGAAGTTGTTTCGTGTTTGAACTTGAGTTTGTGGCAATTGTTGAACTTGAGTTTGTGTCTTGTTTGAACTTGAGTTTGTGGTGTTTTTGAACTTGAGTTTGTGTGTTTAAACTTTAGGGTGTGTTGTGTTTGAACTTGAGTTTGTGGTGTTTTTGAACTTGAGTTTGTGTCGTGTTTGAACTTGAGGGTGTGGTGTTTTTGAACTTGAGATTGTGGAAATTGAAACTAGAGAATCAGGTGTTGGATGAACTTGAGTTTGTGTGTTTAATGAACTTGAGTTTGTGTTGTGTTTGAACTTGAGTCTGTGGTTTTTTTTAACTTGAGTTTGTTTCTTGTTTGAACTTGAGCTTGTGGCATTTGTTTAAATTGAGTTTGTGTTGTGTTTGAACTTGAGTTTGTGGGGTTTTTGAACTTGAGTTTGTGGGGTTTTTTTAACTTGAGGGTGTGGAATTTGTTAAACCTTAGAATTCTGTATTGGTTGAACTTGAGTTTCTTTGTTTGTTGAACTTGAGTTTATGATGTTTTTGATCTGGAGGTTGTGGAAATTGTTAAACTTGAGAATTGGTTGAACTTGAATTTGTGGTGATTTTGAACTTGAAGTTGTTTCGTGTTTGAACTTGAGTTTGTGGAAATTGTTGAACTTGAGTTTGTGTCCTGTTTGAACTTGAGTTTGTGGTGTTTTTTATGTTGAGTTTTTGGTGTTTTTTTAACTTGAGGTAATGGAAATTGTTAAACTTGAGAATTGGGTATTGGTTGAACTTGGGTTTGTGTTGTGTTTGAACTTGAGTTTGTGTGTTTTTTGAACTTGAGTTTGTGTCATGTTTGAACTTTAGTTTGTGGTTTTTTGAACTTGAGTTTGTGTGTTTGAACTTGAGGGTGTGTTGTGTTTGAACTTGAGTTTGTGGTGTTTTTGAACTTGAGTTTGTGTCGTGTTTGAACTTGAGTCTGTGGTGTTTTTGAACTTGAGTTTGTGGAAATTGAAACTTGAGAATCAGGTGTTGTATGAACTTGAGTTTGTGTGTTTGTTGAACTTGAGTTTGTGTTGTGGTCGAACTTGAGTTTATGGCGTTTGGTGAACTTCAGTATGTGTCGTGTCTGAGCTTGAGTGTGTGGTGTTTTTGAGCTTGAGTTTTTGGTGTTTTTGAAATTGAGGGTATGGAATTTGTTAAACTTGAGAATTGGGTATTGGTTGAACTTAAGTTTGTGTTTTAGTTCAACTTGAGTTTGTGTCGTGTTCGAACATGAGTTTGTTGTGTCTTTTGACTTTATTTTGTGTTTGTTAAACTTGAGTTTGTGTTGTGTTTGAACTTGAGTTTGTGGTGTTTTTGAACTTGAGTTTGTGTCGTGTTTTAACTTGAGTTTTTGTGTTTGTTGAACTTGATTTTGTGTTATGTTTGAACTTGAGTTTGTGGGGTTTTTGAAGTTGAGTTTGTGGTTTTTTTTAACTTGAGGGTGTGGAATTTGTTAAACCTTAGAATTGGGAATTGGTTGAACTTGAGTTTCTTTGTTTGTTGAACTTGAGTTTGTGTTGTTTTTTGAACTTGAGTTTGCGGAAATTGAAACTTGAGAATCAGGTGTTGGATGAACTTGAGTTTGTGTGTTTGTTGAACTTGAGTTTGTGTTGTGTTTGAACTTGAGTCTGTGGTTTTTTTGAACTTGAGTTTGTTTCTTGTTTGAACTTGAGCTTGTGGCGTTTGTTTAAATTGAGTTTGTGTTGTGTTTGAACTTGAGTTTGTGGGGTTTTTGAAGTTGAGTTTGTGGTTTTTTTTAACTTGAGGGTGTGGAATTTGTTAAACCTTAGAATTGGGAATTGGTTGAACTTGAGTTTCTTTGTTTGTTGAACTTGAGTTTATGATGTTTTTGATCTTGAGGTTGTGGAAATTGTTCAATTGAGAATTGGGTATTGGTTGAACTTGAGTTTTTGGTGTTTTTGATCTTGAGGGTGTGGGAATTGTTAAACTTGAGAATTGGGTATTGGTTGAAATTGATTTTTTTGTGTTTTTTAACTTGAGTTTGTGTCGTGTTTGAACTTAAGTCTGTGGTGTTTTCAAACTTGAGTTTCTGTTGTTTTTGAACTTGAGGTTGTGGAAATTGTTAAATCGGGAATTGGGTATTGGTTGAACTCTAGTTTTTGGTGTTTTTTAACTCAAGGGTGTGGGAATTGTTAAACTTGAGAATTGAGTATTGGTTGAAATTGATTTTTTGTGTTTTTTGACTTGAGTTTGTGTTGTGTTTGAACTTGAGCTTGTGGTGTTTTTGAACTTTAGTTTGTAGTGTTTTTGAACTTGAGTATGTGTGTTTGTTGAACTTGAGTTTGTGTTGTGTTTTAACTTGAGTTTGTGGTGTTTTTGAACGTGGGTTTGTGGTGTTTTTGAACTTGAGGTTGTGAAAATTTTTAAACCTGAGAATCAGGTGTTGGTTGAACTTGAGTTTGTGGTTTTGTTTGATCATGAGTGTGTGTCGTTTTTGAACTTGAGTTTGTGGTGTTTTTGAACTTGAGCATGTGATGTTTTTGAACTTGAGGTTGTGGAAATTGTTAAATTGAGAATTGGGTATTGGTTGAACTTGAGTTTGTGGTATTTTTGAACTTGAGTTTCTGTTGTTTTTGAACTTGAGGTAGTGGAAATTTTTAAACCTTAGAATCAGGTTTTGGTTGAACTTGAATTTGTGTGTTTGGTGAACTTGAGTTTTTGTGTTTTTGAACTTGAGTTTCTGTTGTTTTTGAACTCGAAGTTTTGGAA